CTCTACGCTGTACAGTGCCGTTTGTAAATGGCCCTAGACTGGGAGGCACATCTTCCGACTTCGTTCCCCAGCTGCTTTCCTGCGGACCTAAAGTCAACTCCAGGACACCGCCTTCCAAGAAGAAGCTGTGTTGGATCCAATTCCTCGTGTAAGGTGCCCCGTTGAGTGTAGCAGATTGGATGTAGATATTCTTGTAAGCCGGATCAAAGTTGACATTCCGAATCGTCGCTGTGTTGCCCGTCTGGCCATTTTTGATGGAGATGGATTCGAAGAATGGCGGTATAATGAAGTATACATCCTGTCCAGCATTAGGGAAGAAGCCCATCATCACGAAAGCCTCGAACGAGCCCATGGCGCCGCTATCGTCATTGCCCGGAATGCCGACTACGGTATCGTTGAACAATGAGGGTATGTATTGGTGGGCGCGCTCAGCGGAAAGAGCAGGACGGCCGGCGTAGTGGTATAGGAACACGTTGAGGAAGGCTTGTTCGTCGCCGAGGTATAGAACGCCGGACTCATGCAGCCAGTTCATGCGTTCGACGAAGCGCTCGCGGCCACCGAGGGTCTGAATGAGAGTGGCCATATCTCCCGGAGCGAAGAAAGTGTACAGCCAAACAGGACCTTCGTATGTCTCGCCACCTGCGGGGTTTAGGTAGCAACCAGTGAAATTAAGTAGTGGTGAGCAGAAGATTGGATCTTGAGAACCCCACGTGCCGTTGAGGAATCGTGGCTGCAAGAAGCCTTCAAAGCCGGTATCAGTGCCGTTGATGATGCTTCGTTGGTCGGCCTTGAACATGTTTTGCCAGTTACCGGAGCGTTCGAGGTATTTCAGATAGTCGGCTGTGTTGCCAAGTTCACGGGCTAGCAGAGCGATTACAAAATCGTTGTAAGCGTATTCGACGGTTCGGGATATGGAGCGTGTCTCTGTACCTACGCCTTCGATATCAAGGTTCTCGGTGGGTATGTAGCCCAACTCCTTCCACGATACGAGACCACCGCGACCTAGTCAGTTGTTAGTCGAGGACTAATCTCCGCCCGAGCTTTGCAATTTTACCTTCAATGTCCCAGTTGGGCGGTTCAACTTCTGCATCCTTCACGAGCGCCTCATATGCTAATGCCCAGTCGATACCAGCGGTGATGTTCTTCAAATATGCGTCCGTGATCACGATATCAGCGTTTGAGCCGCCTTGGGTGAATCCTTTGCAGAAGCTCATTCGGCAGTCCGGCAACCATCCTTCGTGACGATAGATGTCGAGCAGACTTCTTATCATGAGTGTTTGGCTGTGAGGATCCAATATCGTGATCAGGGGATGAATCGATCTGAAACTGTCCCAAATACAGTAGTAGGAGTCGTAGTACGGTTCGTCAGACTCCCAAAGAGGGTTCTCGCCCGTGTAGTCCTGTGGGCTGATCATGGATCTATACACGCCACTCCAGAAAGCCTTGAGGAAGACCAGGTCGACACCGCCGTCTTCAACCGTGATGACGTCTAGCTTGGAGCGCCATGCAGCCTCCGCAGCCGCGACGACATCATCAAATGCCCACGAGGGTATCTCACGCTCAGCATTCGCGCAGGCCTGGTCCTCGCTCACGAAACTCATTCCAACTCTCGCAAGGATCTGATTTCCCTGGGTGGGCTTCTCAAATTGTACCCATCCACCTGCTGGTGTGGAGACGGGCGATTGCCGCACATCGCCGGGAACGACGTTCAGACTTGTCGCCCTGTTTGTCGCACGCGTGTTTTGCCATACGCCAGCATCTTTGATCTTTGCACCATCAAAGTCGAGGCAAAAATGTGACCTGTACGTTCCGATTCCGAACGATGGCGAGAACACTCCGCTACCAGTCATACGCCCGGTTTCGGCATCCACGGTGATGTTCGCTTCGCTCCTCGTGTTCGGTAGATCTGTTAGATCAAGCAAAACGTGTGGACTCAGCGTCGTGTTCGGCGTCGTCGGCGTTTCGGGAAAGGTGATACGATATAGAGCCGTGCGGTTCGTGACCGTCGATTCAGTCCTGATGTTGTCCTTCAGAGTGATATCGAAGTAGCCAGGTCTGGCATGAACAGTCCCAGGTATACGTTCGACAGCTCGTTGTGACTTGAAGTACAGGCATCCGTTGACGTCGTCATTTGCACACCCCGCTTGCGCGAAGATTGGGAAATTGCCAAGTGACGGCGAGCCACCAGTTCCCGAGTCGTGCATGTGACTGAATCCGTAAATAGGTTCTGAGTCGTTAGAAGAGAATCCTCCTTGGTTCTCGCCTATCACGTCGGGCCCCGCTTTGGCCATCCCTAGCAGCTGTCAGTAGGCGCTGATTTGTGTCTGAAAGATAATCTCATACCGAATGGCAATGTCGCGCCGGGAAATACATGCCCTGTAGGTGGTCAGCCGGTTATCGTCGTTCTTCAGCAACATCAGGATCGTACCTCCATTGATCGTCCCGATGAGAGGATCGACATATTGATATCCGCTTTTCTGTGGTTGCGAGGAATTGTACTGCGCGCTCGTAGATGTTACGAATACACCTATCAATAGAGCTGACGCCTGCTTCACGGAAGGAATGCCCATGATCATAGCTGGACTGGAACACTCTTGGTGAATGCAGCCAAGGTAAACATCGACTTTGCAAGTTGTTCATCGCGCTTCCCCACACGAACTATTTATCCCTTCCATTTCATCACGCTTGGCAGTGACGCGATGCTCCAAGACCATGCTACCTGCCGCATAAGCAATTCAGGTAGCATTCTTGAGTCCTCTTGTACCGTCCATCATCTCCCAGCAGGGCGATAGTCTGGCTCTAAATCGCTGGTGTTGCGGTGATATGCATGATTACAGCCGACTGCATGTGGCTGCGGGGTAACGTCGACGGTAGATCCATGCTGTACTAAATTGGAGCCGTGACCTCCGGTTGGTGGTGCAAGTGGGATACGGGGTGTCTTTGAACGAAGCGATGAGCCGGGGCTTGAAGTGGGACGTTTGATATTAGCCTTGCGCATGTATCTCGGCACATTGTAACGCGTGTTGGAGGCACAGCCGGCAAAGACGACGTGCTGTCAAGGCTGACTGCAACCCGAATTTTTCACTTGGATTAGTCAAAGAAGAAAAACGAACGCGTAATGATCGGATTGAGAGGAATCCTGATAATTAGATAGCGACGTCCGTGAGCAACAGCTGTCTTGGTGTTGCACCTCGTCGGGAAATTAGGAAACTTAGACCGAGTGCCGCTAAACCTAACTCGCGCTCCACGTGAGATGATGTACGTCATCCTAGGCCCTTATGTTCGATTTCACCTCCAACTTTGCTCCAACCTTGGAGTTCTTCCATGTCCGCTCTGGATCGAACATCTCCAACTTGGAATGCCACAATGAACGCACCAATGAATGCGGCACTTCAAATTAAGCGAAGCTCCAATACGATTCCGCGATCCAACACAACCTTGGAAGAGCTGGGACACATGTCGCTGGCCATCTGTGTACGTGTAGTGCGAGGAAGCTTCTTGTCGAATACAGACGCGTCGAAGATTGGTGGATTCAGACAAACAGAGACACAACACTGTCGCATTTGATGTGAGGTAAGAACATTTGGGAGCACGATTAATCGCCGAGTGCTCGCTGGTTAGCCACCCGACTTAGCACCAATGACGCCTCGGCTCAGCGCTGTGAGAATATCGCCAATCGCCAGATGACATTGTAACGCTGTCGCTAAGTCTGGTTACGCAATCTGCTGGCTGTTGTTAGCAGCTGTAGATTTGTTGCTCGAACCACATTTCACCTAAACGCTGTGGACACTGAGAACGTTGCGATCGTTGAAGCAGTCTCGGCAATAAGACACGACTCCTCAAGGACACACCGGAGCGGTCCCAATCAAAAGTCTCAATCATACTCCATGGCCGAACATCACCAGCCGGTACTGAAGGAGAAGGTAGTGCCGATGTTTGCAAGGAGTATTCCTAGGCAAACCCTAACCTGGAGACAGGCGAACATATTGCTATAGCTTGATATGGCCTTCGAAGCTCAATTCCGCGCTGCATAGCTATGCTCGGATGTGTTGAAGCATTCTAGCGCTGCCCAGGCAGACTGTAGCCGTATTGCTGAATACATCACCGCTACTCGCTTGAGGATGTAGACATGGTCATAGAATCAGCCACGTCTCCCAGGCAAAAATGGTATATTTGTGTAAGAGGTGAATGGGCAAAAAGAAAGAGTTTATGACAAAAACATACAACAGCGGGGATTCGCTAGTGGTCACCCACCTAACTACTAATCCGCCGGTATCTTGCTTAAGTACCGCTGAGCGAACGGGAAGCGCTGATTTCAAGATCCTGTGGTCGTATGTGGGAGAACGAAAAGGTAGATTGGTCATCAAGCCGATCTGAACGAAGCTTGGAATTGGGCTTGGCAAGATCTTCACCACGCTTCTAGCCTTGTACACGCCGTTTCCTTGATGCTACGACATAGCAAACTCCGACAATACTGTAATGTAGTATTGGTAAAACGCAAACATTTGTCAAGTTCGGACTTGCGCCCTTCCCGTGCCTCCATAATCCATCCTCATCACACTCCGACCTTCACCGCCACCAATTGATTTGACCTCTTCCCCCTCCCTAAAACACGAACCAACAGTTGCATAACTCTCAGGGCTCGGAATCACATCCGAGATCCCAAGACTGTGGGGTACAAGGATGAAAGCGACTACGCGAAACACATCTGACACGCGGCGACTTTATGCCAGCAGGGCAGTATTTGCGAACCTCGGGATGCGAGCCAACCAAGCTAGCAATTGAGACGATGATCGTGTGGCTTGGAAGCCTGGGAAGTAAGGGTCGTGTGATTGGGGACGAGGCTTGTTTATGCGATGGCGATGACGGGATATGGCGGCTAGGTGCTGATAAACAGTCAGTGCAGTAGTATAGGAAGGAGAGGTGTGAACGCTGCGTCTGAGGGTAGTTCTTTCTTCTAATCCGTCGCGGAGTCGTTATTCCATATTTTGTTTTGCGATATGGAGTTGCAATCCAGACAGCTGATGCCCGGTCCTGAGCGCAACGATACTCAGGCGCCTCTTCTCCTTGGTATATGTGGGGGTTTGACACTCTTTGCGGTCCTCCTACTCTCTGCAAGACTCTGGTCGAGGGTGCGGCCTTTCTGGAATCTTCACATGGATGATTGGACGGCTGTTGCAGCGACGGTAGGTGGACATGTACCCCGAGTTGTTGCAAAGCTGACGTCGAATGTCTACAGATCCTTGCGATAGCAAAATATGTCATCGTCTGCGTAGCATGTTCCTACGGCTTCGGCCAGCGGACAAAATATGTCTCTGCAGGCTCGCGTCTCGCCGCCATGCGACTCATCTTCTATTGCCAAGCTCTCTGGAACTTCTCCATCGGACTTGTCAAAATCTCAGTCGCCCTCCTCTTGCTCCGCATCAAGCAGACACGTGCCTGGCGCATCTTCCTCTCCTGTACGATCGTACTACTCATCTTAACCACTATAACCTCGACCCTGTTTCAGTTTCTGCAATGCCGGCCGTTCAGCATATACTGGGATCCCAGCATCTTCTTGACGCGCAAAGTGGAGTGCTTGCCACAAGAAGCCATTGTTGGGAACATCGTTGCGGCAAGCGCGGTGCATATCTCGACCGATCTCATATTCTCGCTGATACCGATAACCTTTATCCGGAAACTACAGCGACCGCGTGGCGAAAAGATCTTCCTTGGTATTCTGATGGGCCTTGGACTGTTCGCTTCATCCTTCGCCATTCTGCGTACTGTCAAGGCCAGTATGATACCCGCTGGTGGTGACGTCTTTCGAATGACGGTGGCGCCTACATTGTGGTCGATGCTGGAACTCGAGCTTGCGTTGATCGCTGCTACGATACCGACGCTCAAGGGTAGTAAGTGACGCACATGTGCGAACAATATACTATATGAATTCTGACACCTACTTTAGTTATGCAGCGGAGCCTCGTAAGGACCGGTCACTACTTCTACGATGAGAAGACCGAGACTCAAGTGCGAAACCGGCTTGTAGACCTGGGATTTCTGGGTCCGAACAGCGACGAGTTTTTAGAGATGGGGCAGAAGTTGTCGAAGCCAAACATGGCTGATGAAGTTGTGACGTTCGGGAGCGGGCCGAAGTCACAGAAAGCGAAGGAGGAGTACAGCATGTCGGTCGATGAGCTTACTCTGGTTGAGAGTGAGGGCCACGTGACAACCCGGGACTTGCGGGCATTCGGGCCTTGAAGATGCGCTCAAGATGGAGGAAGCTACCCATTTAAGCGCCCAAGCTCATCGTCGCAGGCCAGAGGTCCCACCGCGTAGTCGCTGATCCAACCGCTATGTAGGCGACGCCTGGTGGTGGAACAATGACACCAAATCTACTCACGTTTGGCCATCTGCAGGATGATGGCGAGCGCACGGCACGGAATTACTGAATGCCTTCTCGAGCATATCATGCCCAACACAAGAGCCGAGTCTGAGATCGATCGAGCCGGGTGATGAGCCTTTGGTGTTGTTGTGCGAAGTATGAAGTCGGGCGGCCAGAGAAGGAAAGCGTATATGATTATAGGATTGCGTATGAAAGAACGAGACGTGATGTGGAAGATTTTGGTTATGCGAGAAAGCTGTAATATTATTATACCTAACCAGATTATGCGCGCATAGAAAGCAAGGGTATCTCTTACTCGGACACAAGACTTCGGCACCCAACTCATTCCTTCTTCAGGACATCAACGATCCACTGACAGGCGTCCTTTGCTTCGACCAGCCCGTACGGCATGGTCAGAACGAAGCAGTGCATTTGCTTCTCCCAATGAACCCACTCGCCTATGACACCGTGTTCCTCGCACTTCTTGCGGAAAATGACGCCGTCTGGGCTCAGCACATCGTATCCAGCAGTTATTCCGTGCACCTTGATGCCCTTCTTGGCAAGTAGTGAGATGTCGCCGTTGATGGGCGAAATGCGGCGATCGGCGGCATCCCAGTCCCCTTGCCATGCTTTCGCTGTCGCCCTGATGATCTTGGGTGTGAGGAGAGGGTCTCGAGGTGCCACTTTATCGATATCGGAGTTTTGGCGAGTTAAATCGGTCGATGGGCATACGTTCATTATGGCGACGGGGTGTGGAAGCTGCTTGATCTCTACTCCTTCGTTCTCGCTATCCTCCCGCAGGGCCTCCAGTACCAGACACAAAGCGATGTTTGCTCCCGAGGAGTCGCCCGCCAGTATAACTTTTTCTCCAGCCTCTTCCGCTTCGGCCATCAAAGCCCGGTAGGTTTTTTGGCATACAGGGAAAGACTTGTGCGCGGGGTCGTTGGGGGCAAGAGGTGTCGACACAATCGATATGGATGTGTCAAACATTTCTTTGGCTAGCTTCGCGCATATCTTGTAATGCTGTGGAGAAGGCGGTTCCTGCCAACTACCACCAGCGAAGTAGTATATCCGCTTCTTCGAGCTCTTCTCTGCCTTGTTGGGTGGTACGACATCGTATATGTGTATGTCGCATACGGTTCGTTCGTGGAGGGTACACTGGGAGAGGTTCGATTTGCTGGGCTTGAGTCGGATTGAGCCGCCCTCGTGGTCGGCTTGACGGTTGCTGATGCGAACGCGCATTAGTCGTACCAGAGACTGTACCACAGCCATGAGGAAGGTGCGATCATCGCGATGCGTGAGCTGTATCGAGGAGCCGGTCTTGGCAGTGGTGCTGGTCGTTGTAGCCCCTGTCATGGTGGTGATGTTGATAACGGTTGCTGTAGACACAAAGACGGAGGAAGCTCCGTGGCAAGGACTGGAGGAATGTTGGACGCGTGGGAATAAGCACGCTTGGCTGGATGCATTTTGGGGCGCAAAGAAAGAGGAGCGAGCATCGTCGATTACGGGGCCTCAGCAAGCCCACGCGCGCAGGGCGACTCGTTCTCTAGTAAAAAGACGGGATATCAGGGCTTTAATGACGTCGTGACCCAACCTTTAGGCCTGATAGAGAAGACCCTGACTAAAAGCGGAACGATGTGAACGCTTCCGAGAGTGGGTCGATCTGGAGGTGCTTGCCAAATGTCTTGGGCATCACGCAAGAAGGCGTTGCGCGTGCAGACTTCTGCTTGCAAAAAGCAAGATGACGCAGCCATGGGTCTCGCGTGCCGACTGTTCCATGCCAAGCCTGAATTTCTTGGGCAACACCAGGACCGTGCCACCCAGCCTCAAATGCGTCTTGCGTCTTGCGTCTTCTGAGTCTTGCCAACCGTTGTGCGCTCTTTATGATGATCTTCTTGAATTCAGGACAACAATGCGTCCAAAAAAACGCTCGCACCTGCAACTATGTCGTCAGATGAGGAAAGTTTAGACGGACTGCTCAAAACACGGAAGATGCCATGCAACCACTGCTATCGTCCGCATAGCGCACAAAAAAGACCTTTGGTTCTAGATCTAGTTTTCGATGTTGAAGTATGGTGATGCCAATGCAAATGGTGGCTGAACGCATCCTCCTACATGTCCTTGCCTGACGCGCAAGCTTGCATGAGGAGCATCCAAAACACCTGGGCGGAAGTCTTGGTCGTACCGCTGAGTGGCTGTGCAGTAGGCGGAGAGTGTGATAAGAAGCAAGTTCCGCTCCGCCAGGGTTACAAGTTGCGTCCGTCGGCGCCAACTCCGTCTTGGGTGCTCTTGTCGCCTTGGTATCACATTCATGGGTTCTTCTCATTGGCGACACTTCATCGCGAGGCCTTGGCCTACGTGCTTCGACCATTAACAAACAAATGAGCTGATTAGGGAAACGACCAAGGGAACCCTTAAAGGCTATCGTTGCCGTTGAGCCACATGTGGCAGCTGATCCACCACCTACTCACAAGCAGATCATAGCCTATTCCAGCGCTCCTCAGACGTCGATGGCTCCGCAACTGTCCCTTACGGATGACGAAATCAAGAAATTTATTGACGACCTCGATCATGACAAGGATGGCAATGTTGATTACTGGGAGCTGGAACGCAAGCTGGATCAAGTGCACAAAGAGATAGCACCGAAAGCGCAACCACACAACCTCCACCATGGATCTCGGGGCGATGAGGCTCGACATGAGTTTCTCAGGGGTGTCATTGGAACACGAGACGACCACATCAATCGAGAAACCTTCGCAAAGACTGTCAAGACATGGGACATACCGTCCTTGGAGCAAGACCGGAAAGAAGCAAAAGACGAGGACGACTACCTGAAGCAAGTGCCCATTCACCGACGTGCGCGTGCTTACTGGGCTGTCAAGGGCCCTGAGATAATGTTCCTTGGTCTGGTGTTGGCCTTGATGATAGGGTTTGGTGTCTGGCAGTTTGTCAAGTACCTTACCTTCGATCAGTATACACCTGCGTTCGGATGGGGAGCTGTCTTATCCAAGACATGCGCCGGCGTGTTGTACCCAACCTTCTTCTTTCTAATCCTCTCCATGTCACGGTGGCTGTCGACGTTCCTGCGCCGCTTCTACTTCATCTCCAGGTTCATCAACTGGGACTTGTCGCAGAGTTTCCACATCAAGATGTCCATCGTTGCATTGGTGTTTGCGACGCTACATGCTATTGGTCATCTTAGCGGCTCTTTCGTCTTTGGAAGTAAGCCCAATCGACAGGACGCAGTTGCCAATGTCATCGGACAGGACGCTGTGCCACGTTCATACACTGACTACCTTCGATCATTACCAGGGTGGACTGGTCTCACATCTCTCGGCCTGTTCTACCTCCTCGCATTGATGAGCATGCCCCAGATACGAAAGTGGAGCTACGAGGTCTTCCAATTAGCTCATCTGCTCATGTTCCCCATCATTGGCTTCATGATGGCTCACGGCACCGCCCATCTTCTGCAGTGGCCCATGTTCGGCTACTGGCTCGCTTTTCCGACCCTCATGGTTCTGTGCGAACGTCTGTGGCGTCTGATCCTAAGCTTCCGCCCTATCCTCGCGGATCTTGAATTACTAGATGACGAGACCGTTGCAATTACTGCGCAAGTACCTAAGACTCGCCCGTGGGACTACAAAGCTGGCCAATATGTGTTTGTGCAGGTTCCGCAGCTATCCCGATTCCAGTGGCATCCATTCACCGTCTCAACTTGCATCAACAACACCATGCAAGTTCACATCAAAGCAGACGGCGACTGGACAAACCAACTACGCGATCTAGCTAAAGAAGGAGGACGAAAGACTATCAAGATCGGTCTTGATGGGCCATTCGGTGCACCAGCTCAGCGGTTCTACGACTTTGAGTATAGCATGGTCTTTGGGTAAGTAATCGCTTTATTTCTGTGGGGGCTTTGCTAACATATCATAGTGCCGGTATTGGAATAACGCCTTTCTCCGGTGTACTCACCGATCTCCAACATCACGAGCTCGAGCGTGTCAAGTCCGCAAACGACTCCCCAGCATCACCCGACGAAACTCCCAATGAGCCTTCGCCGTACACGAACCATCGTCGAGTCGACCTACATTGGATGGTCCGCGACAAGAACAACCTCCTGTGGTTTTCCGATCTTCTCAACGAAGTCTTCCGTCAGAAACCAAACAGCGAAGATCTCGACATCCGCATCAACACCTACGTGACTCAGAAGCGCAAGCAAATCTCCCAACACGTATTCCGTTGGTTGCTCGAAAAGCATCGAACGGATGACCATCCGCAATCGCCCATCACTGGTCTTGTCAACCCGACTCATTTCGGACGTCCGGACATTCGGGGCATTATGGAAGCACACTACAACGATATGAGCAAGGTACTGGCAGATCGTTTGAACGAGAAAGATGGCAGTAAAGATGATGAGATCAAGATTGGAGTTTTCTTCTGCGGCCCGCCTGTCATCGGCCAACAGATTGCCGATCAGTGTAGCATGCTGAGTGCGAGGGCGAGGAACGAGGGTAGGAAGCTTGAGTATAGGTTCATGATTGAGGTGTTTGGTTAGCCCTGGAGGATACCTGCTACTCGTAATACATTTTTTTTCACTTCCCAATATATGATCTAAAACCTACGATTACTTGACAATCATACGAATGAGTTGGTCGGTTGCAATAACGATACGAGGCATTTTGTCAATTGCCGTTTCTCGTGCATGTGTCAATATGCAATGGATTGGGCACGTGCCCAGGCGCTAAACCGCGTCACTAAAGCCGACGTGTCGGAACCGTCGTCATTCACCGACCGGAACGCTTTCACTCAACCACCAAAGGCACCTCCTCTTTGTTCAACCCTCATAGTTGGAAGCACAGCGCGCTACACAGCCCAGTCCGCATTTCAAGAACGCTACTTCACCACCAAAATTACGACGCTCCGCAACCCAAACCCACCCCGCGCACACGAGCGACCCCCTCACCTCTGCCCGTACACCCCCGCTTCCAACCGATACACAACATGGCGTCCTCAGCCTCAAAGCGCCTGTTCAAGGAATACCGCATGCTCTCAAATGACCCACCAGAAGGCATAACCGCCGGTCCCGTCAGCGAAGACGACATGTTCGTGTGGGAAGCGCTGATCCAAGGCCCAGAAGGCACACCCTTTGAAGGCGGCGTCTTCCCCGCAGAGCTACGGTTCCCGAAAGACTACCCGCTTGCGCCGCCAAAGATGAAGTTTATGACGGAGATGTGGCATCCAAATGGTATGTTTGACTATAGGACAAGGTTCCGATCCTTGCTGAGACGCTTTCGTGTTCCAACGTGATAACCATGGGTTATGAAAGGCTTGAGCTGACAGAACCAACAGTATACCCCAACGGCGAAGTCTGTATATCCATCCTCCACGCCCCCGGCGAAGACCCCATGCACTACGAACAAGCCTCGGAACGATGGTCACCCATACAAAGCGTCGAGAAGATCCTGATAAGCGTCATGAGCATGTTGGCGGAGCCGAACGATGAGAGTCCAGCAAATGTGGATGCGGCGCGTATGTGGAGAGAGAAGCGCGACGAGTATGAAAAGATTGTACGGACAAATGTTAGGAAGAGTCTGGGGCTGTGATGCATTTGACATGAGAATGGAAATCACGAATAACGGATGCATAGCGTAACAGGAGTCTTTTCGGTGCTGGGTATTTGTTAGCTAATATTCATAGAAAGACATGATGAATCTATCAGAATGAATACACTACAAGCGACAAGGTTCATGTGATGCTACAAGGTTGAGCTTGTATCGCTGGCGAAAGTCCAGGCCACGCTATTCCAGCCATACGAACACCAAAAGCACACAATCAGTCCAATCTACCATACCGGCTGTCCAGCCGTCCTACCATTCATTAACTTCAGACAATCTCCAAACCAGAGACCTCCCCATACCCATTATACGCCACGCCCCGGAAGTTCCACTTCGGACACTTCTCCTGCACATTACCGCTCTTATCCGTGGCCCGACTGTATATCACAACATCTTTGCCCTTCTCAGCCTTTACCCTTGCCTTCCATAATGCCCACGCCCATTTGAGCTCAACGTCTTTGGCATCATCGCCCTCATAGGCCTTCATCAACTCTGCCTCTTTCCATGTTGCTCCTCCATCGACACTGACTTCAACCTTGACGATGGGTCCATCCGCACCACTGGGTAGAGCGTAGCCCTTGACTTCAATCGTCCCATCTGCATCTCGTTGCACAGTGCTACCTGATTTCGGGATTCCGATGACGCTGTTAACGGGCATGTCTTGTAGTGCATCGACCTTGCCCCAATACTCTTCTGCCTTTTCTTTCGAATCGGCCTCTGGAGGTAAGACTTTGTAGTCGTGCTGCTGGTAGTAGCTTTGACTCTCGCTCAGCTGAACGGAGATGGAATCAAGCCATTTGACGCTTCTCGCTCCAGCGATACCAGGAGTGACGACACGGACAGGAGCTCCATGGTTTGGCGGAAGCGGCTTGTCGTTCATTTGCAGGGCGAGTAAAATCGAGCTCTCCCGATCCATGGCTCGTGATAGTGGGATGCTGGCACCGTAGAACTCGTCTTCTTGTGTGGGCGTCTGGTAGCACGAGAATGCCACATGCGCTTCGCTGAGCTTATTCTCCTCGACCTTGACATCAGCCTTCTCCAAGACATCTTTGAGAAGAGGTCCGGTCCATTTGCAGTTCATGACTGCACCATCAAACCAGTCGATTCCAGACACCTCCTTCAACTTTGTACGCATAGTGTGACGGCGATTTCCGGCACATTGTAGTGCGCATATTACGGTATGCTGAGGAAGTGCTTGGAGGTCTGAGATGGAAAGAGAGAGTTCATTGTTGACGAGTCCTGTGACGGAGACTTTGTGTGTGCTCGCATCGATGTGGGGGATGGGGCCGTGGTTACGGTCGTAGCCGTCTTTGGTGATGAAGCTGTACACTGTGTTAGCATTGTGACTGTGTGTAGATCTTGAAACCCGTCTGTGGGTACACTGGATCCACGGGCGATGAGCGACTGAGCCCGCTTTCAGGACGCCGTGCGTGAAACGACTGGTCCCCTCCCGGCGCCTCTCTTCGTCTTTCTCCAGTCCAATCTCCTTCACCCTCACCCTCACATACAATAAACACTAGACATACCTTTGAACCAGCTTCTCAAGCTCCGGCTCGCGATTCAGCGGCTCTTCAACCGAATACTCAAGCTTCTACCGCACCGTCAGCCCTGCCATACCAACACGAATAAACATATCGACATAGTCTACCGCATTAGGAAACCCATATAAAAATCCGGGGGCGTACCTGGATCATTGTCGTCGATGCTGATTTGGCGGATATGGCGTGATTGAGGCTAATGGAAGAAAAGGTGGCGGGGCACACAGGCTATAAGGCACAAAAGCGGGGGCGGGGTAAGAGCGAAGTAAGAGCGACGAGGCTGTTTGCTGGGCCACACGATGCATGTGACTTGGACAGGTGCGTCGGTGTAGAGCGGATAGGTGCGGCTCTTTGCTGTCTTTTGTGGAGGAACAGTACGGCTGGGGCAATGAGGATGGATTGTATGGGCACGCTGTTTGCGTTGCTGCATGACGTTTGTTCAACAATATATTACGACATCTCTGCTTCGATGACCTCGATCTACTGGCTACACACGATTTCCAACGGGAAGTATTTTGATCAGGGTAGTCTTCAAGTTGGTGTACATCTACGTTGCCTGACTAGCAGAGACGCAGCCTTTATTCGCACAGTGCTATGATACATACTACAGCTTACACAAACGGCTTCTCAACTACAGAGCTGGCTCTGACGCCTGAGTCTCTTATGCATGACCTTCTCATTGGGACTTCTGAACAGTCTCCTTGATGTAGCGCACATATGCCGGCATCAGCGGCTTACCCTCCTTGTCCTTGGACATGTCGTCCAACGACCGTACACCCTCCATCAAGACTTCCTCTGCTCTAGTTTCGAACGACTGCGCCTCTTCTGACATGGGCATTTCAGCGCCGAGCACTTTGCGAGACGTCTTAAGAGCGTTCCACACGATAAGTGTCTCGAGAAGGTCGTAGCAGTGGTCGGTGACATGGGCCAGGAGCTTGGTGGTGTTTACGAAACCAGCAGCTCTGGCGTCAGAGTTCCTAGACGTAGCGTCTAGTGAAGTCTGAGATAACTTGTCAGTAATTGTTCGTCTGTAGGCAGATGTTGGGGGAAACATACCATGTATCCGCTCTGCTGTAGCGCGTGGACCAGACGATTAGAAAGTTTCTTGACCTCCTCTTTGTCTCCACCGTATTTGTCTGCGAGTACAGCAGCCATTTCTGTCGGCAGCGCAACCACAGATGGCCTCCCTCTGTAGTCGCCTTCTGCAAACTTGTCCATTGCCACGTGCGGTCTCTTGCCTCCACAGTGCTCCCCGTCCTCCATGAGCTCCACCACTTGCTTCGCTAGTTTGTGTGCCTTGATTGTATCGTCCTGTGCCCAGTCGGCCATAGCCGCTTTGTCGTGCACAGTCCTCAGCACCTGACGCAAAACACCGTAATTGCTCAGCTTGACGCCCGTTTCCTTTGCTCTTTGCAACGCCTTCAGAACAAGATGCTGCATACCGGCCAGGTTCAACTTCCTCACAACGAGCTCCTGCCACTGCCAGTGGATCTTGATCCCAGCCTCTTGGAAGCCCTCCAAGCATCTAACAACATTCTCCCAGTCCTCCTTGGTTTCGCTCCTGTTTACAATCGCTTTGAGCCGCTTGAAACGATTCGGTAGCTTGTTCCGGTCGATGTGTTCAAGAGGCAGGGTGACCTCTCCCAAGGTAATCTCTATAGGCTCGGCTTCGAGTTTTGCGCGGCTTTCTTGCGAATATACGAGCTTCTCTTGCTCTTTTGTCAAGTGGCTGGGGAGGAGGACTTGGGAGTTGAACGTCGATAAGAGCGTGGATAGTTCGGGAGAAGACGGTGGGAGGAAATTGGGGAGAGCGCCTGATGTTCGCATTAATAGAGTGCACATTGGAAGGCGATTCGGGAGTGATGCGGACCTCTTGGGCTCACCGAAGTGCGCGAGAATGCGCGTCTTGAGCCATTGGTGTAGAGACAGACGTTGTCTGATCGCAGCAATGCCGATTGGCAGCCCCGCCGTATTGAGTACATGTTATAGTGTGTGCTGATGGCCTTGGTCGCATGGCGCGGGCAAAGTCCAGAAATTTGGCGCAAACGCGTCAAACGCGCCAAGCCATGTCGGCGGAACTTTCTCTTCCTCCGACAAGGCAGGGCAGCCACGACTCCAGCCTCAGGTGACACAGCCACATCGCGGTCCCCTCTTTTCTAGCAAGCGAAATGTTGGCCCCTAGGAGGACCAACCGCTACAGCTGGCTCTTCCCCAGAGCGAAGAAAAACACCAAAATGGACAACGAGCAAGCCACCTTCTGGCTTAGTCAGTTCATCGGGAAGAACTTGCGCATACATGCCAGCGATGGACGAGTGTTTGGAGGCCAGATGAAATGTACAGACAAGGTAGGTCATGACGTGTGGGGAATCGGGCTGTATTGACTTGGTACAGGACCGTAATGTCATTCTTGCGCTGGCTCACGAGTACCGCGCGCCATCAGCGGAGACGATTCGCAAGGCTGTAGAAGAGTCGGGGAATCCATCTGCGTCTGTCTCTTGGAACAGCCGCTACGTCGGACTAATTGTTGTCCCCGGCCAGCATATCACGAAGATCGAATTTGAGGAGAGTACGTTTGCGGGCCAGAAGAGCGCGGTGACACTTTGAAAGAGTTGCTGGTGCCGACTATGGATTTGTATCTCGAGACGCGCGCGCTCACTGCGAGTTGCGGGCAGCGTGCGTATGGCGCCATGCCTGGAGTCACTTTTGGAGCGGGCGCAAGCCAAGTGCGAAATGTGTTTGGACCAGTCATATTGTGAGTATTGCATTTCGAGTGCTGTAACAGGGTCCGTGCTGACTATTATAGGCAATGACAGTGGCAGAAGTGAAGGTGAACTGGTCGCCGCGGTGTGGTAGCGAGCAGTGACCCGTAATGCTATTGTCCAATTCCAGCAATAGCAGATTGAAAACTGTGCTGTTGAAGACTACGAGCAACTCCTTACTCACCTTTTGATCTCTTATTTGTATCTCTGGGGCCTACATTATCCTCTTTCTAACAACAACACGACCGCACAACACTTCAACTTCCTCGGTACCATGCATACATCCTGCAACAGCCCGACGAGGGAGGGCTCGTATGCCTCAAAGCTCTTCCAGCAGTCATTAATCACGACCAAGGTGACCGAGCCTGAAGTACACAATCCTTCCAGAACCACACGACCTTCCTTCGAAAACCTGTCGAAGACCACCAAGTCTAGAAAGCGACTACCGAAAACCCATCTCGAGATCCTCGGCGCTCTTTCCTCTCACACCACACCAGCCGCCCATCAGGCCGCCGTCTCAGCGTCACCCTTGCTTTCTCTCCCAGGCGAAATCCGCAACATGATCTATACCTACGCTCTCACTTCGGAAACAAAACCCCTAGCCTACGACAAGTAGCACGGTCGATTCAACATTTTGAAATTGGTGCCGGGTTACTGGGAGCCTGCCAAATGGTTTCGCGCGAAACCATGTACATGCCGTTGACACTGAACACCCTTGTGTTCCCTTCTTCAATTGGGAGTAGTAAAACGGAGCTGAAGATGCTGGGCTGTATGGGAAAAACCATCCGATCAGGGTATGCATTCAACTGGCATGGTAACTTGAAGTTCGAATTTATCTGGAGCGACAAGCGCACATCTATATCAATTCCGCCTCGATAACGCTCTCCACCGCTCTCGGATGCCGACTAATGTCCACAATCCTGAACCATGCTTCTTTCAATAACCTCGCCCAATGCTCATCCGTCCTCTCCATTCCACTCGTACAGTTCATGAGCTGCAGATCAAGTGTCGTCATCAAGTTCGTCGCACCCTTCTTCGGCAAAACGACCTCGTAGATCAAGAGCTTGGAGTATCCCCGCTTGAACGCTGCGGCGACTTGGGAGAACATTCGCACGCAGTCAGCGTCAGGCCAGTCATGCGGTACGGCGTGGAAGAAGTAGGCGCGCGCATGCAATTGGGGTTGTGGGGTGAAGAAGTCGTAAGCCTGCTTCACGATCCTATTGTCCAAGTCTTCGATCGGCATCGCAACGACTTCTGGGGTATCTTGCAGGATCAATACATCGGCAGGCAAATCGGGATGCTTGTCAAGCAGACGCGAAGTATCGAGGCCGTGAGCGCCACCAATGTCCACGAACAACGGCTTCCCTGTTTCTATTTCTGCGCCATTGACGATTCGGCTGGTGTCGTACACATCGGTCCAGTCCATCTTGTGGTTTCGCAATGCGGTCATCAGGCCCATGAAACTACTTCCCTTGCCCTGTGGATCCGCTGCGCAAGTGGCGAAGAAGTCTGTCCCGTTGGTCATGTCGCGGTAGTTGTCGAGCTGGGTCAGGTCGATGGGTTCGCGGTAGTTGTACTTTCTGAGAAAGCCTGGGAGGTTGCATCCGGTCGGGATGGTATGGTCGATGCTAGAGATGACTTAGCTAGATGTCTTCAAGTGTAAAACGAAGGTTCTGGTTGTACGCACCCACATTTTGTAATCTGGTCGGTATGTGATACCGTGTCGCCGAGAGAAAGCGAGTAGGGTGTAGGCTTCCAGGTATCGACGTCTGTCTCCTCCAAAACATAAAGAGCGGCAATGTGTCTCAGAAACCTCCCTATAGCCCGCAGATCAGCATTATAAACAGTCTTCTGGGCAACATAAACTCACGCAATAAGTTCGGCTCAGCCTTCGTATTAGCCCATTCAAGTAGCTGATCTAAGTGTACTGGCGCACCAGGGTTCTTCTTGTCGGCTTCCATCCATTTCTTCCAGATGCCGAGGTCAAGGATAGTCTGGACACCAGCTATAAGCACAGGTGTCTCGAAAGAGAGTCTCCAGCCTTGCTCGAATGGCGTTTCAAGGCGAGTTAGTAAACGACGCGCTGCTTCTTTGGCTTCAAAGCGCTCGGCGTCTGTGTAGAATTGTGAGGGGTGGATTGCATCTAGCACACTGATGGTAGATGTCATGATGTGTACGTTAGGTGGAATTCAGTTTCCTCTATGAGAAGGTAGGCTTGACTAACTGGAAAAAGACGGGTAGTGGACAGTACTTAAGGAAGCTCGACATGATTCATGCTCCTCTGTTATTTCCTACACATTCGCAAGTTTACGACTCTCCAGGTCCACTTCCCAACGCATCCCAGTCATCCCACGGGATGTCGCCTACCACGGACGGCAATAACACCTTGGCAGATGTGGGGGTACTCAGGGAACTGATCCTTAGCGTACGTTGATGCATGCCCATGACTCGTTTGGGAACACTGTTACGACTGTTATTGCTGGGGTTCGCCTTATCTTGCAGGTCGTAATATCAGCGGCTCAAGTGGGATGATTTTGACTGTCGTGGGCATCAAGTTGCCTCCAGCTGTGATGAAAATGTCTAGATAGAAGTGAGAGTTGCGAGAAATGTATGTCATCCCTATTAAATACATAAAACCGCAGTTGGTATCAGGAGCTTTTGCAGAAGCCGTGCGTGACGTCCTTGCCCCTCCGCGGAGTAAAGCTATACGCCGTGGAATAGCGCCAAACGGCAGGCCGTTGCGATGAACCAGGGGCACATATCTTGCCCTGACATCCTTCAAACCATACTCTTACTTCCAGGGCGACCGTCTTGACTCGCCCCACGCACCGAACATCTCCAGTGCGAAGGCACCGGAGACAGTATGGGGTCCTTGAACAGCTCCATAGTGCTCTCTTTGCTGCTCGTCTCGAAGTCTGTCATCTTTGTCTCGATATCCGTCATCTTGTAGATCTCGAAGCCAGTCTTCTTCTTCACCTTTTCCAATGTACCAGTGTTCGATCGCGATCAGTTAGATTCTTTCGATACGTAGCCGTCCGAAGAGTGACGTGTCTTCCACGTCTCGGCTCTGAAGAGGCTGTTGATGACGGGTGCGTTGACTGCAAAGATGGATACAATCTGTTTGATGTTATCAAAAATCATCGCAATGTGGCAACTCAATAGTAGTGACTTACAGCCTCGCGCTGTGCCCATACTGAGGAGAGAGCAACTTCAACAGAAGTGCCGATAGGTAGAATACACCGAGCGATAGCCATCCCCATCACGAAGAGACTGAGAGAGAGGAGAAAGATGACGCGAATTTTGCTTTAATGCCAATTAGCTTTGGCTTCTATCCCTGGCGCGCGTGAACTTACCGCCAGAGGCTGATCTTCGCATCTTTCAACATCCATAAAGGTACGATGAGCAGCGAAGCGTCTAATCTTTTAAGACGTTAGCTTCCAATCGCTGTATTCTATATTGACACCCACACGACGTTTCCGACAGCGATCACGATGTTGATCACAATGCCGGCTGAATACTCCTTGCCTGGGTCTGGAAGAATCTGCCAGTTCCTCTTCAAGGGCAAGCAGTGTGTTGTCTGCGTGATGATGGCAGCTATACATGCAGTAACCGAGATACCAGCTACAGCCTGAACATAGTAGTAGAGTCTAGTACTTCTCCTATGCCAGGAAGTTAGTATTGGTAATTCGAAGAAGAGATGAACTTACGTCAAACGGAGGAACAGGATCATGAGAGATTCTTACAGACTCCAGACTAGAAATATCAAGAAGTAGAAGGACGCGAACATGCCCTTTGCGCCCTCTCGCATCGACTTCCGCATTGCAGGTGAAAGCGCTTCACGCTGCTCTTGAGACATGGCTATAGGCGCACCCGTAACGTCTGGAGTAGCATTAGTCGATTGATTCAACACCAAAGGACTTGCGATAGTTGACTCACTGAGATACTCCACCATAACATAAATCAAATTGAAGAAGACCAGAACGCAAAGAAATCGTCCCAGTAGAAGCTTCTCCATTCTAACGTCTTCCAACTTGTGAAGAACCTCGTAGCGATGATGGCGCTTCCAAGTGCGTACTCGGTGCGACATTCGATGAGTGTCGCGTTCGGGTCAGACATCGTTGTGGGTCGTTGCAAAAGAAAGTGAGCGAGTTGATGCGCTACAAAGCGTCATCAGGTAGATTGTGCTATATGAATCGTGCATTTTTCGGAAGGGACTGTAGTTTAGGAGTACGCACGGCATCTCTGCACAGTGCTCCATTCCCTCAGTTCGGATAGAAAAGAGTCGATGAAAACTGGGGGAAGGATTTCTTATGACAGGGATCGGGTTCAGAGGAGAGGCAAGATTCATGATGGGATGACACTCCCTTCCACTGGTTCCTCGCTTGCGACTTTCAACGCTCATCCTTATTGCTTCAGTAATAGTCTCGCATTACAGAGCGGCCCATCCCAGCGTGTGCCAAAAGGCGGTGTCCTGAACCGCCTTTCCTGTACATGATCGCCCATATTCACTTGCACATGCCGATGATGGGTGTGCGATACATTTCGTGTTGACTGGTACCTGACAAACAACTGGTTACATCACGTCCTCGCTGGAGGAAATCTGATATGTTAGAAGTAAAGCGAACCAGGCCACAACTGCAAGCCACTACACTAATCGCCCACTCTTGCTGAAGCGGGTATGCAAATGGAGAGTCGTGGGAGTGCGGGTGGTGTCTATGGCCCCGTGCAGCGCATTTAACCAACCAATGGCAACTGGAATAGGATAAGGACATGTTTCGGCATTGCATCTTGGCATGATCACACATCGGCAATGCACCGCCGAACGCTGGAGGAACCATTTCGGAGAAATGAGCCGCACTGCTGGGTTTGGGGAAGTGTAGTCAGCTTTTGCGACTTGGGAGCTGCAGCTGTTGAATAATGATTGTGGACGTGGTCCGCAAGAGATCGCCCACTCGTTCGTTGCTTCTGTTGGAACCGAGTGTTGCCGGCTAATCCCCGCTCTACCTTACCCCCACTGACCTTCGTCCCCTCGTCCCTTCGAGATGGAAGTCCCGTAAAATCAGACAAGAACATGCCATCACATAAATCAGCGGCGAGTAACCTCCATGGCAAAACCGTGTTGATCACTGGTGCCTCCTCTGGTATCGGCCGTAGCACCGCACTCGAATTCGCTCGCACATCGTCGCAAAGCCTAAAGCTAGTCCTTACAGCACGAAGAGTTGATCGACTTCATGAACTAGCTGCGCAAATCAGGAGCGAGGTTGGGGATGGCGTAGAAGTCTTCGTGAAGCAGCTCGATGTTTCAAGACCGACGGAGATCGAAGCAATGTTTGAAGAACAGGGGCTGCCAGAACGATTCCGCGACGTGGATGTGCTGGTGAACAATGCGTGTGTATTCCTCTGCCAGGTACACTTCTTCTGTTGACCACTGCGAAAAGAGGCTTCATGTCCGGCGTCGAGCAAGCACCGAATATCCCGAAACAAGTGATTCACGATGTATGGGCAACGAACGTGACGGGAGTCATAAACATGACGCAGGCTACACTTAAGATATTCAAGAAGCGACCGGATGGCGGCAAGGGAGATATCGTCATGCTAGGAAGTATCGCCGGGCGGGAACCGTACGTTGGAGGCTCGGTACGTGACAGTCGCCGCTTTCAAGACATCGAACACGGTGGATGTAAAACTGATGGGACTTCAGATATACTGTGCGAGTAAGGCATCAGTCCGCGCTTTCACCGATGCTTTGAGGAGAGAGCTAATAGACACGCGCATTCGCGTTGTTACAGTCGATCCTGGACAAGTCTTGACGGTATGTATCGGCACCTCGTAGTGAACTTCTCGCTGATGCCGTACAGGAGTTTAACGACATCCGGTATCGCCATGACAAAGAGAAAGCGGACATGGTCTACGCGTACTGTCTTCGCCTCAGAGACCCTTGATGAGATTGCTAACTATGCCTAGCGGTTGCGATCCCCTTACCCCAGACGATGTCGCTGAAGTCATCGTGTTTGCCACGAGTAGACGGGAGAACGTCGTTGTCGCAGACGTACTCATGTTTCCGAGCCACCAGGCATCTTCTACACATGTCTATAGAAGCAGATAGCGATGTGGAGAGAGCTACCGTAGATATCTTTTCGTACGACCACTGCAGGGTATTCGATGGGACACATCATGCGATGGAACGTCCAGCTGTAGTCATGTCGAAGATGGTTGCTGTTGGCGGTGCTTATCCGAGGCGCGAGAAACGACCCAACGTGTCACGACACTGGTGTTCATGATGCAAAGATGGACGCGATTTTAGTCGACTAGTATTATAGAATTCAGCTGTCAAGCCATCAGTGGAAGTTTGTAATTACACCACCTGGGCAGTGCGACGCGTGCACAGGATGCGCCAAGACATAGCCGGCCTAGCACTACCCGAGGGCCCTAATGCTCCGAGGCCTGGACGCGTTCTCAATGATGAAAGTGAATGTCTACATCGCGATCTATCCCAAGTCACATGCAGCATCGGTCATCGTGAAGGTCATCGGAAAGAAGAACGAGTTATTGTGTGCCGTAAACGACAACAGTCTCGCGCGATTCGCCAGCCTGGAGGCGTCATGAGCATTCCAGCGGTGTATCACCCGGGTGTTATCTGACCAAGCTGCGTATGTTCCGTCGACGTAGCGAACTGGCATCCTAGGCTTAGGCGTACATGCTGCATCGCTTCAACCCTCTATCTCAATGTTCTCGTCCACCGGCGCCTTCCCGTTCCCCTTGCCCTTCACCTCGTCCCCAGGCGGAAGGGGCTTGACCTCGAGTAGACAGCACCCTCTACCGGCTGCTTCACTACACTTTTCGCACTTTCTTGAGTACCACATTGGCTCTCGGAGTTCGTTGCCACTCGATAACATCCTAATCCTGCCGCCCTCGCTAGCCCAGGTCTCGTTAGCGGAATTGCAGTTCTTGTCAGGACACCGCCAGACGTATATTTTGACGAGCGGATCTACATGGGAATTGGCCTTGGTAGTTTTGGATGTGTCATGGGACATGTTGAGAGCGATTGCAGCTTTCTGTAACAAGGCAGAGTCGGCTTCTTCTTTGTGTCAAGGCTGTGTGATGGTATATTCGTTCGGGGTGTAGAGACAGTATAGCTTTGGAAAGTCGATTTAGAAAGGGAGAGATGATGCCCCTACGAGAAGGAAGAGTTGGAATGCGAGTTGAGTGGGAGTTGAAATGCACACAAAGAGTGCGCACGTGCCGTTGTCATATGCACAATGACAGCACGGTGAATGAAAGACAATCGACAGAACACCCTCCGGAAAGCTAGACTGATCCAAGAGCCGCAACCAAGACTAGGAAGATTTCATATTCTGGGTTAGCAAACGACGAGCTATCTGGATCTTCAAGATATCGTTGAGTGCCGAAGCCTTGACGAAGGACTACGATAAAGCGCGGAACAATCGACAACAACGCTTTGCCGCCCTTCTAGAACCCATCTCTTGCCCATTCTTTCGCAAGAGTAAGACGTTCCTCAAAGAAATGAGCACCAGCAACACCTGGAGCATCCCAGTGAGTGGGTTCATCTCCAGCATTGCGCCAGCCCATCTTCATGCGAAGCTCTTCCGCGTCTATTATCTCACCGAAAGGAACGATACGCATATTTCGCACTGGAAGTACGTTCTCGTACGCGTTGAATCCACAGCAGCGCCTCCATTCGCGACACCAAGACTGGAAGAATGATCCCATTCTGACAAACTCGGGTTTCATTCCCAGCTCTTTGAGAAGATTCACTACGGCGACGGCATTACCACGAAGGCCTAGTACTACTACGAGCCCGTACATGATCATATCGCTCAGCGACTCCTGTCCGAGATTGAGATGCCATCTCACAGTTATGAGAGGGTAGTTCTCACAGGTGAGGGCGACTAGGTTTAGATCATGGACATGGTGATGTAGCTTTGCTATACTGTCGTTGCCCCCCATATCTTCTTGAGCTAACAGGACGATGCGACGGACTCGCTGTCTCCAAACTTCGCTGCACATATCCAAGAAGCCTAGGAGCTGTGCAGCGGGGTGTTTTCCGAGGAACCTGCCGCGTCGACTTCCGTGGGACAGAAAGACGAGGTCGTTTAGCTGCCATTCGACTTTGAGTGTCTCCGAGCGAAGCTGCCAGCAGGTGTACTTAAGCTGATTGGCTTCCCGTGGTTGGCGCCAATCGGTACAGAAGTATGCTTTGTAGTCATCTTCGCGATGGAAAATGAGGCCGTCTGACTCGTGAAGGGCGTATGTGTAGATCCGATCACGCAGTTCGCGGGGCAGGCGAAGAAGAGGGCTGGTATCGCTATACGCCATGGTGATAGGTATGTTGCACAAGCTATATCGCTTTTCGGTCCACCCCGTGCTTGCTACTCAAAGGAAAGCGCGTTAATACAACGAGCTGTAAAGCTATCTAGTGCGAACCAGCTTATAGATCGCGTCGGCCACAGTCCCAAGCGCGCTCTTTGCAACGTACTGGTTATAACCTGCTGTAATCGAGAGAGTACAAGAGCAAAAATTATTGTGCTACACAAAGCGATGACAGCAAAAAGAAAGCGAGTGTTGCATCGGCCGGGAATCTATCGTGTTGTTAGAACAATGGATCGAATCAGGTGGACGATCTAAACTTACCGAACCCGGGGCTAGCCGAAACTGTCCAAGGTGGATGGCAACGGCTAATTTTACCACTAAACCACCGATGCTGATGATCAGAGTGAAGGATTGGTTCACGTGATTTGATAAAAGTTTGGCCTCTCAGACAATATATATTGTCAAGCGCAGTGTGATGCTGTCTGCGCAGACGGGACTACAGTATGGGGCGAGTGTCCCCGTGGAGTAGAACGAGAGGTTGGTCAAATTTGCTCGCTTAGAAGCATGCTGCATGCAACTTTACTTTGGCAAGTTTAGTGGCATCTTGACCTCCACTGTCCGCTCAAATATGGAGGCCCACGACAGTATATAGCAGCGATCACAGAGATGACGGGAAACAAATTCGCAGGCGCTCAAGTCGCAGATATCCAGGTAGGAATTAAAGATATCAGCATCGTCATCGTCCCCTCTCTTATTGATTGCAGTAACCTTCCAAGATCCCGATAACTTCAGTATCACACGGTATTAGTAGACTACTTTGGCGCTCACACAGGTGTAGTTTCATTCGGAGCTGTTCACGTGCCGTGAAAACGGTGCAGATGTGTATTCAATGACATTTGTTAGCTACTGGCGCTCAACGATGCGTGTCTGTCATGGGCATATCCTGGGACGGGACCGCGGCCTCCCTGGGAGACGCCATCCGATCGGGGCCGCATGCGATGACGTCCGCGCGCGCATCTGAGGGACGGGTTGGTCTCTTGAGACCCCTACCATGTGCCAAACCTGGTAGCACTTCCCTTTTAAATCACACCAGTCGTACTTTCAAACCCTAGGCGAAGGCATTGAAAACGTGCACTGCCATCTGGTGGATGGGATCAATGCTAAGCACCTTGGCACCAGTTGAATTCGGACGCCGCGGACGCCGCTCTGCCTCTATTTCCATTCCGCACTTCCTTTCCGCATCGCCATCCATGGAACAGCAAAACATCTTTACACGTAAGCACTGCTGACTGTCGCCATCGGCAGTCGGTCTTTTGCGCGCGACCGGTGTCGTGCTTCGACAAATTCCATGACGCATCGCTCGGTACTTGATTGTACGCTGTAATCGGCCCTGATGGCAACCGGTCCAACCTTTCGCCCGTATGTTCGTACAAGCAAGGTACGATACTATGTACGAAAGTAAGTGTGTTGCGCTGAAACGAGTTGAATTTGTGATCAGGCAAAGCGGCAGTCTGTTGAGTGTGGATACTGATTTCGCACAACGAGCCGGTCACTGGAAGGTGCGAACAGCGAGCATTAAGAGCGCATCAACAATTCAGGGTGGCTCTCCACATCCCGGTGGCCACAGGTCTATCTCTATGACTAGTTGAAACTTCGTGGAGAGCATGTCGGATACATTGAGGCCCTGGTCGAACCGTTCTCACGGTTTTTGGGTCGCTGTTCGGTGCTTCAGGCGCTCGGCCGAAGCCGAATCGATCGTCAAGCCATCCGCTAGGGACCGCTATCAGGACCAATTTCAGCTCCGCCCCGCTACAACAGCGCCCAGTACGGGAAACAGGGACATTGTTCGTGGCTGACCCTGACTCTAGCATCAGGGCAATCTAGACTGCCGAATTTGCAGTTGGTGCTTGGACGACCTCATGAGCCAATCAAGAGGGTTGGCCACATGCAGTCGTACCACAGCAGCCGGTGCCCGTGGCTTCCTGCCTCGTGTGAGCCCCTGCTTCGTCCGTCGAAGGAAGGAATGCGCGCGATTGCGCCTGCGTCGTCAGTAAGCTCGGAGTCGCTGATATCGACGCCCGACTCTTCCTAGACTTTTCTAATCGATCAGGATCCACATCAGCTTTCCATAGGCCCATGTATATGGCTACGAACCCCAATATCCTTTTGAATAGTACCTGCTTGAAGCTCCTATTTCCACATTCAGAGTCCAATCTTTAACCGCTATCATCATATCACAAAAAGAAGAAGATCCTGGCCAAAGTGTTGGATCAACACCAAAATGGAGGGCCGTAGGAGGAGCAGTGGTATGAACATACCATCGGGCGCTGGTGAAGACATCATGCGAACACTATCACGCACATTTTCCGGCAAATCACGACAAGACGACAACATCCAAAGAGAAGACGACAGTGCAGACAGCGACTCCGCCAAGACCAAGGTGGACGAATGGAGACTGGCAAGCGATGTGAAGGAACTCCAGCAAAACGATCCGACCGACGGACGGAGACTCGGGGTTACCTGGAGCGGGCTCACTGTCAAGGTGGTGCCCTCAGACGCACGTTTGCAGGAGAATGTGCTCAGCCAGTTCAACATACCACAACAGATCAAAGAGTCGCGACAAAAGCCAGAATTGAAGACCATTCTTGATAACAGCTTTGGTAGCGTACAACCTGGCGAGATGCTGCTCGTCCTGGGAAGGCCTGGTTCTGGATGCACCACCTTACTGAAGATGCTCGCCAATAAGCGCAAGGGGTACGCACAAGTCGAAGGCGATGTGCACTTTGGCTCGATGGACGCCAAGGAAGCCAAACAGTACCGCGGCAACATCGTCATCAACACCGAGGAAGAGCTCTTCTTTCCTACTCTCACAGTCGGCAAGACCATGGATTTCGCTACAAGACTGAACATCCCACGTACTCTTCCGAAGGATTCCGCAACTCCTGAAGAGTATCGCCAGAAGTTCAAGTCTTTCTTGATGGAGTCTATGGGGATAGCCCACACTGAGGATACCAAGGTCGGCGATGCCTTTGTCCGCGGTGTATCTGGCGGAGAGCGCAAACGAGTCTCTATCATCGAGACTTTGGCCAATCGCGCTAGCGTAGCCTGCTGGGTAAGTACATCAACAATCCACGCCAAAGCTCATCTCGAAGGTCTTCGTCATGGCTTTGGTGTATAGCCCGAGAAGACAAGCTTCTTGGAACCAGGAACGATGGGCGCTAACATTTTACAGGATAATTCCACACGCGGTCTCGACGCAAGCACTGCTTTGGAGTACACTCGTGCTCTCAGGTGCTTGACCGATGCGATGGGCATTGCTACGATCGTCACCTTATATCAGGCAGGCAACGGTATCTACGATCTTTTCGACAAAGTCCTTGTGCTCGACGAAGGCAAGCAAGTCTTCTACGGTACTCGCGAACAAGCCCGACCCTTCATGGAGGAGCAGGGCTTCGTCTGCAGCGAGGGTGCGAACGTTGCCGACTTCTTGACTGGTGTGACGGTACCGTCTGAGCGACAGATCCGGTCCGGATTCGAAGGCTTCCCACGCAACAATATCGAGCTAGAGCAGGCCTACCAACGGTCTTCAATCAAGGCTGCCATGGTCCAAGAACTGTCGTATCCCACGAGCGAAGCGGCAAAGTCGAATACCAAGTCCTTTGTCGAAGCTATGGCGATAGACAAGTCGAAGCATCTTCCAGCGTCGTCCCCTATGACGGTCTCGTTCTACAACCAGGTGAAAGCCTGTGTGGCTAGGCAGTACCAGATCCTCTGGGGAGACAAAGCGACGTTCATCATCAAGCAAGGTTCCACGCTCTTCCAAGCAATTGTGAGTTATACCAGTGCTCTTTGCGTTGCTACGAAGTATCACAAGATGTATTTGGAATGATGACTGACTCTATTTCTAGATCGCCGGTTCGCTCTTCTACAACGCCCCCGCGACCTCATCTGGTCTGTTTGTCAAGGGGGGAGCGCTCTTTTTGGCTCTCCTATTCAACGCATTGCTGGCCATGTCGGAAGTCACGGACAGCTTCTTCGGCCGCCCGATCCTCTCCAAACACAAGAACTTCGCCTTCTACAACCCGGCAGCTTTCTGTATCGCGCAGATCGCAGCCGATGTGCCGATTCTACTGTTCCAGGTCACCATGTTCATGGTAGTGCTTTACTGGATGGTGGCTCTGAAGGCTACAGCTGCTGCTTTCTTTACTGCATGGTAAGTGATGTAGAAGGTTTCTGCATGCATAGATCGTACTGACACGCTTTGACAGGTTCATCGTATTCGTTGTCACCTTCGTCATGACTGCCTTCTTCCGCATGATTGGCGCCGCCTTCCCCAACTTCGACGCTGCTTCTAAGGTCTCAGGTTTCTCCATCAGCGCTCTCATCCTATACATTGGCTACCAGATCCCGAAGCCAAGTATGCATCCATGGTTCGTTTGGATCTACTGGATAGATCCTCTGAGTTACGGCTTCGAATCTCTGATGGCGAACGAGTTCTCCGGACAAGAAATACCCTGCGTCAACTCCAACCTCATTCCAAACTTCCTACCTCAATACCAGAATGGTGTCAACCAAGCTTGTGCAGGTGTTGGCGGAGCTAAGCCAGGCGCTACCTCGGTCAACGGGGACGATTACTTGGAGAGTCTTTCTTACGCTAAAGGACATATTTGGCGCAACGTCGGCATCCTGTTCGCCTGGTGGTTCCTCTTTGTGGGCCTGACAATCTTCTTCACCCTCCGATGGGATGACTCGGCCGGTTCCGGAGGCGCTCTACTGATTCCTCGTGAGAACAAGAGGAAGGTTCCACGCTCTATCACACCCGGCGATGAGGAAGCCCAGGCAAATGAGAAAAGCCCTAGAACCGACGGTGCAGACGAAAAGGCTACTGAGACCCAGGATCTGAGTGCCAATCTCATGCGCAACACATCTGTCTTCACCTGGCGCAACCTATCCTACGTTGTCAAGACCCCATCTGGTGATCGCACACTCTTGGACAACGTGCACGGCTACGTCAAACCCGGAATGCTGGGAGCTTTGATGGGCTCATCTGGTGCCGGCAAGACAACTCTTTTGGACGTATTGGCTCAGCGAAAGACTGATGGCACTATCCATGGCGAAATCTTAGTCGACGGCCGACCGCTTCCAGTTTCATTCCAACGTTCTGCAGGCTACTGCGAGCAACTCGATGTCCACGAGCCTTTCGCGACCGTCCGGGAAGCACTCGAGTTCTCCGCCCTCCTTCGTCAAAGCCGCGATACACCACGCGAGGAGAAGCTGGCTTATGTCGACACTATCATCGATCTGCTCGAGCTACACGACCTGGAGCATACATTGATCGGTCGTATCGGAGCAGGCTTATCGGTTGAGCAGCGCAAGCGCGTCACTATTGGTGTCGAGCTTGTTTCTAAGCCATCGATTTTGATCTTCCTCGATGAGCCTACCTGTAAGTACATGTTACCATTCTCGAGTTCCTTCTCTAACACTGTCTAGCTGGTTTGGATGGCCAAGCCGCTTTCAACACCGTTCGATTCCTTCGCAAGCTTGCCGACGTTGGCCAGGCCGTCTTGGTTACCATTCATCAACCGTCTGCTCTGCTCTTCGCCCAGTTCGACACTCTTCTGCTTCTCGCAAAGGGTGGCAAAACCGTATACTTCGGTGACATTGGCGACAACGCGGCTACCATCAAGGAATACTTTGAGCGATATGATGCTCCATGCCCCCCGGGTGCCAATCCAGCAGAACATATGATCGACGTGGTTACAGGTACAAATGGCAAAGATTGGCACCAAGTCTGGCTAGATTCGCCAGAAGCTGCACGCATGCACCAAGACCTCGATCATATCATCACCGATGCTGCTGGCAAAGAGCCCGGTACTACGGATGACGGTCATGAGTTCGCGACGAGTCTCTGGACACAAACCAAGATTGTTACCAACAGGGCCAATGTCAGCATGTACCGCAATGTCGACTACGTTAACAACAAGTTCGCCCTCCATATCGGTACCGCGCTGTTGATTGGTTTCAGTTTCTGGAAGATTGGCAACACCGTAGCCGACCAGCAGCTCATCCTCTTCTCTCTGTTCAACTACATCTTCGTCGCACCAGGTGTGATTGCTCAGCTGCAACCCCTCTTTATCGACCGTCGCGACATCTACGAAACACGTGAGAAGAAGTCGAAGATGTACTCCTGGATCGCCTTCGTCACCGGCCTTGTCGTGTCCGAGATTCCGTACCTCATCATCTGCGCCGTTCTCTACTACGTCTGCTTCTACTACACTGCTGGCCTTCCGTCAGACTCCAATAAAGCAGGCGCTGTGTTCTTCGTCATGCTTATCTACCAATTCATATATACAGGTATTGGCCAATTCGTGGCCGCGTACGCTCCGAACGCTGTGTTCGCCTCGCTCGTCAACCCTCTCATCATCGGAGTCCTCGTCTCATTTTGTGGTGTTCTAGTGCCATACGCGCAAATCCAAGAATTCTGGCGCTACTGGATGTGTAAGTACCTGATCCTAAACCTTCCAAGGCAACAACACTAACATCGCCAAATAGATTGGCTGAACCCCTTCAACTACCTTATGGGATCGCTGCTCGTCTTCACGGATTTCGACTGGGAAATCAAATGCTCCGAGTCTGAGTTCGCAATGTTCGATCCTCCAGCTGGCCAGACTTGCAGCGAATACCTCCAAGCGTGGATGGCTGGACCAGGCAGTCGCACGAATCTCGTCAACCCTGAGGCGACTGCTGACTGCAGAGTCTGTCAGTACACTAGGGGAAGCGATTACCTGTACACGGTCAACTTGAACGACTACTACTATGGATGGAGGGATGCGGCTATCTGTGTCATCTTTGCCATCTCGAGTTACGCGTTGGTTTATGTTCTCATGAAGCTGAGGACCAAGGCGAGTAAGAAGGCAGAGTAGGTGAGTGGCTGTGTATTCTTGCCGCTCGTCGTTCAGGAACCAATTTGCCTTCTGCTCACAACTACATTGGGGACCTTGGTCACCTGTTGGAGTCTCGGCTTTGTACATCTTTTCTTTTCTTTCTTTTCTATTCTAAAAGTTCGTACTTTAGACCATTTCAGACCATCTCTAGACTTAGCGTCTGATCCTAGAGCAGGGTCAAGTTTGCTACATGTAATATATTGTAATTCCTTGCGAAAGCATATTCCATGCATCCATGCAGCGACCTTGAGCGACTTCGTTACAGCCAGTGTCATTGCCATGGTAGATCCAATAGTGAAACACTCGAACGACTACCAATACTTGAGTATCGAACCTACTGCCCAGTGCCAACCAGAGCTTTCGGAGGTGAAGGCAGGCCTTCAAGCCCGTACTAACAGAAGATTCCAGTGGAATAACGTTCTTAGTGGCTTTATACACGTGCACCACGATGACGCTAGTGAGTGAGTGAGATTCTACCATGCGCGCTCCACAACTCCACCAACCGACAAACCAACGCGTCTTTGTAACGCGCCACGATACTCAATCCCCATCGCGCATTCCCTCAAACCCCACCGCGACCCTGCAATGCCCCCGAAAGCACGTACGCCTCGCGGCAAGGCCGCCGCCGCGGTTGAAGAAGTGCCTGTCGCATTGCCAATGAAGCGCGGTCGCGCCGCCAAAGCTGATGTCGTCGCCGAGCCCCCCAAGAAGCGCGGTCGCCCTGCGAAATCACAAGCTGAAGAGCCCGTCGAAGCGGCACCGGAGCCCAAGAAACGCGATCGCCAAGCCAACGTTGCGCCGGAGCCCGTCATCGAAGAGGCACCAGTAGTCAAGAAGGGCAGAGGAAGGCCCAAGAAAGACGCCGTCACTGTACAAGAAGGAGCGCCGGTCAAGAGTCGTGGGCGCCCCAAGAAAGAGGCCATTGCAGAGCCGGCAACACCACCCAAGCGTGGCCGTCCAGCGCGCGCTGCAGTCGACCTTCACCGCGTCAATGGCTCCCCTCGCATCGGCAAGAGGTCGTCTCCTCGCAACAACAACAAGGTCAAGCTTGAACCGCTCGCTCGCCGCCTTGATCCACGCATGCGATCCAAATTGCGCACGCGACTCCCAGCCAAGAAGAGCGAACCAGCACCTCAGCCAGCCCCAAAGCCAACTTCTAGACGTGGACGTCCACCCAAAGCCGCTGCCGCTGTTATCCCTCCAAAGCAAGTCGCAAAGCCCGCAAAGCCTCTTGCTCCCCGCAAGATGCGCGGTCATACTATGCGCCAGATCCCCGACCGATACGTCGCGCAGATCGACCAATACCTCCACGACCTCATCGAAGCCGACGAGTCTCCTGTCGTAGAGCAGCAAGAAGATGGCATCGTCGCCGAAGATGGTCAGGACGCTCTTGTGTCTTCAGAGCAGGACCGGGACCAGTACCAGGAGGACAGTGATGGCTGCATAGACATGGACGGTCAACAAGACGGTGTTCAAGACGAGGAGGATATGCAGGCGGTTGTCACGCAGCAGCAGGAAAACGAGTACGACGAGGACTCACCCGAGGAGGCAAATAACGACGAGTTCCCCGAACAACTCCACAAGGACGACCAGTCTCCGTACCCACAGGAGAGCGAGAACGAGAACGATGAGAATGCCGAGCCAGTACACGAGGAAGTTGAGATGAGCATGCATGACGTCGAGATGGAGGCGGACGCCGATGGCAACACCCTTCTCACCACGATCGATACCGACATTGTAGTCCGTGACGATAGCCCTGACAATGGCCAAGATCCCTTCAATACTGGAGGGGAGGATCGTCTCCTCAGTGAAACCCCCAGACCTTCTGCGACTGCGATCTTCAGCTAGACGACTTGTGTCTGGTTGAAGCGTACATATGCTTCTGTTCCGGCTTTGCATTGCTGAGTGAAGTAGCATCTTCATTCTGATAGCACGTAGCTTGCCTGTACAAAGCTTTTCATTACTTGCAGGGCATCAGGTCGATGGGACGAGCGACGGTCTTATGGTCAGCCTGCTCATCCTGACCACAAGGTTCGCTTCTGTATCGCGAGATGTCTATAGCGGCCCCATGCTACATATGATTGCATAACACTAACGATTTCTTCTTGCACATCGCAGTAGTTGCTAACAACTTGAATTGGTCGTGCATCACAAGGTGATGGACAGATTCACCACCACTCGTTTCATCATCATGTCAACGTAAAGCATCGCGAAACCCCCTAGTACACATCTCGAGAAAACTTTTGAATGTTCATTCATTACACCTGGGTTATAGTACTATCCCGACACCCATACCAGATTTTGACTTTTACCCACCCTTCAACAGCTCAACTTCGTTTCCGCCGTACTCGGCCGACTCGTCCTACTCGTCTCAAACACACCCCTCCGCCTCCTCACTTCCTCACCCATCATGCGCCAACCTGTCCAGCAATGAAATCCCAATCGCTCGACATCGTAACTAATGCGCGAAGATAGAATTCCCCTCGCCATGCTCATGGCCATGGCTGTGTCCGTGGCTGTGACCACCACCAGAGGCACTGTGGTTGTGGACGGTAGTACCGCTGGATACTACCCTGGAAATCTTGGAGCCACCACGGGCTGCGCCACCGCTACTGGCGTGGTATACGCTGCTGGCTGACTCTTCGAAACGCTCCATCTCGCGGCACTTCTCCTCGTACTTGGCCATGTATTCGTCGCGCTCGCGGTCGGCGGCGTGACGGGCGGAGATGGCGCGTTCCTTCTGCTCGCGCGCTTCGTTGAGCAGAGTGCGGAGTGAGGTTATCTCAAACTCAAACTCAGCAGAGGAATCGTCGTAGGTAGAGATGGTCTCGGTGATCTCTTCGTACTTGTGCTTCCAGGCGTTGAGGTCGGAGTGTGCGCGGTCGCGAGCGTACTTCAGGTTGGTGATCTCGGTTTGGAAGATTACGAGCTTTTCCTGGAGACTGCTGATCTCGCCGGTGAGATGACCGTGCTTGCCGCGTGAGTCTTCGCCCTCGCGGTAAAGCACCTTGTTGCGCTCGGTCAAGGTGTGGATCTCAGACTTAATCTCGGTAATCGTCAGCTCTGCGCGGCGGAGGGACTCTTCCAAGATGTTAATGCGGCGGTGGCCGTCTTCCACCTTGCGGTGCTCGTCGTGGAGGTCTTGCTTGAGTTGGTCGCGCTCAATGACGACAAGACGGTGGTCCTCGCGAGAGCGGTCAATGGCATCCCGGAGCTCTGTGCGCTCGAGCTCAACGTCCCTCAACTTCTCCTTGACGGAGACGACCTCGCGCTTGATGTGCTCGTACTTGAGAGAGAACTCGTTAGCACGGGCGTCGGCCTCCTCCCAACCTTGAGCCTTGGCCTTCACCTCACGGCGGAGGTTGTCAATGGTCAGAGCATGGTCATCACGCTCTGTCTCAATAATGCGGGCAGTCTCCTTGAGCTTGTGAAGCTCACGCTGTACGCGGTCGTGTCGCTCAGTCAGCTCGGTGTACTCGCGAGTGGTTTCGTCAACGCGGGACTTCGCGCGCTTCAACTCTTCGTGTAGACGATCCTTCTCGTGGAGGTGTTCATCCCGCTCAAGCTCAAACATCTTGATACGGTCGGTAAGAGTGAGGACCTCCTTGCGAGTAGACTCAAACTTAGAAGTAGTCTCGTTGTACTTGCTCTTGAGCTCAGTGTGCTCACGAAGAAGAGTCCTCAGCTCATTGTGGTGCTTGTCCGAGTCGAATCGAGCGGAGTCGCGTTCGCCTTCACAGATCTTCAGCCTGGAGTATGCAGCATCTAGCTCCGCCCTGGTTCTCTCGTGATCACCATGAGTGAGCGTGATGGAGCTTTGAAGTTCGTGTAGTTCATGTCGGGTGTTTTCTAGGTCGCGGTCGCGATCGGCGAGTTTTTTCTTGTGGTCGGTCACTTGAGTAAGAGCAGCTGTGAGCTCAAGAATGAGCTTCTCCACCTGCCTCTTCCTCTCGCCATGCTCATGACCATAATGTGAGTGTTCAGCCTCTTTACGCTGGATCTCTTCGGTCACCTCCTCGACGGTAATGAGAAGTTCATCCCTCTCGCGAACGAGACTGTCTCGTTCAGCCATGATACGAGACCATGATTCCTTGAGTGAAGAAGCCTCCCGGGACGCAGTAGACATGAGGTCCATCAAGGCGAAGAACTTGCCCTCGGCCTGTGATGTGAGCTCTGTAGACATCTTGCTTCGATGCGATTGGAGGAAGCTGCTTGCTCGACGAGAAGATGAGCTGGTTTGGCGAGTCGTTCGGCGTGTCAGTGACGAGCTGTGCCCGCCGCCATTTGCTTGACTGGCGAATGAGAAAGACCGGTTGCCTGTGGGGGAGGAAGGCTCGGAAAAGACATCGCGAAGTCCACTGGCCTTGAGCTTCATAATGGTAAGTTTCTCAGGCGAGATATCGGCGGTGGTGTCGAATGTGTCTGTCATCGTGATGATGTGAGGTGTTGACAAAGATGTGAAGATGTCTGAGATGTAAATACTATCAAGGTGAGCGGAAAGTGGTACTTATGCTGTCAATGCCGTCAACCAGCGTCCTGGCCCACGTACCATTGTAGCGCATTCCAAGCGGCACATCAATACCATCATCGGCATAGTCAGCTCCTCGCATTAACGAGCTGGCCGTGGCTTGCAGCTTGAAGGTATATTCCCACATATGACGCAACATTCTCAGAGTACCTGGCGAACTGGAGGAGCTATTCCAGCTGCCGTTCGATACGCTGCACTGTTACTGGAAAGGCACATGCAGCAACTTGGAACCATGCATGAGATAAGTGGGACCTCTTCACTAAGTGTCGGCGACTCAAGAGGTGGAGGTAACCATCGTAACATTCAGCTTGAATGAGCACCGCCTAGGAGATCAGACCCGGTATTGCCATATGCAACGACGATCCTTTGTAGCGCAAGTCGCTGAGAGGGATTTTCACCTTGCCGCTCTCGCTTGTCGGGGCATTGGACTGCATGATGCATCGGCTTACGACTGCATGATGTGATGCCAGACGCGGGTAGATCACCAGGGCTGGATATCTCGATGCTGCAGATCGCAGATCATATATGGGGGCGGGCCGCGCTATAGCATCCTCGCCGAGTCGACAGCGCCATCGCTAGACCTCGCTTGCTTCTTTCGGCCGCTACATGACGCCAAAGCTTTCGATAGTCCTAAACGGGATTCCGTCTTTCAGCGCAAGGGAGGAGCCGTGAGCCAATGACATCCTCTGGCATACTGGACCGGACCGCAATCAGGCAATCGGAAACGTCGGCCATGACCGAGCAATGGGATGACGACGGCCATTGGAGGGAGAGCTACACCGGTATACGCCTGGCCATTACCAGTGTAGTGTATCTGTGAGTGATGATCGAAGAGCCGGTGGTTGTAAGACGTATCCAGATCGTGCGGCGGCTCCAAGGTATGGTTGACGCTAGCACATGACCCCGCCTTGTCGATGAAGAAGCAACGAAGGAGCGGAGGAGTTCGCATCGCCAACCCTCCGTCGAGTCTGAGGCAGAGAAACGACAAACCTATCGATTCCAGAGCTGTTGGTGGGAGACGTCCAAGTGCCAGCAGGAGCTTCATCCGTGCTTTCGATGCATTTTCCCAATGCGGATCTCGGTTCTGCATATCGTACCCGCACTAGTAGCGACGTCACAGCTAGACAAGGAATTCGGGAAATAAGCGACCAATTTTCGCCTCAAAGCATCGATGGAGGTGTCCGGTAGTTTATATCGATCCTCCATGTCCACTCTCAAACGTCTTGCGTTTTGGCTAGCGCGACACGGCCCTTAAGCCTCATGTGATCCGCATGCATTTCCTTCAGCGCCAACACCAATGGACTTTTATAGAAATCCACGCACGACGAATTCACATTCCAACGGGTTTCGCTATTGTCCAGCCGCATCTTGTTGCCAAAGATTATGACAACAGTGTAGCATCAGACACAACTTGTGTCTTTCAGAACAGGTGTTTCTCGGAAATGGAATCTCTACTCATCGCAAAGTCTTTCTCACAGTAGGAATTGATTTGATGAACCAGCCATGTTTATTTTCCCAGGCACGAAGTCAAGTCATCAATCACGATAGGGGAGGCGGTACTAGCATACCCCACTTAGCTGAGTCGCCGTGGCCTTGATAAGTCCTTGGAAATGGATGGTCTTATTGCACGGCATACGGTCGCCATATCATGAATAGAAGAAATTAATACATCCGAAACCAAGCTCACAATATACTTGACCCAGGGACGTGGCGAATAATGCTCTGGATTATCCCTAGCCACATTTGAAACGATTTTTTCTTTGAAAATCGAGTTCATAAGAGCTGGGGAGAGTTGGCCCAGACGAAACGAAGACTGACGTCTTTGTTCGAGCAACCAAATCCAGGTGTGACTAAATAATTTTGGAGCTTCATCTCAGTAAGAATCAATACTTGAAAGAAGTCTAAAAACGGCGCTCGTATCGCGGATGTGATAAATGTATCCAAAGGTAAGTCTCACGAGGCGCGTCAAGAAGACACTTCACTCTTTACGTCTCTAAGACCATCCCTCCCTCTTTGCACTCACCTACTTTCCCGATACAACACGCCGTCATGAAACTATCCCTCGAGTCCATCATCGCGCTTTCACTCCTCGCCACATCCATTGATGCTTTCGAATTCAAAGTCGGACAAGGTGTATGTGCTACGCGTTATTCAAAATGCACAGAGCCATATGCTTATATTTGCGAATGTAACTCGGGCTGGGTTGTAAGTCTTCCATATCTTTTACGAGGTTGCGCACATGCTTATCGTTATCAATACAGGTACAGTGTAGTGGTGGCGGGACCCGCTTCGATTCAACCCCTGTGAAATGGATGCCTCTCCTCAACTGTCCAGTACCAAACAAGGAGGGAGGGCTACAATGTATTTCTGGGATGTGCACTGTTTGGCGGCTCGACCTGCTATCGCTTTAAGCTGTTCTCATGTTGTTGGTAGACACGCCGGCGGAGTGTGGTGTACTTGCGAACTCAGACAGTAATTGGTTCGCTCTTACACCGTTGTAGCTTGACGGAACTTGACTTATTTCGTGGGTTCGCAGTCGTCCTATCGACGTTGTTTCGTTGCCTTGCGTCTAGTACATAACGAAATATCTGATGCCGTTGTGAAGGCCCAATCTATTGAAGGCATACGGTGCCTAGGTAGATGAGATCATATGGGACAGATTTTTCGCCGTTCATATAAATCAACAAAGTTACGCAAACATGTGATGTCGTTACGACAAGACGCTGACACATGTGAGGTGTGGCATGGTGCCCAGGTGTTGTTGAGTAGACGGGGCCAAGTATGATCCCCACGATCATTCGGGCTGGGCTGCCCACAGGTCCGCCCTCCTGGAGTACGCGAAGACAAATGATAGACGCAAATTAGAAGCATGCTTAAAAAACGACGGAAAGTACGAATTGATGAGTTGCGGACACCCAGCCCCGGAGTGGTAAAATCGCTCACGGTTGCCGGCATCTCACCTTTCAACAAGTAATTCTCACATCTCTATGCCGAGGACTATGCCAAAGGATCATAAATCATGCCCGTTAGATCTTTCCAGAGAAATGGCAAGGTTAGAGGCCCAGACATGGCGGATTTGGTGCAATTAGAACAGGCTCGGTTGGATGCTATCCGACGATGTAAGGCTGAGTTTGAGGCAGAGGCAGAGCTTGAGGCAGAGGCTGAAAATTCTCCTGAAGGATCAGACAGTCGTAGGAAGCGGACTGTGGACCCGGCCTCATTCTCATCACCACGGCCAGCTCGAAAGGTCGCCAGATGCGAAGGTTCCGGTCTCCATCACGAAGAAGATACGAAGCAAGCCAACATGACGAGTAGCGCAAATGTCGATGAAGCAGTATCGAGTATGGAGAACACCTCTGGGAACGCCAACGCAGGCAGCAGTTCTGACGGAAGCGCCTTGATAAAGAGCGTCATAGAAGAAGAGCCTTTGGACGAGGATGGATTTAGAGTGGACTATGAAGCGGCCGCAGCCCGCGAAGGGGATGCCATGGATGAGGAGGAGGATGCTGTGATGAAAACCGTAATCAAGAGAGACGATAGTGTATGACCAAAACCAGTTTCAATGAAGAGATACATCCAGAGTGTTTCAGGTGGCTTTCACCTCAATATTGAGAGCGCGCAAGCGTGCCAACAGCTGAGACCATATTGGACAATCGTACTCGGGACGCGCTAGTATGACATTATCATTATGTAACCTGGACTTGTCCGGTAGGCTCTATCATCAACTCTATATGTGCGAGCAGACTCCTCCTATCCCATATTAAACGCATTACTCTTTAATCCAACGCAAATCTTTGCGAATCTCGGTCCGCCGATGGCACCACGTTGTAGTTCAAACGCTGTACATAATAGTCGTCTTCAAGCTCATGTGCCCGAGGCTTGCGTTGCACCTGGCCCAGCAGAATTGGCCGGAGCCCCTTCTTGAAGTTATAAAAGCAAACGCAGCCGGCCAGGAGTGCACTCGTCGAAAAGACCACCCCTACGCAGAGGTAGAAAACCATCTCATCCTTTAATAGGGTCTCAGCAAGTAATGAGTTCCCATAGAGAACGATGAGTCTGCTAATCAGGTATGCGATGTTTGCGGCATGGAGAAGCTGTGAGATATGGTGTTAGCGCGTGCCTGTCCTTTTGAGGTTGAGCGACCTACCAAAACAAACGCCATACCAATGCGACGCTCATGCCTGACAAAATATACCGCGATAGCCACATGTATAAGAGTAGCAGGGATGATTGAGATCGTCAATGAGAACTCGGGCTCTTGGAAATGGACGTCGATGAAATCGTAGAAGATTATGAACGCGAAGACGAAGTAGGGTGTGAACTTGAGAAGGACGAGGTAAATCTGTGCCTGTATGAGTATGACTAGGCAAAAACGATGACGCAAGTCTTACCTGGTAGACAGCGTATTTGGTTTGTATCTTCTTGTCAGGGCTGACATGCTGGTATAAAGCCCAAGAGAACTCACGATATAGGCCCCTCGCTAACCAGCACATAATTGCACTGCTGACACATGTGACCACGGTACAGACCATCAAGCCAGGTGAGGTCTTCTTCCAGAAAGGCCAATCGACATCTGCAAAGGGAGTGCCGTACATGTCGTGATTAATGAGAATCCTCCCTACTGCATGCCTGGTCTCGCCATATTGAAGTACCGTCGAGATCGAGAGACATATGTTGGCGGCGCATTGAACGAACACTTGGATGTGGTTCTTGATTCGGTATGCGTCAAGTGTCAAGATGATCTGGAAGAGACATCCTAATGAATTGACACACAAGGTCAAAGGGATGACATAGGATATTGGAACCTGGTATGCAACCGAGTTTACCCAATTCAAGTATGTGACCAGAATAACTCTAGGGCTTGTTAGCCGGTTCATCTAGTGAGTGAGTTATGCGGGGAAATACGAACGTCTGTATCGTAATATTCGTAATAGCCTGAACTGTCGTAGTGCCAAAGAAAAACCATTCCAACCTCGTTTCCGGCCGCCACGATACCATCGTTGCTATGTTCCCCGATCGAGCTGCCCACACGCCCAAATAGGTAATGGAAACAAATTTGCCGTGAATCAGCCACACCTGGGCAGGGTACAAGCAGTGGGTATTGTGTGCGACGGGAGAATCTTTTTAGCAGTCTCGAAGGATCATGATAACGCGTGGACAGAAGCAAAAACCTTCTAGTTCCATGCATAGTCTGGCATTCTCCGGGCTTGGGTCCGCTAAGGAAGTCTAAATACGGGAAAGGAGCTTCCGTGCTATGCCGCATTCAGCCGAACGTCGACCATTGCAGCTGGCATCGACGCTATGCCATCCCAGACTTCCTACGGCGAGCATTCCCGGGACCTTGATGGAGGATATGATTGAATGATCTCGGATATTACTATCACGATACGAGGTTGGTGCTGTGGAAGGTGTGGGGGGGGACTCAGGCTAGACGATTTTCTTGTTAGCGTGACAGCCTTCATGCGGGATGTCTCATCAACCCAGCCTTGCGACACTTGAGGTTCAGGACAAAATCACAGCGACATCTCGCTTCCGCTGCTGAGAACACCAGGTTTCGCGATACTCAACCCGATACGCCTTTATCCTGTCATGATGATTGACAGTCCTATTCTAGACATGCCCCGCGCACGACGCGCAAACCGTGGGTCTTTTCGCAACCAGGGGGCACAAAGCTTGCAGAAAGCTGTTCGAGAGGAATCCATGAACCGTAAAATCTCGAAGGCCAGACGCATTTGCTTTTGGAACACTCATCGAACTCAGATGGCGACTGAGGATCAAGCGACCTCTACACTGTGGGAGTTTAAATCATCTAAGATCCCGTTCTCATACCTCGTTCCTGCATCCTTCCTCCGACTGCCCACAATGCGACACGAGCACTCAAAACTCTTACCCGAGCTTCTGCTGGCAAAAGGCTACACCACAACCTCCTGAGAACGAACACTTGATTCATCCTCCTCTTCATCTCTCGACTCCGCGAGACATACTCGGGGCCCAATTCACGCTTCATCCCGTCCATAGTGAACTACAAAGCGCCCATGCCTTATGCTGCGATGGTGGGCCAAACCCTTGTAGTACCCCAGACAATTCATTCGCGCCCTACGGTTACTACATTGCTTGCTCCATAGAAATTCCTGGAGTTGGACAGTACAAGTGGAAATCCCAAATCTGTCATCCAATCCCACTAGCTCGTGATGTTCCCGACCAACCTCAGGCGCCGCAAGAACCAGCACAGCACCATGGCCATGCATCAGAAAACAACACACTAAGAAGGAACTACGAAGACACAGAGTACTGCGATGCTACCAGACAAAAGATACGTAGAACCGCTGGGTATGCAGCGACTGTCGAACGGGAACACAGCGAAGAAGCATACGGGGTCGGCACCGAGGAGAGTGCTACGGGAGACGAGACAGTTGAAGAAAATGAAGAAAATGGAGAGGAGGAAGAGGAATACTACCGACGCGAAAGTAGCGTCGAAGTCGAGCAATTCGTCAATGAGCGCGACTCATCCGATGATGAGTCAAACCGTTGGGATCCCACCAAAGCCATGCAAAAGGCTGAAGCTAGGCGTGGCCTCGTATGTTTCGGAATCTTTCCCAGTCACGGCGACCCAGAGCATACCCTGTTTTACAGCGACTGAGACGACTGGGACAACTGGGAACACCGATGGCATGCAGACACGTTACGCACCGGTATTTGGAAAGTAAGCTTTGACCCCAGGTTTCGCGTTTTAAAGTAAGCAATTCCAGGCTTCATTATGATCAAACAAATGATGTACTTGGCCCTGACGATTATGGCCGTGGCTAGATCACGCCTCAAGGCGTCGGCATCGGCACCACCTGCATTTCGAGAGACCATCGTATCGATACATTGCAGCAACGCAGGGTCTGTGAATGACGATGACGTGATTATATTATGTTCCATCAACCCTGGTGTGAAGGACGTTGTGCTCGATGGCGCGCGACTTGTCATGGACATAGCCCTAGTTCATATACTAGATCTATGCCGATCTATAGGTCGTACTAGCATAAGTGGTGACAACAGATGCCACGGTTCAATCAGCCTTACTGACCGGCAATTGCGTAACGCAATACGGATTCCCCAATACGGGAGAAGGCTGAAGCATTTGTGGCTTATGGACCAGCGCTTCACTCGGAAGCGGGCCAAGATCGTTTCCAAGACAAGGCTGAAGATGGCTATAGTAGGGGGAGAAACTGTGGGGGACAGTCACGCTGCGCAGGTTGTGGCTAGTATGACTGGGGGTTTTACCAGATTCGTGTACTTCCATGGCGGCGAGGTGCCATACAGGGAACCATGGTATTAGACAAGCAACAGGTATCGTAATATGCAAATGGAGTGTTTCGAATATGGAATATACATGTGGTTGCATTCCAAAAGTCGCGCGAAAAATGAACATACCTCTATCCATACAAGTATTACGCCAACTAATTAGCTACGCCGTCGCGGCTTCGGTTGAGAAGTTGCAGCATTCTACGCCGTTACATCGCCGCTCTTCGCTCGCTTCGCGTCCCTTTCCTCGCCAGCATTTGCCTCGGCGCGCCTTTTACCCTCGTCCTTCCTTGCAGTATCCTTCTCTTCCCGCGCAATACGCCGCGCCTCTTTGTCCTGCTTCTCCTTTTCCTTCCGAAGAGCCTTGCTCTCGAACTCGTGCCAATCACCCTCCAGCTCCTTCAGCGCATCGGCACGTCTCGGTGGCGGGGCTTCGCTCGTGAAGAAAGGATGCTCGAGCACGTCGGCGGCGGTGGGTCGCGCATTGGGATCGAACAGGAACATTGCCTGGAGAAGTTCAAAGGCCATAGGGCTAACACGGTCCTTGTACTTTTCCTCAAAAGTCGACTGTTTTCGTTCGGTTGGCCGTAGCAGTTCAAACCACTGCATGTCGACGATCCCTGGCCAGTCTTGAACCGTAGGCGTGCCCAGTATGTTGTAAATCTTGTCCAGCTGATTAATCTCGCCGCCATCGCCTGGGAAGATAGCGTGCCGTGTAAAGATCTCGACCAGCACACAGGCAGCCGACCAGATGTCGACTGCTGGCCCATACTGTGTTTCTCCCAGCAACAGCTCCGGTGATCGGTACCAGATGGTAATGACCCGGTTGGTGTAATCGAGCTTACTGCTTTTCGCGTAGAAACGTGCAAGACCGAAATCTGCCAGTTTCAGTTGTCCGGTATTGGATACGAGGATGTTCGCAGCCTTGATGTCTCGATGTAAAACGCCGCGACGGTGGAGATAATCCAGGCCTTCGAAGAGCTGTTTAGCCAGGTCCTTTTTATGTGCTTGCTCGAGCTTGAAGGTCGGGTGGTTCAAAAGACCGGTAAGATCATGGGAAAGGTATTCGAAGACCATGTAGCAGTCGTTTTTCTCGACCATGACTTCTCGGAGATTAACGATGTTGGCGTGGTTAAGAGATTGCAGAAGTTTGACCTCACGGATGGCCGTAACGGGGAACTGGCAGTTGTTAGCGTCATGTCATTGTCTAGCACTGGGTGTACTTACGCCATCGCGTTCGCCCTCCATACGAATCTTCTTGAGAGCTACCATATCCTTCGTATAGACATGGACTCCTTTGAAGACCTTTCCGTAGGTGCCGGATCCAACCACCGATTCGTTGCCGGGCTTCCGGTAATATACAGACTCTGAAGCTGCATGTTCAGGGACCAGCGTAGGCCGAGGTTTCATGCGCTTCCTCATAACGATCTTAGTCTTGGGTATCTGAGGAGGTGGTGTCTTTCGCGCTGGTCGTGGGTCAGGCCGTGGGTCGAATCGTCTATCGTCAGGTCGTCGCGGTGGGTATGGTTCTCTACGATCTCTCGGATCGCGCATATCTCTGGGATCGCGGTCACGGATATCGCGTGGGTCTCGTGGATCTCTCGAGTCTCGCATATCTCTTTCTCGTGGGTCTCGGAAGTCTCGCTCTTTGCCGCGATAGTAGGGCTCACGCGTGTCTCGTAGATCTCGGGTGTCTCTATCGCGAGGGTCTCGATAGGCAGGTTTTCGATCGTAGTAGTTATCATATCGACGGTCTCGTTCCCTATTGTCTCGGTCGCGGCCACTGTCGTAACCTCTATCCCTCGCATCTCGATCTCGATTGCTTCGTGCTTCCGAGTGACGTGGGGAAGCTTCCCGCGCTGCTGCTGCGGCCTTTGCTTTGGGGTCAAGAAGAGACTCTTTGGAAGCAGGCGCAAGCTTCTCGGGCTCTTCCACTCCAGGCTTTGCTTTGCTCGCTGGTGGCACTGGATTCTTAGTCTTCAACGAAAAACCAAATCCTGACTTGGGTGCTGTGGGTGCTTTTGAAGGTGCCATCCTTTTGTCCTCTTTGGAACCCTCGTCTTCTACACGCAGATCTTTGGATGGGCGAAAGGGGTTGTCATCAGCATCCACAGATGCTGAGTCGGCAGGTGCTTGCGACGCGACAGCGGGCTGTGGGCGTGGCGCTTCAGTGGCTGGGCGGCCGCCTCGAGTGCCCGACGCTGGCGTCCAAGACAAATTGGAGAACTGGGTTGGCGCGCCACGCCCTCTTCCGCCCGGACCGCCAAACGGAGCGGTTGCGCCAGGACCTGACATACGGCGGTCGGGGCCATTGAAGTTGTTGCCGCGATAGCCGCCATGCCCTCCGCGATGGGGGCTATTCTGGAAGCCAGGTTGTGGGTACGGTTGGTTTGGGTAGTAACCTGGAGATTGGTTCTGATGATAAGGAGATTGATTTGGGGTATAGCCATGTGCAGGCGACCTGATGATGTCAGCATTCGGATGACCGAAGACCGATGGGATGGAAACTAACCCTTGATTGGGATACGGTGGACCGTTCCAACCGCCTCGACCGCCGCCATGATAGGGCGATTGATTTTGAGGGGAATATTGATTTTGGGCAGGGTACGGTGGCGATTGCTGGAAGCCACCACGTCCTTGATAGTGATATGCTCCCCTCATCTTGCCGTGGTCCTCCCGACTTTTGGACGTGTCAGAGTTGTAACCTGATCCCGGCACTGGCGAGCCTCGACGTGATGCGATCCTGTCTGTTCCTTTGTCCAGGCGTTGTCGCGGCCTCGATGTAGGAGAAGGCGAGCGGGATGTACGGCGTCGAATGGGTGGGCGGGGCGAACGACTTCTGCGTGGTGATAGTCTGGCTCGGTGGGTATGGGGCGGCGAATTTCTGCGAACTGGGCCTGGAGATCGCCTACGAGGCGGACGAGAGGGGGATCGAGCACGTCTGGAATCTCGACTGCGACTCCTTGCCCTGTCGCGTGTATTATAGGGCTTGTAGGGCCGTTCACCGTGGTTGTCGAAGGGTGAAATAGGTCTCCGATCAGTTCTTCTGGGTGACAGTCTCCGAGGCGGTGTTTCACGCCTAGATCTCCTGTCGAGTGAAACTGATCTCTTCCGTGCACGATGAGCCACTGGCCTGTAGTGTGTGTCTGCAGAAGGCGAGCGGCGGCGAGTCGAGGTGGATGGGAAGTATGTGTCGGGCGTGGTTCGTCGAGGCGGTCGATCGCGGTCGGAACGCTGAGCTCGTGGGGAGTATGCACTTGTGGGAGGCCGGCCCGGCGAATGTGCACGTCGTGGCCTCGATGCAGAGCGTATGGAGCTGCGACTGCCCTGCCGTTTCACGCGCTTGGACGAGCCTCGTGGAGATGGAGAACGGGGGTGGTGGCGTTTCGACGATGGAGTTGTATCGCGATGGTGGTGGTGATGCCGATGCGAGTGGACAACCCTGTCTGCGCTGGCTTCCCTCTTCGAAGCTCGATAGCGGTCCTGCCCAGAGATGCTGCGACTGCGTCGACGCGCGCGCTCTCTACTCAAGCTTCTTTCGCGTGAACGTCCCCGTGCGTGTTTGGCCGATGAATGCGTGTGGGTGTCGTATGCGCGATGTCTAGGAGAATCTCTGGCAGCTCGTGGCACTGGTGACGTTGTTCTGCCCTCGTTGTTCCTCTCCCGTGACCGGTCCCTAGATCGCTCTCCGTCCCTACTAGATGAGTCCTCTGGTCTCCACTGGTCTGTATCCTGAGCCCGTCGCAGGGCAGCCATAGAGGCAGGAAGGGCATCAGAAGGCGCAAGGTTGCAGCATCAAGAGGTCCGCGGGTCAAAGTGCCACGGCCTAACCGAACAACAAGAAACTCCGGCACCCTGCTCTCAGCCTTACGAAGCAGTAGTAATGAAAGCGAGAAACAACAAGAGAATCAGCGGCGACTGTAACACACTCCTCAATGCGCTGCCGTTGATGCGCTTTTCGATGTTGCTGTCGTGGCCGCAGACGCTGCGCATGCAGCGCCTTCTCGCTCGTCGGTCTTTCGCCTGCCGCTATCGACAACGCCAAGCCCCGTGACAAGTCGCCCTCATCGAATGTGCATGGAAACCCCTCCATAGCGCCCAAGACTCAAGCCTGCTCCCAATTGTCATCTCGGCTTGTCCTTTCCGCATCTTCAGATTTTGGAGATCATTTTGCAGTCCACCAGGTGTGCCATATGGCTTCACGACATCTACATAACGCATGCGAAGCAACACTCCGCCACCCTACTAAAGACAACCCCTGACCACCGAAGCTTTAGAGAAGGTAACCTTCAATATCAGGCCATGGCAACTCGGACACGGCGATACCTTCAAACACCAATAAGTCGATATATCCCATTATCGGGGGTTGGGCCGATCCAGAAGGGCGATGCGATCCTTTTGTAGTTTCATTGAGTTCGCCGCGATCATCTTGACGTTGGGCTTCTCACATTACCACGATCGGAAATGCGAAAGCTCGCCCTCCGCAAGGGAGGGAAGATGGTGTAGTTCCCATGCTGGGGGCGCGGTCGGCGCGCCCGATAGCCTAGAGCTACCAGACCTGGATGCAATGTATGGCACGTCGCCAGACAAAAGAGCCACAATATGTGAACCAGGCCCACTTGCCGTCCTGGAACCATCACCAAAGACGAGCAGCCAGACAAATCTGGACATGCTCTCGACAGCGCCCGGAGCATTTTGCAATTGAGCGGCAGTCGTATGGCGGTTCTAGCCCTGGCCGGGGCTGGGAACTGGGAGTTGTAATGACAAGTAGAGGAGATACTGCCTTTCCCCAACGTGGGGTAGCCACAGTATATGTTAAGAATAGTGCACGATGCGTGATTAGTACGCGACTGCGCGAGAGCGGTATAAAGACGCCCAAACAAGGCCGTGGTAACTTGGTGACCCTTTGCCCTTCTCTGCCATCGCCAGTAGATGACCAATCCTCCCTCGATGCACATCGCATCTTCATGTAATGGCATGTTATGATATGCGCAGTGGGTTGAGCAGGGAGATGGGCGGCGCTGAAGCGGAAGCGCCGTTTGCCGTTCTGCTAAGTTGAGGCTGCGGGGACCGAGCGAAAGCCCTCGGGCCCCGTCAGGGTGGTCTGTCACCGGTTCGCATCATCGCTAGATGTCGTGAATGTCGAACCGAACGTTGGTGGTATGGTCGATGCCATGCGTAATCGGGGCGGCGTGTGTTGATGATGAAGCGTCGGGTAGGGAATGGTCGTGGTCGTGTCGCAGCTCTCCTGCTGCTCGGCTGTCCGCTTGTCACGTGCGCACATGGTCAGAGCGCGAAAAGCTGTGGCGTCATCGCTTGGTTGCAACGCTAATCCGCATTCGACGACGCAGGAATAAGTTATTCCCTTGTAGTCATACTGACCGGGCTCCGAACTATTCTCCTGCGGAGAGCATGCGCCAGGCCAAACATGTTTCACTGGAAATCGTGCCATACTTTCATCTCTAGTTTGCTGCTTCTTCAGTACTAAAATCCCCTTCCCCACTAAAAAGTCACGACAAATTCCCCGCGATTATGGACGCCGACACCCCCAAGCCCAAGTCTGCGGTCCCGTCGCACATGATGAACGGCGGATCACCCCTCAGGCTCACCACCGAGGCGCGCGATAGGAAAGAGCGCGAGCATCTTTTCCATGCTATAGAGACTTCCAACCGAGGGCGTCAGCCAGTAAACTTTGACGGGCCGACTAGCTATTTCCCCACGAAGGCTTCGGTCGCGAACATGCACACTGACAACCGACATGTCATGGCGAACGGTCAGGTAGACGCCGAAGACCCTTACGAGGGCGCCGTTGCCCAAACACCACTTGCGACGAGTCGCGCCCATAGCCCATACACACAGCATCCCACCATCGACTTCGATGGCCTTAGCTGGCCCAGCAAGGGCACGCGGGAGAGGAAGGAGGCGACCGAGGAGGAGAAGGAAGCCAATCTCAAGAAGCTGTCTGGTGCTGTCCGAACTATGCTCGAGTGTCTGGGCGAAGATCCAGACCGCGAGGGACTGCTGGACACACCAGAGCGCTATGCAAAGGCCCTGCTCTTCTTCACCAAAGGCTATGAAGAGAACTTGCGCGACATCGTCAACGGTGCTGTCTTCCACGAGGATCACGATGAGCTCGTCATTGTGAGAGATATCGAGATCTTCTCCCTTTGCGAGCATCATCTGGTCCCCTTTATGGGCAAGGTAAGTCTCCCTTTGTTCTATTGTACCTACTCTGAGGAATAGTGACTCACCTCTCCGTAGATGCACATCGGCTACATTCCGAACCGTCGCGTCATCGGCCTCTCCAAACTCGCTCGCATCGCTGAAATGTTTGCTCGTCGCTTGCAGGTACAAGAGCGCCTCACCAAGCAAGTTGCGCTCGCCCTCTCCGAAATGCTTCAACCACAAGGTGTCGCTGTTGTAGTCGAATCGAGTCATTTGTGCATGGTCATGCGCGGCGTGCAGAAGACAGGCGCTACAACAACCACAAGCTGCATGCTCGGATGCATGCGGTCAAGAGACAAGACGCGCCAGGAATTCTTGAACCTCATCAACAGGCGGTAGAAATGATGCTGGGTCAGCAGAGCTTCAACATTCATTTGGGGTGAAAGGAGAAGTCACTCGCCGCATCATGTGCTATCGTTGCACCACTTTCCGTATTGGCGTTATATCGGACCGGCGTTTGGATGAGGAGTTCATCACTCTCTTTAGGTGGGCGGGCTATTGTGTGGCATCACTAGACGCATATGCCTTTCAACAGGCGTTTCCTTAACTCTTTTTCGCATTCACGATGTACGACTCTGCGTCGATGTACGCAAACGACCCCCGCGTTCCGTTTTCTGATATGACACGCATCTGTGCTCCTACAGTAACGAGAATAGTCACTATGGTTCAAGTAATCGTCGGTAAATCGACATGCTTAACTCCGAACACCGCGAGCTCCCATAACCTCGATAACTAATCAGACCGATTCTCGCGCGCCTTGATATTCGTCCGTTTCCACAGTATCGGCATCGCAGCGAGATCACCTTCCGCTCCGGAATACCACCGAGGTTGATTCGCTCCCAGCCAGCGATAACTCCGTCCCCATCTTGGCGATAAGTCCATCATCTTAGTGATGTTGACATTGGGAGTGCATACCCAAACTTCACCTCATACAAGAAAAAAACTGAACAGGTCTGCACACTACATCAAGATAGAGCCTTGCGAAGTGGGTCAGGTTAACGGGGCGCCTTAGGCATGGACGGAATATAAAAGTACACATGAAGGACGAATCAACTTTTGCCCGCCAAGTCAAGCAACTTCAGTCCCGTCACACATTTCCCCTCTTCTCTGTCAGCTTTTGATACACAACTAACATACATTATGACATCACCAAGAGGTCTCGAATCTTGCTGTCTCAAATCGTTCGACTGGAACGGTACTCCAAGCGGCCACGAAACGAAACTCGCGAACAACCCAACCTACATCACCGGGTCCAATCCGAACGCAGCCGTACTTCTCGCCCACGATGCTCTAGGCTGGAGATTCGGAAACACCCGTCTTCTAGCCGATCATTTCGCCAAAGAGGTCTGTCCACGCTCATCTGAGCAATATGATATATCTCCTGTCCTCATGATACAGTGCTAACAAAAACGCTACGCACTCTAGGCAAACGTCACAGTCTATATTCCTGACTTCTTCGGCGGAGAAGTACTCGATGCAGGTCTGATGAAAGCAGGCAAATTTGACAAATTGGATATCGAAGGCTTCAAAGTGCGTAACGGCCGCGAAGCCCGCGAACCAGAAGTCTTCGCATGCGCCAAAGAGCTCCGCGCCAGCGGCTTCAAGAAGATTGGTGCAGTGGGCTACTGCTGGGGCGGCTGGGCCATCCTGCGTCTTGCAACTGAGAAGTTGGTCGATTGTGTCATCTGCGCTCATCCGTCTTTGATCACCGAGGCGGACTTCGATGGCGTTGATATACCGATTATGTTTTTGCAGCCGGAACATGATAGTATGTTCCCCGAGGAGATGAGATTGTATGCTTTCAGGAAATTAGTGCTGGAGAAGAAGAGTCAAGCGGTTGAGTGGGTTCATTTCCCAGGTGCTCACCATGGTTGTTTTACCAAGGGCGATGAGGAAGTTCCGGGAGAACGGGAGGCCATGATCAAGGCCAAGGATAGGGCGGTGACGTGGTGGGAAGAGTGGCTTGTTTGAGCCTGCCTCATGTAGACACGGCACCTCCATACATCAAGTCACGCTAGAGATGGCCACAATTCGCGTCGCATTTTACAAAATATTATATGAGGTAGATGTATACATTGTCTTGGAAACTATCAACTTGTTAAGATTTAATGATGTGTATGCAGCAAAAGGCGACACGAATTCTAGACACCGCTGGTGGTACTCAACCATGTGTCCACTAACCCAGATTCATCCACATATCCACCATCAACTTTCAGTCCTGCGAACTTAAAATCACCATCGGCTCCGAACGAGTGCCCATCAAGATAGACACTCTTGTAATACCCATCACCAACCATCTTCTTACCCACACTGTCCTGCAGGGTCTCGCCAGTTACAATCGCCATGTCTGGCCTTAGTTTTGAAATCTTCTTGATGATCTTCTCATAGAGGTTTTGATCCAATATTTCCAAGTGGTGCAGGTTTTCTGCAAGAGTGAGATCCTGCATCACATCTACTAAAGCGCGACACGTAACCGATCCGTACGATTTGCCATCATCGGATATGGCTATACGTTCGATGTCGGGACATTTTCTGGCAATGGAATTGATTGCTGGATCCATGAGGCTGCATGTTTCGTGAAATGAGATGTTTTTGAGGGAGGGGACACCGCGCGTGAGATTATCCACGGCATCGTGAACGGCCCCGAACTTGCTGTCGATGATACGAAGGTGTTCGCGGAACTCGAGCGAGGCGGTTGCTGTAGCGTTGATTTGATCACTGAAGAGAACATACCGTCAGCATATTGGATGTTAGCTAGGTGGATGTTGTGAAGCTTATTCAGTGAAGCTGAAGTCGCTGAAGTCGTTCTCTTGAATGTCAGTACGCTTAGCATCGGATGACCAACGACTGTCTCAGTCATCCTTCGAAGTGTAGCATAGTCTCTTTAAAAATGGTACTTCTACGGGCTCGCAAGGTTCGTACTCTGGTTCAGGGCGCTGGCTAGTGCAAATATCCCAGTAGTATTCGTAGTCTTCATGGTTGCAGTCCAAGAAATTCTCGCTCGCATTCGAAGTCAACTTGTCGTCATTGTCGGTGTTTTCGTCATCGTCGTCATCATCGTCTTCGTCTTCCCATACTTTTGGCAGCCGATAATCCAATTCCTCAAGGGCTTTCTCTCCTAATTCATGCATACAATTGCCTCCAAGCCGATACCTTGAGTGTTCATCCCCTTCCTCGGAGCCAGAAGTCGAGTCTTCGTCGCGCTCCACGATTCTAGTAGTCAAAATGAGAAGGCTACGCCATTTCTTGGAAACAGCTTTGATTTTCGCCTCGTCCAATGGCTGGCTTTCAAGACATAAAGCTTGAAAGTTCGTTCGTGACTTGACAATGTCTGGCCCATTGATGAACCCGGAGAATTTACCAGATACGGTATCCTGTTCATTACCGGTGATCCGGATGATCGCGACAGTAGGGCAGCTTTTGATCACATATATAAGACCTTTGTCGCTAACTTTTAACGCCGAGTGTAGAAAGACTTCCCTGAGCTGTGTGTTGCGCGATGTGAGAACTTCTAGATCCGCATCGACCAAAGCTGGGCCAGTGCGATCAATCTTCAGTACCTCCAGCGACGTAGCCTTTTGCTCCAGAGCTTGCGTGTGCTTTTTAAGACCGTGGTCAGTACTTGTCCTATTTGCAATGCGTCCTGTGCCCTTACCATTCAAGGTTGAATTGTGGGCCCAAGTGGAGGTACTTCACGCTATCGGTCAGCTTCTTCGGGTCTTATGCAGCTTCGGTATTACAATACAGGCGCTCCCCTGCATATTCTTTGCGTTGGTACATTGGAGTAAATACAGCCATGACTCGTTGGAACGTAAGCAGGAGATAAAGGCCGTTGGACCACAGGTAAACAATACATGGTTGGATTTCTAGAAAGCACGATGGCCTACCGCATGGACCACCGAGATTGAATATGGCTGGGGTCTGCAACATTTCACCTTCTGAGAGTAAGACGAATGGCACACATCGTATAGCTCGCTCAAACCTTGAACCATGTGCGACTGCTAGTCACCTTGGGGCTGTTGGAAGGTGTTCTCTAGATATGGAATATGGCATCTTGTGCAGGTGAGTGAAGTGCTTGTAGCATCGGATGGATACAGGTGCCTTCGGTCAGAGACCCTGACTGGGCCGCAATTAAGTAGTACTCGACGTACTGTCCCATCCATGGAAGTGTAAATTATTCATCTCTATCTGGCTAGTAACAAGATCAGGTGAGAACAAGAATAACTGTTTCATACCTTGCGGAAGACCGGATATATGTCCCCCACTTCCATAGGTACGATGCCAAACGAGACATAAGAATCGATGTTCTCAGGCTCTAGCGCGACAAAAGCTAGTCCTGCGTTCTTTTGTGCACTGTTTACAAAGAAGCTGCCAGCAGGCAGCGTAACATCTTGAACAAGTGTTTCCGTAGTAACAGTGTTCAAGATGGCGCCTTCGTAGTATGACGAGCCGAGGCTAGAGGAAGTAATGTTGTATGCTTCGACCTCTCCATGGAAAACCTCGGGCATGGTTTCGATCTCCAGTCCTGACACCCTAAGACGCTCGGCAAGGTCAGCCCACGCGCGGGGGATTATGTACCCTTCGGGCCGAGCGCGGGTCATGTTGGCAGTTGCGGGCGTGGTGCTGGCGAATTCAACAGGAAGTTGAAAGACCTCGCCCGTCCGACGATCAACCATAGTATATGTGCGGTTCGCATAAGTTGTGAAGTCTGTGACGACGATCTCCTCTTCGCTCTCGACGACCTCTGCAATAGCACCCTCGATTATCTTCTTCACGTCCGCAGCTTCATCTCGAGCAGTCTCGAGCACACCAAGAATCATCTGTAGACCAGCAACGGTGCGGCGTTTGAACTCCTGGCTTGCAATTCCGATTCCACGGGTTTCGAAGAGAAAGGTTACACACTGTGTGAGTCCCATGGCGTTCCGTCCGATTTTGGCATCAGTGCCAGCCTCATCTAACCTCGGGGGATTTGTCCGCGCAGCCGTCATATATGGCTCTCCACGCAGGCCTTTGGAGAGCAGAGACGCGTTGATCGCGGGCGCAAAGACGGTCTCGGAGAGCGTGCGAATGGATGGATGGATGTTGAGGTTCTTGGCTGCACTGTACATGCCATCGGCTGCGTTGCTATAGTTGCCAGAGTACCGTGTACCGGCTCCATATTCCTTGCCCAAAGTCAGCAAAAGCCTCACATGTAGTTCGTACAAGATGTTTTACTTACATGCATGTCAATGGCGATGTGTGGCGAAAAGCTGCTGAACCATTGCTTGATGTCGCGAGTCTGCTGTCGAGCGAGCTTGGTGTGGTCGCGGTTGGGGTCGAAGTTTGTAGCCAAGGTGCGCTGGAAGTAGGCATTTCCGTCTGGGTTGTACCGCGGTAATACAATGATGTCCATCTTCTCAAGGAAGCCAGCAGCCCAGGTCGCGTCGGCATCCATCGCACCGAGAAGAGCCATAGTGGCTTCGTCGCCAGCAGGTTCGTTCCCGTGAACTGATCCTTGAATCCATACTCGCAGTTTACCAGATGTAGCATATCCAGAAGATGCGTTTGATGCTGAGGTTGAAAGGTAGGCGTACGGGAATGTCTTGCCTTCTTCGCTCAGGAAATCGGCTACGTCGTAGGTCATCCATGAAGGATTCTTCGCTGCAAGCTTGCTGATGAACTCCTCTGTTAAGCGTTAGGTGACTCTCTCTCTAGGATCGGTTTCTTCTTTCATTGTTTACGCACCTAATTTGTATTGCGATGTCGCGCCTTCTGTTCCCTCTGTCCATCCTGGATCAAATGAGGCGTTCGGCAGGAACGCGGGACTCAAAAGAGTCACATCTGGCGCTGGGAAGGCCGTCTGCTCCACAAGCTGCGAGTCAAAGTTTACATTGACATGGTTCTCGCCGTACTGAGACTGCGCAAACGCAGACGCCGCGAATAGCGCAATTGAAGAAGTACGCATCTTCGTCTGGTCTCAGCTGGAGCTGTCAAATGGGCGCAGAGCACCGATTTGCGCATCATCGCGTCTTTTTGTATGGTTCTCCCCCATCTTTGGGTGATAGCGCTACGTCAGTCAAGACGTTTTTTGGCCGGTTGGAGTACTTTGCCAAGGAGAATCGCCCTTGGCTGCAGTTGCTCCTGCCGCTTCTGGTGTCGTTTTCCTCGGAGATAGGCGTGTAGTGCGCCGTTATCGCATAAGAACGGCATTTCTGCGGCTCTTGAATTGAAGCTCGGTGGTTGTTCTTGTGGGCTTCGCGTTGGTAGGGAGGATTTGGAAAGGAGGCTGGAGGCAGGAGACGCGAAGAGCGCCGACAGCTCGGAATGGTTCCGACGCGAGCTTGTACCTGATCAGAGTCGTCGCGGAGTATGCCGCACATCGGTGGCACATGCAGACTTGGGAAGAAGACAACCTTCTACCTCGCTAGAATTATCGCATACATTCTAGAACCTTGGTTTCACACAGCTGTTACTCCAGTTCTTGGTGCAGAGCGCCCGACTACCAGGTGACTGCTCAACCAACATATCTGCCGCGACAAAAGGCTTCGAGGCTCCAATTGGACTTAGGCTTCCCATTATTCGTATTGAAAAAAGGCTATCATCACGTTTGGGGAAAAGGATGGGAACCTGCCTCCTGGTCTGGAAGTCTACTTTGCCTTGAAGTAATCGCAGTTCTTGATCTGAGACTAATGTAGACTGCAAGGCATCTGTTCATTCTTTTCCCTGTATGCAATGCTATATCTCTGATGAGTATTTCGCTTCAATCATGTTCCGGCACCGAGTGACGCCATGCCATCTTCCCAGCTTCCCCGCATCATGGGACGATAGCCCGAAATGCCGATGCAGGTCCATGCAACCCGCAAAAATTACCTTCCACAGGCGATCAAGTCTTAGTACCATCCATCATTCAGGGGAGACGAAGTGGTCATACGGTTCAGAAATGGACACTAAGAAGAATTCATCCGCGTCTTTGATCGCCGTCTCGCATTGTGTGGTAACCGGCATGTATTTAGTTGGAGCATAGCCTTTCTTTTAGATCTCAGCCAAGAATCATGAGAGTCTTCTCTTCATTGCTCGCGTACTGCGCCACACTTTCTTCGTTTGCTTCTGCGATCTCCATCACTTCGACCAAGAACTGGAATATCACGAATGATGTGGAGGGTTCAGTCCGTCTCAATGGCCTTGCTTTTCAACAACACGCCCTGACCACCTTTGGCGACTACCAATACGTCGCATTCTACAAGACAGCTTCGGGATACGGCAAACATCATGTCAACCTCGGTCGGCGCAAAATCAACCCTTCTTTGGGCGATTGGCAGTACTTTGCATTCACAGATTATGTGCAAAGCACTCTCGATGAGCACAACACTATCAGTATGGGCATTAGTGGAGACGGCAAGATCCATCTGAGCTTCGATCACCACGACGTACCACTCAACTATCGTGCAAGTAACACAGGCATCGCTAAGACGGTTCCCGAACAGTGGACAGCCAGCGCCTTTGGAGCAGTCCAGCACAGTCTGCCTGGCTCAACCGGACCATGGACGCCACTCACATACCCTCGGTTCGAACGCATCGATAATGGTGATCTCTTGATGGAATTCCGTATCGGACAGTCTGGCGCCGGTGACTCGTACATCCATCGATACTCCGTTGCGACCGCACAGTGGAGCGCGGTTGGCAAGTACCTACAAGGTCAGGACAACAATGCTTACATCAACGGCATTAGCAACCAGGGTGGAAAGCTCTTCGTATCATGGACGGTGAGGGAGACACCTACTCCCTCGACTAACCACGACTTCTACTTCGCCTTGTCGGAGGATGATGGCAAGAGTTGGAAACAGACTAATGGTCAAACTGTACCAAAGCCGATTACGCCATCGACCGCTGGCATTAAGGTGTATTCGATCCCACAAAACAGCCAAATCATCAACCAAGAAGCCCAATGCGCTGACCAAAAAGGCCGGTTTCACGCTCTAATGCGCGACAACTCGACAGGCACAGCGCAATTCTACCACTATCTCCGTACTCCAGAAGGCAAATTTTCCAAGACCGCCATCAAGACGCCTGGTCTGTCAACTCCGCCATACCTTGCCTATCGAGGTAAAATCGCTGCCGCAGGCGACAACGTTTTCGCGATTTTACCAGACCAACCGAAGATGACCGTGCAAATCTGGGCCGCGACAGCAGCCGGAGCATACAATGACTGGAAAAAGTTGGCCGAGGTACCAAACGCTGCTGGTGAGCCGTTGGTGGACGAAGAGAGGCTGGATAAATTCAACGTCTTGAGCATTTTCATCAGGCAAGGCGGGCCTTTCGGCACACGCAAAGTACAAGTCTGGGATTTTGCGCTCGCTCTTTGAAAAACAGAGTGTGCCTTTGACTCAGACCGGGGCTTGGTCTCCGTTCGAGCTGGTCGCCATGGCATGTACAAGTACATTAGTTCCAACAACATCAGCATTAGGACAAGAAGTTGAGGCTCTAGTGGCCTTGTTCCCGCACATTTTATCTTGGCGCTCTGACGCTCCTCATTTACTGCTGCTGTACAGGACAAGATCAGAGCATGGAGTGTTTCTCGGGGAGATTTTGCATTGCGCTAGCACGTCCGTTGACGCAATTCCACATCGGTCCCATCCATCCTAACCCAACGCTTAAAAGTAAACCTGGGCAAGCGAGAACGCACGTTTACCCCAGGCCAGAATCTAGCTGGGTCTGGCGTAGTCCGTGAGTGATTTTGCGGAGAAGGTACGTACTCGGAAGCTCCGATATGCCCAAATCCCTCGATGCCGGCTCAACCTCATCATGCACCCACCGGCTACAGTACACGGATACGAAAATGCTGGTACCCATGGGGTTATAAGCGGAGTAAAAGGGAGGGCAACATGCGGGGCACGTCCATATCTGGTCTTGTCGTCACGGGCGATGCGAAAATTTGCCCTCTAGTCCCTGGTGCATCCCGTCCTTCGCGAAGCATAAAGCTGGCGGTATATCTCTGAATGATCAGCATCGGACCGGAAATCATCTCATCATGCCTTCCCATCTCTCTGTCCTCGCAGCCATCGGTGGCCTGCTCACATTTGGACACGCCCAAAATTCGTCAGCCCCTTCAGCCTCAAGTACATCGACGTACTCGCAACCCAACGTACCGACTGGGGTCCCGATATCAGGCGATTACGATGAGCCGCTTCGACCTCAAGTACATTTCAGTCCACCTGCTGGATTCATGAATGATCCAAACGGCATGTACGTGGACGAAGACGGAGTATATCACCTGTACTACCAGTACAACCCGACCGAGAACGTTGCAGGAAACCAACACTGGGGCCACGCGACCAGTAAAGACTTGTACACATGGACAAACCAGCCCATTGCCATCTTCCCTGGTGGTCCCACCGAAGGCGTTTTCTCAGGATCTGCCGTCATAGATCACAACAACACTAGCGGCTTCTTTCCGAACCAGACCAACGGTGTAGTCGCCATCTACACCATCAATGTTCCCGAGAACCAGACTCAGCACATTGCCTACTCCTATGACAATGGATACTCCTTCACCAAGTACGAGAACAACCCTGTCATCGTTCCCGGTGGAACCAACCCCACTCAGTTCCGCGACCCGAAGGTTATCTGGTACGAGCCCACTGAGAGTTGGGTCATGGTCGTGGCGTACCCCATCGACTTCAAGATCGGCATCTTCACAAGTCCTAACCTGATTGACTGGACTCCCACCAGCAACTTCTCCAGCTACGGCATCACTGGTCTGCAGTACGAGTGCCCGAACATGGTAGAAATGCGCGTGCAGAACTCTACTGCCAGCGACGAGTCCAAGTATGTTATGTTGATTTCCATCAACCCTGGAGCTCCTCTCGGCGGATCTATCACGGAATACTTCGTCGGCACCTTCAACGGCACGCATTTCGAAGCTGATGACGCTCGAACCCGGCTCACGGACTTTGCAAAGGACAACTACGCTGGTCAGTTCTTCTATGGTATCCCCGCCGACAAGGACCAGGTTACGCTCAACTGGGCAAGCAACTGGCAGTACACCAACGTCGTTCCCACTGCAGGCGAGGAAGTAGGCGATGGTTTCCGCAGCGTCATGACAGTACCCAGAGGCCACTACCTCAAAGACCTGCCCCGCCAGGGTCTGTCTTTGATCTCATATCCCTCCAACATCATGTCAATCGTCGAAAAGGAGCTTGCTTCAAGCGACATCACTAATAACGGTACTGTCTTCGTAGACTACTCCACCGTTGAGTCGGGTGCACTATACTTTGAAGCCAATGTCACTGGACTTACCGGTGGCCCTTCTCTCGCCGGATCTATCAGCTTCACCTTCCAATCTTCGGTTTCCGGCGAGTCAATCTCAGGTGGTACTTTCCTCTCATCTGGCGATGTTTGGCTAGACCGTGGAAAGACCGAGGCTTTCCAGAGCCCTTACTTCAACGACAAGTTCACTGCTACGGGTCTTTACGACGAGAGGCAGGGCTCATGGAAGATCTCGGGCATTATTGACAGGAGTATCATTGAAATCTTCCTGAACGAAGGCGAACTTGGCGCAACTGCAGTGTTCTTCCCAACACAGCCGCTCGACAAAATGATGCTGGAGGTGTCGGGACTGAATGAGACTGTAACAGCGAGTGTTGGCGTTTGGTCTCTGAAGGCTGCTTGGTTGAACCAGGCAGATGCCAACGGTACAGTTGTCGGTAACACGACCGAGGGTGGCAGCGCAACTCTAGGCCCTGCAAAACTCTTTTAAGCATCATAGTATAATACAATAGCATATATGCAATATGAACACCCAAGGCGGACTCACACTCCCAATATATACCTAGCTCTTCCATGTGACGTCTCTACTATACCAAGGTATATCACACCTGCCTTTTCGAACACTATGACCGCGAGTATATTGAATCATATGATGTACTGCGGGTGCCACTTACTCCGCAAGCCGATGAATCTCCACTCCGCAACTCGTGATCCAGTGGCAAGGGTGACATGGTGGGGACAAGCCCCTTAGCGTCCGCCTCCACACCCGAACCTTAATGGCGGATACAACACCCAATATCGTTACATGCACCCTATTAATGTCGCATGGCTTCGGCATATGTCCCACTGCCGTCATCGCGAGGCCAAAATATGTGTTGATGCGGGAGAACTCTACGCCGAAATCTTCCGCTGCCACTGCAACTCAAAGTTCGTCGACGGAGTAACTCCGGCTGCAATCCGGTTCGTTGAAACTCTACCACGTGCCGGCTTAACCTTGATTATTCGAACTCTCCCATTCGCGGATGTGTCCTAGTCCTGTTGTGGGTGTCGTGAGTGGCTCGTCGTCCAAGGCTCGCCGAAAAAGCACGTTCGGGCGCCGAGGTAGTACCATTTCATCGTGTATAGACTACCCCGCTTCCAGCATTATCCAAGAGCCAAGTAGCAATTAGTGAGAAGATGGTGTTTGCGGGCGCGTTACCTGAATGAGGCGCTGAGATTGAGTTGACTGCTATATTTAATCAGAGAGCGACGATGGAAGGATGTAGTGAACAACAGTCGTTCTGTCCAATACCACTCTACAATGCGCACTTCAACCTTCATCAGGGCGGCCGTGGTGCTGGCTAGCAGTTACTCGGTTGATGCCGATGTCACGACTACAATTGACCCAAAGTCGAACTGGGGTACCTGGGAAGGCTGGGGAACATCGTTGGCATGGTAAATCTTCCCGTGTACGAAGTGCGTGTGAGACATACACTGACTTCGCACATCGACATCTTAGGTGGGCGCAGCAGTTCGGCAACAGAGACGATCTTGCGGATATCTTCTTTACGCTGAAGCAAACCAAGTTCAATGGCGAGACTCTTCCGGGACTTGGCTTCAACATCGTACGCTACAATGCCGGTGCGTGTAGCTGGAACTCCGTCGATGGGGAGAAGATGGTCGTGTCTCCAAACGTAAAAAGGTCGAGGCAGATGGAGGGCTACTGGCTGGACTGGAAGAGCAGTGACCCGGCCTCTTCAAGCTGGAACTGGTACGATACCTACCTCGATGTGCCATGAGGCCATTTGCTGATCGTCGTTTGCACTTCAGGTCCGTTGATGTCAACCAGCGAGCAGCGCTCCAGAAAGCGATTGCACGTGGAGCAGATCGAACAGAGTTGTTCTCTAACTCACCGATGTGGTGGTAAGTAACACTCACGTACAAGCTGTATACGAGATATTGACTTTTCCAGGATGACGAAGAACCACAACCCTTCCGGTAAGTCTTGGCTGTACGAAGTGCATGTGAGACAAACACTGATTTCGTACCTCTACCTCTGCAGGTGCATCGGACGGGAGCGAAAACATCCAATCGTGGAACTTGGAGCAGCATGCAGTCTACATGGCTACAGTCGCAAAGCATTTCAAAGATAATTGGGGCGTTGAATTCGAAACTGTCGACCCGTTCAATGAGCCAAGCGCAAACTGGTGGAAGGCCGACGGCACCCAAGAAGGATGCCACGTTGATGTATCCACCCAAGCCAAGATCGTCGGTTATCTCGACACCCAACTTGCGAACCGTGGGCTTTCCACAAAGATCGCGGCCTCGGATGAGTCATACTACGACCAAGCTGCAACGAACCTCAAGACTATTGGAAATAGCGCACTCAGCAAGATCGACCGGATAAACGTTCATGGCTACCAATACGGAAGCGGTGACCGCGCTGGTGTTCACACCTTGGCTACACAGGCTGGCAAATCTCTCTGGAACAGCGAATATGGTGATGGCGTGGCTTCTGGCGAGAACCTTGCCAAATACCTTTTCCAGGATCTTCGGCAGCTGAAGCCTACCGCATGGGAGTACTGGCAAGTCCTCGACCAGGGAGGCTGGGGTCTCATCGACGCAGACAATGACGCGAAGACGCTGGGTAAATCGACGCAGAAGTACTATGTGCTTGCCCAATTCGCCCGACATATGCGTCCAGGTATGCGAATCCTCGATGGTGGTCGAGACAACGTCGTCGCTGCCTACGATGCTAGCAAGTCGTTGTTAGTCATTGTGGCCGTGAACTGGGACGCGGCGCAGTATCTGAACTTTGAGCTGTCAGGCTTCTCGGGGCGTCCGTCATCCGGTGCAACGGTCTCGAGATGGAGCACACAGATTGGAAGCGGCGACCGCTACGTGCAGCATCTCGATACCACGATTAGTGGAACAAAATTCTGGTCGAAGTTCGAGAAGAACATGGTGCAGACTTTTGAAGTAACAGGGATAAAGTTGTAGGGCATAGCGCATACGATAGTGTGCTAACACGAAACTGTTCCGTTGATGAGTTCACGCGTCCGTTCGCGATGGTGGGTGTAGGTCCGCATCGTGTTGTGTTATCCGATTCTTTGCTTTCTTCTGACCCATATCTCTTGATCCCCATTGCCCGATCTTTGCTGAACTTCCCACACTTGAAGCCTGTAACTACCGCGGTCCGATCGACCGGTATGGAGATCGAACCCCCAGCCGTGCTTCGGACAAAGTATTCCTGAGCTAAGCACTACCCCAAAGTCTTCGATGTCGAAGGGCGTGCCATTGGAGAGTGGATACGAAGAGTGCGGACATTCCTGTGCGTGTCTTGGTTATTATATAGGCACACTACACGTAGTTACAGTGTCGCGACATACGTGGTTCACCGCGACAAATTTTCCTTTGTACTGGAATACCATCACTTGGTCCTTCGCATCACCACCAAGTTCGGGATCCCTCCAATCATCGATCGCAACCTCAGTGGCTTTGGAGCTGTCATCGCGAGGCACGTGGAATACCCGACAACCCGTCACATGCTTTTCGCCGCATGGGCGCTGTTCGCTGACGCGCGTGGAGTCGTCGACATTCGGGTACGACGTCACGGTACCGGCGCAAAACCACGCGTTACCAGCTTGAGACGATCGAGAGAACGGATTGACCAGGAACGACATGCTGGGTGGCAATAATGCCTGTGTGGGCGACGCGATAATTGCACGCGACGATGCACGATGGTGGGTACCAGGACTTCACTAGCAACACGCTAGCCGCAGCGGAAAGAGGCTAGACTGGGCCATGTCAAGTTGTCAACAGAAACTTCCACATCCACGCCCTGTGGTCAAATGTGGAAGTCTTGTTCCCAACATGGGAAGATAGAGCGCTTACTACAAAGGCTTATAAAACGCTTACATATAGAGAAAGCTTCGTAGAGTCTGCATGTATACATTTCCACGCACTTTGCCTACCATCGTACCTTTCTTCAAACCTCTCTCACGGTCTTTGGCACGTCTCTCATTTACGACTACATCCAATATGGCGAACACCCAAGACCCTTCGAGTTACCTCGCCAATGCGCGCATCGCCCCGGAAATCTTCCAGCTCCGACCTGATTATCGCGCCTTGCTTATGGTGGTCACCAACATACCACCAGGCCCTTCCGACTCAGTCAGTGAAGCTTTCCTCTCCTCGGCAGAAGTATCAGCCAAAGAAGCACTGGCAAAAACTCCGGTGAACGACATTGCGCATGTCGCGCAATGGAAAGAAGCCTACAAAGCCTTTGGCGCAAAGCCCAAAAAGACCATGAACAGTCTTGAAGCCCTGTTGCGTCGTGTTGATGCAGGCCTACCGCGTGTGAACCGCCTGACAGATATTTACAACGGCATCTCGCTCAAACACCAGATCCCTCTTGGAGGCGAAGATCTTGACAAATATGAGGGAAGCCCTTTCCTGATACGCGCAAAAGGCGACGAAAAGTTCGACACAAAATCTGGCGGCGAAGTCGTCATTGAAAGCCCAAGTCCCGGAGAAGCAGTCTGGTGCGACGATGGTGGTGTGACGTGTAGACGTTGGAATTGGAGGCAATGCTCGAGGACTGCGTTGAGCGACGGAACATCAAATGTGTTGTTCATCCTAGATGCGTTGGAAGCTATCGACGATGCAAAGCTAAATGCTGCAGCGGACGAGCTAAGTCACCAATTACAAAAGCTCTCCGCGGATGTAAAAGTCGAGAAGCGTCTCTTGAAGTCATGAGCACTTCAGAGCATACAATAGTTGCATTGTACTATGTAGATGCTATCTAGGACAGTTTGTAGCCTTCGTCTGATCTTAATGAGGTCTTCATAGACTGTGTATGATGATGTCCGCGGCCTATCCAACGTTAGCGTTTATCTTACCACAGTTACATTCCCACTGACCTTCTCTGCAATAGCGTACGCTGTAGAGCTAGTATGCGCACTTGGTAAAAAAGGCAGAATACTGATATCAACAACGCGTAATCCGGTCGCACCATGCACCCTTAGGTCTGGTCCTACTACGCCCCCCAGATTTCTAGGTATCATCGCAGCTGTGCAGCATGGGTGCATATGCGAGATTACCATGGAACCCTTGATGTAAGATTTGAGGTCTTCGTCTGATTGAACAGCTGGGCCAGGAGTGACTTCAACCGCACCGTATCTGCGCATAGTCGGAGTACCTAGTACCTTACGAAGCCATTTGATATGCGCAATATGGACGGAGAAGTCGATGGGACTGGAGCCCGCGCGGTAATCAAGTATAGGCTGAGCTAACAGGTCGGTCGAGTCGAGATGAAGAGTACCTCGACTTAATGGATGGAGAATGATAGGGCGCATAGTCGTCCCAGTCGCAAAGGGTACTTCTACACTGGGGGCTTCTGCGTTTGCGAGAAGGTCGGCAAGGACGTGAAGCTGACGTTTGTAACCAGCAACAAGGCTCGGGTCAGAGTTCTCTGGCAAATGAGCAGCCGCTAAGTCGCTATCAGCCGTCTCGCGCATCTCCTCAATGATTTCCATGTACTCCTCGGTCACGGTGGGAAGTGAGATGTACAGTGCGGTATTACTCATGGCCAACGTGTAAGGGCCTTGTGCTGGAGTCATATCGAACCCTGCCACTGCTCTGGCGGCATAAGCAGGATCGAACATGTCTGAAGGCATATTGGAGAAATTACCAGGCTTCGAGTCTGTCACACGGTCAGTGATTAGGGTATCACCCTTAATGAGCGACCAGAATACCTACAGTTCCATGATATACCAGGAGAAGAGTGATCTTGCAGATTTGAGCCTACCCCAGGAAGATCCAGTACTGCGGTAATGTTCAAATGGTTGAGGACAGCTGCGGGTCCAATGCCGCTCCTTTGGAGGATGGTTGGCGTATGCATTGCGCCGGCAGAAATGATGACTTCGGCTTTGGCAGTTACATTCAACACTTCATCGTTGGAGAGAGATCGTACCTCTACCTGTGGCGGCCCGTGTGAGACGCCGTCAGTATAAATAACCCTGATGACTTGATGCTTAACGAGCAAGTCGTAGTTTGGTCTACCCGCGACGTCGGAGTAGTGGCCCAAACCAGCGTGCGAGCGCCTGGCCGTGACTGGATGCTGAGATATAGGTCCCCAACACAGGCCTTCTTTGAACCCACCTCCACACTCATCTAGGGCTCGGATACCCATGTCACTCCAAGCTTCCCTCGCGACGTGTATGTCGCCCCATAGAAAAGGTGGGAAACTCGAATGGATGGGAGTTGTACCTCCATACGCGGACATGTCCCAAGTAAACCCATATTGTTCCACCACGCTTGGTGCTGGTGGAGTGAAGGTCACGCTCTACGTGGAGTCAGTTCAACGTCAGAAACGAGCGGCAACCACGCTCGCCTTTTTGAAGTAGGGAAACAAGCTCTCCCAATCCCACTTGATCGTACTGTTTGCAAACTCAGGACCTCCAATCTGGGTCCAAGCGTCATAGTCATGTCTAGATCCGCGGTCAAAGTACTGGCCGTTGATGGCACTACTTCCGCCAATAGTCTTGCCAACAAACAACAAAGCCTGTTTGCCATTCATTTCCGGATTAGGTACCGAGTTGAAGGTGAAGTATCCCGATTTCTCAGTTGGCCCGCCCCAAACGAGGCTTGGCGGATCAAACGCCCCCGGCGCATATTCGACTTCGCCGTACTCAACAACCAGCACTGTTTCTGCGATGGAGGTCAGCCAAAAGTATTTTGTAGGCGAATGTGAGAACTTGCTCTCTGGGAAAGCCCCAGTAAGTCGATCAGCTACTGTAAGACCAGCAGTTCCTCCCCCGCAAATCACGTAGTCATAGGTAGAACGAAGCTCTGAGATGTGGCGTTTGAAAGCAGCGTGTGGGAGCGCATTAGCGCAAGTGACGGCTAGTCCAATTGATAAAACTCGTGGAATCATGGCTGTCCATCCGAAATGTATCGTCTCGATGGTCTAGCGAGTGTCTTCTCTTATATCGCTGCTACTGCGTTGTTATGCTGCTGTGCCACCCAGAGCGCTCGTATCATTGGCACTCGATAGTGCGCGTTGGCATCTGCAGGTCGTGTAGACCGCTCGTGATCGGTATGAGGTGCTCATTGGTCCTAATGTCCGCTGTAAGTCAGACTTCGCAAGGGTTGCTCTACATCGTAGCATGCATCCGTACTGAGATGCGTGCAGGAGCGAGCGACCCCGCTCGAACAGGAGAATTCATTAGTAGCCTGACTCATGTCCGTTTACCTGACTGAGAAGATCCTGTGTTCATCATGTCTTTGTTTGCGCAGCTCTACGCGACGAAGTGGCTACTCATAGCGGCCGTTCTCGTGGTCTATGCAGTGGCGACTTCGATCGTTCGCTACCGGCGCCTTCGAGCCTTCCCCGGTCCGACCAGCTCGGGATGGTGTGAACTGCTGCATACACGCGCGATACTGAGTCGACATTCGCATCTCTGGTACAAGGCCGTCGGCGATGAATATGGTGAGTAGAAAGGTGGGAGTCGCTGCCCGGGAGAGGCGCCGTCTCGTCCGTGCAGCCCGCTTGCCCCTTGCTGACAGCGCCAAACTGTAGGCGCCCTTGCACGCATTGGCCCCAACGACCTGATTACATCGTCGCCAGATCTGCTGGCCCATATGAACGCAGTGCGCTCGCCGTACACTCGCTCGACATGGTACAATAGTGCCGTGCGGATGGAGGTTGGAAAGGACCATGTCTTTAGCCAACTCGACGAGGTGCAGCACACGAAGCGGCGCCAGCAGATGGCATCTGGGTACTCAGGCAAAGAGAATTTGTCCCTGGAATCTGACATCGACGAACATATACACCAGCTTCTGGACCTGATCAGATCAAAGTACATTTCCACTGCTACGCGGTACAAGCCCGTGGATCTCGGAAGTAAGATCCAGTATCTTACTCTCGACGTGATCAGCAAAATCGGCTTTGGTAAAGCGTTTGGAGACATCAAAGCCGATGCTGACGTCGACAATTATATAAGCTCTGGTCGAGTCGGGTTGGCAATTATGGCCTTCACCGGCGGCCTTGGACTGACGCCTTACCTCCATTGGCCGCCCATCGCGCGCATGCTCGGGCCCTCGGACAAGGACAAGAGTGGTTATGGAAAGATGAGAACGGTAGCTCGGGAACTCATCGACTCGCGTCTAGAGAAGCCGACGAATAGTCGCTCGGACATGCTTGCGTCGTTCATACGCCACGGATTGACACGCGACGATCTCCTGACTGAATCGCTGCTTCAGATTCTAGCAGGGTCTGACACGACTGCGACTGCTATACGCGGAACGATGCTCTATCTGATGACCAGCCATAGGGCGTACAGAAAATTGCAGACAGAGATTGACGCTGCCGTTACCTCAGGTCATGCTGCTATGTCTTCCGATATCGTATCTGACGAAACGATGAAGAGCCTACCATACCTACAAGCCGTAATGCGTGAAGGGCTTCGCATTCATCCACCTGTCACTGATATCGCTCCGAAGAAGGTCCCCGTCGAAGGCGACACTGCCACAATCAACGGAAAAGCGTATTTCCTTCCTGGTGGTACCAATGTTGGGTATAACGTAATGGGCCTCAATCGAGACAAGGAGATATTTGGTGAAGATGCCGACTGCTTCAGACCAGAACGTTGGCTACTCGATGAGCACAACGAGATCCAGCTTGAGCGCTTGAACGCTATGCGCCGTACTACAGACATGATTTTCGGGTATGGCAAGTACCAGTGTCTCGGGAAGCCTATAGCATGGTTGGAGATGAGGAAGGTTATCTTCGAGGTTCATTGTTCCAGACTTTCGTACCGAGTCCCCCTATGCTGACTTGTGTCTAGTTCCTACGACATTTCGATTGGTCTCTTGCAACCCCAGAGAAACCGTGGAGATCTAGGAATTACTGGGGTAAATCTTCCCGTGTACGAACTGCATGTGGGACATGTACTGACTTCGTACACCTACATTTAGGCATCTTTCTGCAAGACCAAATGTGGTGCCTCATCACTGAGAGAGAATCTGGCTCGTGAGTGCCCCTGCATCCATGGATGACGGGTGGTAGTCACGTGAAAAGTCTCATGATTTTCTTTGGTATCAACTTAAACAGATTGCAAGGCTTCCTTCCATATTTTTGTGAACGGCCGTTTCACTGTCCAATCCGTCTATACGAATAGGGCTGAGAGTCAATTATTCCAGACAAGATTATTGGCGTTTGTCATGGGTGTTCCAGTCTGAGTAACCAATCTGGATTTCTACCAAGTTTGCGGAAGAATGACTTGCGCACGGTGCATTATGCACGGCATACCGTGATGCTTGCGGGGTAATGTGGAGCGAATGTCTTCCCCGGACTAGCCACTAATTTGCATCAACCGAGATGCATCATCTCGCCGGCTAATGTGACACATCATTATCGTCTTGACTCTGCTGACCGGCTGCGCAGTCAATTTTGATCGCACCAGGCGTCGCATACGTGACATGTTCAGGCCAAGATGCTAACGCATCATTCACATGCATTCTGATACACTATACCTGGGCGTTCAAATAACAGTTCACCAATGCCAAGACCGCAAGCATCTCAGAGTGACCCTGTTCGGCAAATGAATACCGGCTATGTAGACGGCGATGTACTCATATTTCTCATTGGTGGATCTTCACCAACGACGCTTCCGTACAGCCTCATAGAGAGGCTTCAGATGGCAGCTGTTGTATATGAGCAAATGCATATGCGTTGCAAGCATGGCGGACTTCGCCAGACCCTTCCGTCATGAAGCTTCTAAAATCCTGGTTGGCCGCTGTGTGCTTCGCCAATCCCGTTCTCGCATCATCACCAATCGTGCATTCGCAGGCTGGCATATACCAAGGACGTTTCTTGCAAGAGTTCGACCAAGACTTGTTTCTAGGTGTCAAGTATGCTCCAAAGCCAGTGCGATTCGCGCCCGCTCAATTAGCACCGGATTTGCCCACAACATACCACAATGCGACGCAGTATGGCATTGACTGCAAAGGCTATGGCGGGGACACAAACACCCTGGTTGCCGCAAATTGGACAAAACTGGGAGAGGACTGTCTACACCTGAACATCGTCAAGCCAAGGACAAACGAAACAAATCTTCCGATATTACTATGGATCTACGGAGGCGGATGGCAGCAGGGTGCTACTAGTGACCCAAGGTAAGTTGCCTGAAGTCATTACAGTCGGGATGATGTACTCATCAGCAGTAGATACAACATGAGCTACATTGTGCAGCAATCAGTACTCAACAACAAGCCCGTCATTGGTATCTCGATCAACTACCGCATGGCAGCGTTTGGCTTCTTGTATAGTAAGGAGGTTGAGCAGGCTGGCGCACAGAATCTAGGACTTCGTGACCAACGACTCGCGATGCAGTGGGTCAACAAGCACATCTCAGCCTTCGGCGGTGATCCCGAAAAAGTCACGATCTGGGGTGAATCGGCGGGCGCGTATTCAGTTGGTGACCACATAGCCGCATATAACGGCGATAACGAGGGCTTATTTCGCGCGGCTATTTTGGAAAGCGGTAATGCTGTTGGTGCGCCACTCAATGGTACCGACTGGTACCAGCACATGTACGACAATCTGACCGAGTCGGTCGGCTGCTCAGATGCCAAGGATACGCTCCAGTGTCTTCGTGACGTACCCTACGAGACCATCGCACCATATGGCTACCAGGGTCTCGAATGGTTCCACGTCATAGACGGTAGCCTAATACCTCGATACGGCCAACAATCGTTGCAAAAAGGCAAATTTGCGAAAATCCCGCTTATTCTTGGCACCAACACCGACGAAGGTTTCGGTGTGAACGGCGTTAACAGCGATTCCGATGCTATCAACCAGCTGGTACACTCCAAGCGCTGGAACGTCAACGATACTGTCGCGGAGAAGCTTCTCGAGCTGTATCCAAACGACCCTACACTTGGCGAGCCATATGGCTGGGGCAATCGCACATGGCCTCAGTATGGAATACAGTACAAAAGATACCAGAGTATCGCGACTGATCTGACAATGTATGCTCCTCGGAGGTTGCTCGCGCAAAGCATGAGTGAGCACGTCGACAAGGTGTATTCGTATCGATGGGATGCGCCCAAGTTCAACAACACACCAGAATTAATCGGCGTCAATCACTTCTCTGAGGTCAGTACTACGTTGCCAGTGGGAGATGAGGAGAACTGGAGAATTGACTTTAGAACAGATACCCTTCGTTTTTGGAAACCCAGAACAGCAGCTCACTCCATTGGGCAATAGCTCCGAAAACGTTGCCTTGTCAAAGCTAGTCATGCGCATGTGGACATCTTTCGCGTACGATCTTGATCCTAATGGTCATGGAGGTGAGTTTCAATGTCTTTCGTTGTGTGGTTGATAGTACACTAACGCGCATTGCAGTATCTCAAACTCCTGGATGGCCGAGCTATGCCACCAATGCAACCAACTTTGTCTTCCGAAAAGACCAAAGCTATGTCGAGGATGACGGTGATAGAGCTGAGGGAGTTGCATTCATCAACAGCTTAGTGCGATGAGGCTATTCGCGAGCCAGTGCCAAGAGCGGTAGGTAGTGCAAATGCATCTTGATTTAGGGATCGTCGGGATGACTATCTGAGAGCAAAAACGTCTCGTGGGATGAGCTTCCAGCGTTGAAGATGCGAGCACTCCAGATGAATAAGTAGATGAGAACATGTCCGAGATTTTCCTTGTTTGGTGCATGCAAACCAGCTTTAGCCTAATCCAACAACTTGCAGCTTTACCATACCATGCATTGTTACACCCAACACGGATATTCTCAGGGGCGACGCGAGAGTAAGAAGAGTGCACGCAAGCTGAGATCTCACGGACGATCTAACCTGGGGTCCCTCAGCTCCGGATTTCCTGCAAAGATTCTCGTTGGCTTTAAATGGTCCTCATGCCACTCCGTCTTGTGCATGTATATGTTGCGTGTGTTGATGTCGCAGGGATGATGTGCGAACGGCGGACCAGATTGTGCCGTGCTTTCAAGGAAGACAGCAAGCTTAGGGAAACCGGGACAGTTCCAAGCCTTGTGTATTTCGACAGGAGTTGTGTGGCCTATAATCTCTTCCCGCAGGGATTTAGACCGGGTTCGCCACAGTTCGGTTGCTGTAGAGGAGTGCTGTTGAAGCAGAAGCAGAAGGTCCCCAACACGAACGCCAGCTGATTTACTTACTGTGCCTAGTGCTTGCACTTCTTCGTGAATCTTCCCAATGGCGTAAATTCGCAAAACCTTGCAGGTTGGTCGGCCGAGAAACATATTGTGAATGAGCTGCTCCCAAAATGGCCCTGTTGTTGACGACGAGTCTCCGAGATAGTCTTTTATGCGAGGCTTGATGGAAATGGTGTAGTTGCCCTGGAATGGTTGGAAGCAGTCGCCGCATAAATGGACAAAGTATGGATTTACCTCGACTTGTGACAGATCCAGCCATCGAGGTTCTTCTGCTAGAGAATAGAAACTCGGAGATCTGTACAATCTGAAGTCTGAGCGAATCCTGTTATGGAGAGAAGTGAACAGTTGCTGTGGAAGTGTATCTGCTTGCGTGAATCGCGCTATGAGGAAGGGATCCGACAAGCTACGACTATAAGCGTGTGCAGTCGTGATGTTGAAAGTGTTCTGAAGTCTGGTGATCTCATCTTCGCATGGAGGTAGCCACCTCAGGCTCGGTGGAACAATGCCACCTTGTTCAACAGCTACGTAGGGATACGGGGCACGGTATTGCATATCCAACATGTGGATAACAATCTCTCTCCAACGTCTTGACACATTCCATGCTGCGTAGTGAGTCCTTGGTGAGGCGTGAGAAAGGATTTGCTTGAGCAATTCGACTACATCCAGGGCGCGGTGAGATGCACCATAGTATGCGTTTCGTGAAACTGACGAGGTAGCGGACGAGGCGTTTTGATCTGTGGGCTTCGGGTCGTAGAGCGCAATCCTATCATCGGTTGTGCGCAGAGCGGAGGTTCTCCATTCTTCAACGTCTTACTCCAGCTGGTCAGCATGTTTGGATTCGCCGATGGAGATAGGGTTCTCGTTGTTGACCATACTGACTAATGTGAGACAATGCGTATTCGAGTCTTTCGAGAAGGGAAGAGGAATAAGAACTTGCTAACCATCCGCTGGAAACTCTCATCTTTATGAATAGGTCAGTATCTAGGCAGACAGTGAGCACATGATATAGAACCTGCGCTTGCCTCCTAAGGTCGCACCTAGGTACCGACCCAGCATCTCACACTGATGTCAGACTTACAACTACACCATGAGTCGAAAGCGCGCTTCTCATATGCCTGAAGCTCAATGTAGTAATCGCACCTGAAACACAAAGTAGAGTGATTACCCTTAGGTACAGCCAGGCATCAAGTCGCGATGTTGAGACATGACGCTATCGAAGATACCTAGGTACCTAGGTAGGTCAGTAGGTTTGCGCGTCTGATCGCAAATCCCGCGACTACCCCGAACGCTTAACTTCATCCCAACTGCGCAAAAGATTGAAAGACACCTCAGATGAGACGTCGCTAATTGCGTGGGAAAAATCCCTCGACGCGCCGCTTTCCCCGCGCGCTCTCGATGCTGACCATCCTCGCTCAAAAAGCCGCAAGAGGCTTAGCGTGCAATGACCCTTATCGGCCGGGCGTAACAGCCTGCTCACTTCTTCCACCATTTATGAGTTCTACGATTGGCGAGGATGGAACGTGATTCAGTTGGTGGCTACAGAGTCATGCAGACGTAAAGGGAAATAGTCGCGCTATCAGCGCTTAGTACGATGCTTGTTGTGACGGTGAGACCGTTTAGATGAAGGTGTACCGTGGAGGAAGAGTGTATAAAGGCAGGAGGTAGCCCTGTGATCAGCGACAGCATTCCATACTCGTAGACACCCTCCTCGAAATACGTCATCACTATCAAGTCGCGTACCATCACCATCGTTATTGGAGTACAACGCTGCATACCAAACATCCATCCACCATGGCAACAGGAACCTCCTGCTCAACGGAATGCATCAAGGTAAACCACCCTCCTCCAAGGTTCACACTCCATCACCTAACCACCCCGACTACAGGGCTCAATCCACGCGGGAACGCCCAAAGGCACCATCGAAACTCTCCATGGCCTCTCGGTCTACACAGTCGGAAATCGGACCACACCACGCGCAACAATCTGCATATACTCAGACATCTTCGGCCTGGGTCTTCCCAACAACAAAATTATCGCCGACGCTTACGCCGCCTCAGGAGAGTATCTAGTCCTGCTTCCCGATTTCTTCAAGGGCGACCCTGTCGGACTCAAAGTTGCTGATGCGCTGCTTCCGGTAGATGCGGCGGCACAGAGTACATTCGCAAAGTACACGGGTATCTTGGCTAGTTTGCCGTCTTTTCTGATGTGGCAGCGGAGGCATGGGAAGGCGGAGTCGGATAAGGTTTGTCTTGACTTTATGCGGGAGTTGAGGCGCGCGACGCCAAGCGAGAGGAAGATCGGTATGGTTGGTTTTTGCTGGGGCGGAAAGTACGCTGCTCGCACGGGGTTGGAGAGCAACATGATCGAGATCGAAGGTGTGAAGAAGCCGCTTGTCGATGCGATCGTGGCGCTACACCCAAGTCACTTGGCCGTTCCTGAGGATGTTGAAGACCTCGTGGTTCCTACGAGTTTCGCGTGGGGCGTTGAGGATATCGCTGTGAGCTTTGAGACGAAGAGCAAGGTGGAGGGATGTCATGCGAAGGCACAGAAGGCGCGGAAGGAGTTCCCAGAGGTTGAACACAAAGCGTACACGCCTGGCAGGCATGGGTTCGCGGTCAGAGGCAATCCGGACGATCCGCAGGAGAGGAAGGCTCTAGAGGACTCGGAGAAGCAGGTACTTGCGTGGTTCGAGAAGTGGCTTTGAAAAGTGCTCCGTGATTCGGCAGCCGTAAATTGGTATATCATCTTCGCGTATTCAAGAACTCATTATATCCACCCCTGCACCGTTCGCGAGTCGATAGACCTCTGCTGAGCTTCTCAATTCCGCCTGTATTTCTGGGGAATGTTCTTCTCCACGACACCTCTGAGCTCAAGCCTCTCCCACTCCTCTTGTGCCGCCTCCTTCTCCTCGTGCATCTTGAAATGCGCGATGTCCTCTGGATGGTTCAGGTCTTCCTCCTTCACGTCATCGCCACTGTGGTACTTCTCCCAATGATGGATCTCGTATTCGTACTCGTCGTCTCCGTGGTGCCCTGGGCCCATGCCAAAGTCCGGCAGCTTGACATTCTCCGAATCCTTTTGCAGGAATTCAGCCAAGGTGATGGAACCGTCCTTGTTGATATCGAACATGTCTAGAATAGTCTGGACGACCAATTGTTTCTTGGTTTCGGAAATGGAGGCGCTGGACGGGTCTTCGAGTCCGTAGGTTCGGCGGATGTCGACGGCCTGCCAGAGACCAGTTCCGTCGTAGTCGTGCATGTTGAAGAAGGTGGTTGCATCGTAGCCGGAGATGTGGTGCTCCTCTGCGGAAGTGTTAGTGAACGGGCCCTGCTTCTTTGTTTCATGTTGTGGGGATCTGGGGAAGTCCATACCAGCCATGTGTCGCGTCGCCCAGTCGGCGTCCGCTGGGACTTCGACTTGCGCATGTTCGGCGCCGCCGTGCGCCGAGGCATTGAGGGCGCATGAAAGCAACAAGAGTGCGCCGAGTGGTAGTTTAAACATGCGATCCATCTTTTGTAGAATTGTGAGACTCAAGAGAATGTAGAAACTGAGTTGAGTCGTAGCCCAAATGTTGATGGCCAGGGGCTCGGTCCCCATCTGGCCACCCACCGACACTATGTCATAGGGGTCTCGAACTTACCTAGGTAAGGTTTCCACGTGCAGCTCTCTTTCACCGCACCAGCAACATCACAAGCCTACCATGAACGTCCTAGTCCTCCTAAGCCTGTTGCTCTTCATCCCATTTATCTTCTTTCTCGCGTTTCTAGCCGCATCTTCGTGCATGGGCGACGGCTTCCGCGCAAGATTCGCCGGCGTCACATTCAATCCTCGAAACGCATCGTTCGGTCGCAACTACACACGAGGCTTCGGGTCGGGAGCAGGCACTGGCGGTTGGGAACAAATTGAGATGGAAGACATGATGGGGGAAGACAGCGACTCGGAATGAAGGAGTTGGCACATGCAATAAGAAGTATGGCTTGACTGCCCATCTCGGTGCTGTACAGGGTATCTTCATCTACACGCCACCGATTTGAGCATTCTAGAACTCTAGATCTTGTTTCTTCGGCATCGCACTACCGCCAGCTGCTTCCCTCACGGCCTCCTCCTGCGCCTCGGTGTCGCCTTCCATCGGCGGTAGGCTGTACTTTGCAATCACAAACTTCCGCCGACTCAACGTAAACGCCATGTCCTCGCCCAAGTCTCCTGCTCCACCGCCGCCGCCCTTCTCATGGAACACTGGTAATTTATGCACGGCGAGCATACCCTGCGGTCGCTCTTCGTCCTTCGTCGTACCTGCCGATTGTGCGAGCGCTTGCAAACGCGAGTATGGGAATGGAGACAGCTCAATGACGCCGTCAGAAAGGATTTCCATCCAACGGACAAGGCCTGAGGATCTTGGGTATAGGGTCAAGGGAATTGTGATAATGGCGGTCAAACGCGTTTGATATTGTCGGAGCAGCGCCCGTAGACCGTGGAGGAATTGGAGTACGGAGGTCGGGTGGGCCGAGGAAGGAGAGTACAATGCTGGTGAGAGGAGAGACGGTATCACGATGCGGTGGATCGTGTGTGATGGGTTCGACTCGAGCTGCTGCCGTATGTTTTGCAAAATCGGAGGGAAGGGTGACGCAGAACCGCCTGGGCGAGGTATTGACACGTAGTTGATCGCTGTCCCCACAGGGAGCGTGAGACGTTTGGCGAGATCGAAGGTATGGCAGAAGATCATCTGTTCTTCTGTCGCACTATCGCCTTGACCTGCTGTCCTCTGCACATTGGGAGACCCTGTTGAGAAACTCGTCAAAACTGCTCGATAAATGGTTTTGCATTCGCAAAGTATATGTACACAACGCACCTCTAGCACTCTCAAACTGCCCCAGACCTTCATACCTCCATGCGATCTTCATCTTCTCTGCTCGCTCCTTCCCCTCCTTTCTCTTGTCCGACTTGTCTTCTGATATGCCAGGCAGTTCCCTACCCCACACTTCGCCCATGCCTACTACATGCACTTTATGGCCCTGTACCACTCCCTCAGCCGCATAGAACCGTAGTAATGCGCCGGCATAGTCTGTGGTTCCACTCTCGCCTATGAGTATCGAGTTCCCTAGTGCCAGGCCAGCATGACCTGCTAAGATGCCATCGAGCGAAGGCGTGCCGGTCGACGTGGTGGGGCGGCCATCGATAGGTGAGGGACGGACACCGGGGGGTGTTGGTGCAGGTTGTGCTATCGAAGGAGACGATGGCGCATTTGACGCGTCTTCGCCTGCTGGTGCGCGAGACAGCGCGATGTTGCGCTTGCGAAACGCCATTTTGGGAGTGTCTGGGGCTGTGAGTCGCGACTCGTCGAAAATGTTGGAGGGGCTATCGATAAGCGCGTGTTAGCGTCAGACGTCATCTGCCCAGCAGTCGCGACTGCTTGAGCAACACAAAAAGGGAATCGAAATCAACGTTTATGCTATTTCCACTTCAGTAGCTGGAACTGTCTGAGCCGATTTATTCTCTGATATTCGATACCGGGCCTTGATCTATCTTGATCCTTCCGCCCCGCTATAGCATCTCGCCTCCATGGATTCTGAGCATGACAGGGCCATTGCTTACCAGACTGTAACCTAGAGTCCTGAATTTGCATGACGAACGAGGGCCAGATATAAAAGTCGAACTTTCTAAGCACTACAACAATCGCCACATTCCGTATGACGTCGAGCGTACTCTTACCTCTGCAAGACATATTCCCCTGTCATGCGGTTTAGGCTAGTGATCCGTTTGGCGCGCGGCTCTTATAGAAAGATCAACGCAGCGCGTGCTTGCTCCCTGAGATTGCTGAGTAGATTATGATGGCTCTATCATGGTATTTACGTCTAGAATCGTGTAGCATTCATTGCTAAACCCAAGTCCTGGGAGTCTCCTGGAAAAGGTTGGCATGCGTAGTTATCAGATAGGAGCGCTTGAATGCGGCATTGTCTCAATTTTGTGATGAGGAAGCTGGCCTGCACACGGTGCATGGCGTCTTGGGGAGTTCATCCTCCGCGGTATCATCATAAGTTTGCATACAGTATCTGCGGGAACGCTAGAAGAGCAGCATTCTGATGCATACGTTCTGGATGGATGACTGGGAGTGCGATGCAAGGTGTGAGTGTGCTCTTCTTCGTGCTTTTCTTTTCATCGTTTGACACTAGAGTCCCGACACGGCTAGCGCAAACGGCTAGCGCCATCCCTAAGAAGGCCGGAGAGCACTCAATGCTTTCAGCATCTTCGACACAAAACTACATTTTCCCTCTGACTTCACGCTCGATCTACAGTCATGGCAGATGATGAAGAGGTCGAGTCTGCTCTAATTCCAAGCCTGTACAAGCCGCCCGCTTTGCTACCAATCGCGCAACTCAAAGATCAACTGCTTTACACAATAGAGACGTACCCTGTGACCATCGTCGTTGGCGAAACAGGCAGTGGTACGTTTTCTCGCTCTGTATGAATTCAAAACTGACATCTGTTCTCAGGAAAGACAACACAGATACCAAAATTTCTGCTGGGAGCCGGCTGGTGCAATGGCGGCAAGCAGATAGCGATCACACAACCCCGGAGAATAGCATGTACTAGCGTGGCCGCAAGAGTAGCAGAAGAGCTGGGTACACCGCTTGGTCAACAAGTCGGATACAGTATCAGATTCGAAGATGTCACGTCTGCGGCTACACAGGTGAAGTTTGTCACGGACGGCCTGTTACTGCGCGAGATGCTCGTCGATCCGCTACTTTCACGCTATTCAGTCATTATGGTCGACGAAGCACATGAGCGAAGCTTGTCTTCTGATATACTATTGAGCCTACTGAAGAAGGTGCTGAGGAAGCGAGAAGACCTGCGCGTCGTTGTGAGTAGCGCTACGCTAGAAGCGGAACGCTTCCTTGATTTCTTCATCCCCGACGACGGCGAAAAGGTCCATGGCAAAAGCAAGGAAGAGTTTGGCTACATCATTGGTATTGAAGGTCGCACATACCCGGTCGAAATCCAGTACCTACAGGAACCAACGAATAACTACGTGGAAGCAGCAATCGACACGGTCATGAAGATCCACGAGCACGAGAGCGAAGGCGACATCCTTGTCTTCTTAACAGGACGAGAGGAGATAGACGACGCGATTGATAAGCTTGGTGACCGTATTGTCGAGATGTCTTCATCCCAGAAAAAGCTCGTGCCATTGCCCCTTTACGCCGGCCTGCCTACAGAGGATCAAAATGCCATCTTCACAAAACCGTCACAAAACACGCGACGCGTGATCTTTAGCACTAACATCTCAGAGGCATCTTTGACTATCGACGGCATCGTCTTTGTAGTGGATTCAGGGTATGTCAAGCTCCGCGCCTATAACGCCAGTCTAGGCATCGAAAATCTTGCTGTCGTGCCTGTATCGAAAGCTAGTGCCACACAAAGAGCGGGCCGTGCTGGACGGACGAGGCCGGGCAAATGCTTCAGACTGTACCCTGAAAGCGTTTACGAAGGTTTGGAAGAAGCCACTTTCCCAGAGCTCGCTCGCTCGAATCTCGCACCCGTGATCCTGCAGCTTCTCAACTTGGGAATCACGAATGTGGTGCGGTTTGATTACCTCTCGCCGCCACCGTCGGCACTCGTAACACGCGCTCTGGATCTACTCTACTCTCTCGGTGCGTTGGACGCTCATGCTCGGCTTACAAAGCCTCTTGGTACGCGTATGGCGGAGCTTCCTCTCGAGCCGATGCTTGCTCGCGCATTATTAAAGGCCGCTGAACCGGACTTTGGCTGCCTGAGCGAAATGCTCACAATAGCTGCCATGATGACACTCCAAGGCAACGCTTTCGTTTCTCACGACGGTGGGAAGAAACAGCTCGATGCAGCGAGGCGGAAGTTCGCAGTAGCGGAGGGCGATCACCTTACCCTCTACAATGTATACGAAGCCTTCGTGAAAGCCGGAATGGGCAACACGGCATGGTGCCACTCCAACAGTCTGAACCACAAGTCGCTCGTCAAGGCCGTCAGTGTACGGAAACAACTTGCTGCTTATCTGGATCGTTTCGGTGTCAAGGAGAATGTTCTTGCGTCATCAGGCGTGCTGAGGGTAGGCGGTACACCACTCGCCGAGCGCGTCCGTCGCTGTCTAACGACTGGGTTCTTCGCACATGCTGCGAGGATGAAGGCAGATGGGACTTTCACGACTGTTGATGGAAAGACGACGTTGTGGCCCCATCCGACTTCTGTGTTCTTCACGAGGAAGGCGGATTGGGTCATATACACGGAGATACAGTCCACAAGAGATAAGATTTACGTTAGGGATCTGAGTACAGTGGAGATGGACTGGTTGACGGTGTATGCACCTGAGTTTTATAAGATCAAGAATGGCGGTCGATGAGATTGGAAAGAAGTTGCTTGCGGGTATCTATCAAAACTAAAGGCATAATTACGTGAGGACATGACAACAGAATTGCTGCTCCCAACATTACTTGCATGCTTCGACGAATAGCTCCCGCATGCCCTTGAGGAAGCCGGCCAAGTCGCGAGTTTCGTTGAGCCTGTCCACGACCGTCTCCACCTCTTCGCGCTCGACCTTCGGCCGCATCTCTAGCACTCTGTAATCGCGCTCGCTGGTATCCAGTTCAAACCACGCTTCACGGTCCCACTCCCTTTCATCGACGTTGGTATATACGAATTTCAGTCTGTCGTCCTTGCCGAGCCCCTCAATCCTAAGACCTAGATAGTTTTCCCAGAAGTCGAGCTCCGGCTCGTTGTACCTGCTTTGCCCATCGAGGTATCGGCGATGCTTGAGTTGTGCTTCACGGCGCGCGGAGATGGTCTTTTGCACCTCCGCGATCTGGGCGCGGAGGCTGTCGCGGTGGGCAAGGCGCTCGTCGCGCTGCAGGGTGAGAGCGGAAATGGCTTCTTGCATCTCGGAGGTTTCTTGGGATTCCTTGGAGATTGTTTGGCTGTGCTGGGCTGTCTTGAGTTCGAGGATTTCGATGTCGCGCTTCTTCATGCGTTGGTCCTCTGTCATTATAGTCAGTATGCGGTAGATTGGCGCGCATCTCGATGGGGTTTCGTCATACCATGGAGTTCTGCGACATTCATCCGGAACTGGTTTCGCTCTTCCAGTACTCGTCTGCGTCCATTCTCGATGAAAGCGTCGAATCGTGTAGTGAACTGGTTCATGCGGCTGCGTAGGTCGTCAAATCCGAAGTTGATGCTGGGTAGTTGGTCGGCCATGGACGGCGCATCGTGCGAGGAGGCGCGCATCGTGGTGCTCATGGAGGGCTCGAAAGTCGTCATAATTGCGTTTTGATTTTGACGTCTCTCGTGGAGTATGCGAATATGTGGTGGGGTGCGATAAGACGTTGGGTGGTGAGGGCGGATGAGATGGTTGCTCCGTAAACAAACATGCGCGCTAATGCGGCAGGAACGACAGCGGGGCGCATGCACGTGCCGACGCGACTTTTGGCGCTAGTGGAACTTTTTGGCGATGTCTCTTTCATCATCGCGTCCGGCGCATCCTGAGCTTGACAGACAGAATCTTCACCCTCGCACACGGCCGTTTGTTTTCTGCGTCCAAGAAATGAGTTTATACCCCAGCGTCGTTACGGATCGAAAACCTTTACGACAGCCCAATGGCTGACAGATCGCTCAAAGATCTGAACTACGGCTATCCCGGTGCGGCGACTTACGACTTGGACAATAGAGAATGGACGTTTGCTAGGCCATATACCACACGCTCATTCAAGCGCATACAAACTTCAAAGGACGCGACTACTGCGAACAGTCATGCGACACCGGCATTACCTCTCTCTGCAGAGATACTAGCGAGTAGGACCAGCGTACAGAAGGAGATCAGTAACAGCATACGAGATCATCCTCAGATCTCTGCAGCTGCCGAGGTCCTCCCCGATCTAGCTGTGTTATCTGCTGCCATATTATCCACGGCTTCGACCTACGATCCGCTCGTCGGCGACCTACTCTCCTTCGGTTCGATTACGTCCAAGGGTAGACATGAGGCATGGCGCATAGCTGCAGTGCCAACCGGAGAATCGGGGAGCATACTACAGTTGTCAATCCTAGACAAAGAAATACACGGTTGGACCGCAGACCCGAAGTCATGGGTAGAAGGCCGGACCTTGAAAGATACGGAGAGTGGCTTCTGGAATGAGGAAGCGGCACCGATCCAGCAAGTTTGCTTTGCGCATTCGGACGACAGCAGACCATTTCTGGCTGTGCGACTGCCTACCCGTACGGTCTTCTTTCACCCAGACTACCACTGCCGACCACGCGCTTCCGCTGTGTCACCGTTCTACCGCTTACCCGCCTCCTCGATCGAACCCCACCCTATACTTTGCATAAGTCAGAACGATACTGATGGCTTTGCTCATGTCGACATTGCATTCAATCCAGACTTCCAGTCACAGTTTGCACTCGTCGACCTGAACCAGACATGGAGTGTATGGGACATCGAGCATCGGCCCATACTTGGCACGTACTCGGCTTCATGTCTGCTTCGTGGAAAAATCGATGAACTGGAAGAGGATCGGGGCACAGCCTGCGGAGACGGTTGGGCGAGGATTCTCTGGGTGGCTGATATAACGACGCTGCTGGTATGCAACAGGCGCCATTTGAGCATCGTCAGTATCAAGGGCAGGACAACGTCACACCTTCCCTGTCCAGAGCTCTTTAGTGAGCGATCAGCAGACTGGATCTTGGATGTCAAGCGACACCCGAGAGATAGAAGTCAAGTTTTCGTCGTGACCTCTACTCGTCTATTCCTCCTTTCGGTCACTGCACCAAGTGAGCTGCTTCCGAAGGCTGATGAAGCTGGAGCTAAAGTCCTCACATCGTGGCGGCACTACCGGGGCGTGGAGGATTTCACGCTTCACATAAGCGTGCAGATGCTGTCGGACGACGGTAAGTTGCAGATCAATCGCGTAACAAGGATCTCACTGACAGCCTGACAGAGACATGTGTTATGCTCCACTCTCGAGTTAATAGCTTGGTCCAAGTACAGAGCTTCCGCGAAGATACCTCCGGTCCTTTAGGCCTCATTACTAGTTCAGATCCGACCCTACTAGACGTACCCATTGGTGGATCTACGCACATGACCAACTTGTACGTCGAGCCCATGCAATGGGAATACTCACAGAAAGACATCGTATTTCTCCAGTTGTTCATGACGCTGTCCGACCTGAGTATACGCGAGCTGATTGTCTGGAGCCGGACCACCTCGATGGGACATACCACCGAGGATGACCACGCCGTCGTAGACTTCACGCGAAGCACTATCAAACGCCCTAGAACTCTCACCTTCAACTCAAAAGCCAGCAACAAAGACGATGATTTCGTAATTCCTAATGGATTAGTCGCCACAGGGTCACCAAGCTACAAGACTGTCATGCAACAGCCAGAATTGCGCAAATCCTCCGATAGTACTGCCGCGCCAAACACTCGGGACAACACTTCTCTGGGCGAGATCTTATCTCGGTCAAAGAGCGCGGCGGCGGAGGTCTCTGGTACCATCGATGCAGTGGCTGTCATGGACCAAGTGAACGAAATGTTGGCGACTGGTGCAGACTTGCCACCTTTACCATTGGGTACTTTGTAAGTGAACTGGGTCTCTGTTGAATTCTGAACTAACAACAGCAGGATGGAGTGCACGCACACGCAATTCCATGTTGCAGACATCGACGAAGCTTCGTCCAATTTTCAAGAGCTGTTCTCTTCCCCGAGTGGTCAGGATACTGTGGATGTCCAGCGTATCGCAGCTATGCGCGTGCTTGGCTTGACTGAGGACGACGACCTCACCATTTCTGATGCCTATGACAGTATCTTACAGACGTGGGTTGCGCCTATGCCATCAGAGATGCCAATTCGCGTTCGGCAACGACAAGAGCTTCTGGCTCGGCGGATTGCTACGGAGCTGATGTTCTCAAGTACGTGCATACGAGACGATCGGATTCAAGTGCCCACCATCAGCACACAGCGTGGGCAGAGTCAGAACAGCGGTGTTGCGTTGCCCATCTTGCCGGCCAGACCTAAAGAGGGAACCTCCAACTTCGCCTCCAGATATCCTGCCTCGCAACCATTGCCGACACCGCCATACTCATCTATACCACCCTCATCTTTGCCTCCGTCCTCTGTGCTTGGATCGTCCCCACCCGAGCTACCTTCCGTGCAGCCAGCTTCGTCAGATCCCCTCAGTCGCCTTAGCAAGTATCTTCAAACTTCCAAAGACCCGGTGATTGTTCCACCAAACGTGTCCCAAGGTCTCGCGCATTGGCAATTAGGAACTGATCCTCACACGTACAACTGGGTCAGCCTAGAGCGTGCTCTTCGAGCCGAAGAACTCGATGAAGAGAGCCAACAACAACGCGAGAAGGAACGCAAGAAGAAGGAACGTCGGGAAAAGCGCCAACAACGTGAGAACGAGCTCATGAGGGCTAAGGCTGCTAGCCAAATTACTGCATATCCGCGAAGCTCTCCAGGGCCCATGCTGGGTGGTATGGGTATCAGCAGTCAGGTACCGAGCCAGAGCCAAAGTCAAGGCCATGTACCATTCCAGAGTGGTGGCTTCATGATGCCACAAAGTCAAGTAGAGCGGGGCAAGTTTGGAGGGAAGCTAGACAAGAAGAAGAAAAAGAAGGGGAGGATCAGTGGATTTTAAGTTTTGGATGTGCGGATCGCTCCGTACATGTGACTCCGGAATGCAAATGCTATGTATGCACAGAGCGGATGCCTCTGATCTGATGCCGTCACCGGCGCGGAAAGAAGGAAGCTCCTCCCCTCAAAGTGGGGTCAGAGGGGTAGCTTCACTCCACCAACTACATAGCTTAGCTTCACCCCAAACCCATCGTATATACCAAGGATCGCATCCAATACAAGCAATTGAATCTACAAAAACATCACCAAAACCATTCTGCAACGCAAACGAAAATGTCAGGCTTCCCATCTCTCCAGCCCGCTTTCACCGTCCGCGTCGACATCGATGCGCCGATGCAAGTCGGAGGCCAGCATGGCGCGCAGTTGGTCATAGTTCCGATGGTATCCGGCACAGTTAAGAGTGAAGAGGGCTTTGAACCAAAGCTGGATGGAGAGTTGCACGGTACTGGCTACGACTATATCCACAACGATGCCGATGGCGGAAACATGCGCTTGGATGTCAGGAGTCAAGTCAAGTAAGTGCAGAGCCACGCATACCTATTTTACAGGACACAGTAGACTCATAGTCATGCAGGAACCACGACGGAACAATTCTGGCAATGTATTACAAGGGTACCGTGAAGCTCACGCCTGGTGTTGGTAAGGTGCTGTCTGGTGCTTCGGATGCTAAGACCACCGACTACGGCGATTCGTTCGTGAACTTCACTTTTGAGACGGGCAACGAGAAGTACAAGGAGCTTCAGAACGGGACATATGTCGCTGCCGGCCATTTCGTCACAGGCGAGGGAAAGCCCGGTGTTGTGGTGGAGTACAAGGTTAGCAAGGTTGTGTATAAGGCGTAAGTCAGCACACTTGTATGGAGTGAGTGGAGATGTATCAGTCTTTTACTTGGAGATGCTGATGCGTAATTTAGGGCGAAGACGGGTACATCGCGACCTGTATATAATCCCAACTTATGATCAATGACTGTGCCAATCCTCCCTTCGTGCGTATCTTGTCTCTTTCTCTGCTAGATTTCAACATGTTTCCTGTTCACTTTTTCGACTTTCTTGGTTCTGGTATGGTACACATGGCAACTCTTGTCGTAGCTTAGTTAGTCCTATCATCCTTGTCCACCTTCACCTCGTTGACGTAACACGGGTCCGTTTGCTCTGAAGCGAAGCGCGTCGCACGTGGCGAGAAACGCGGTATTTCTCTGCCACTTCTGATTTTCCTCTTTTCTCCCCTGATATCGGCCTTGATTGGCCACCTGCAGCGCACTACGAGATTGCCTAGGTAGGTTCTACACCCATATCAAGGACTTCAAACATTGACCAGCCATCGTTGCAGTATCGCGACAAGACTTACCCAACCCGCATACGCTGTGTTTCACCGGTCGCAATGCTCTTGAGGAAAAAGTACATCCTTGGTGATTTCACCAAATACGGCGTCGGCAAGCTCGGACTTCAGTTTGCGGCCGTTGCGGACATGGATCACTACGAGTTCGCAGAAAAGGTATACCTGGACGAGAGGAAGAACACCCATCGGTGTCACATGGTCCGCGTGGGTCATTACTCATTCAAGAGCGGAGGCCCCCCAGTATGGGCAGAAGCGACGGGAGAGCGCATACGATACTACTCAGGCGCAGGAGTCCAAGTGACCCCATTGGTTCATAATGTCCATTCCTCGAAAGTCTATTACGATCCGCCTTTCAGTCATATCGGCGGGGGACTGGACTATAGCAGCGTAAAGCCTGGTATGAGCTCAGAACGGAGACTCGAGCGGGCTATAGTTGAGGCTGTAGTCAACTTCTCCTTCCTCAAGAGTGGACGCTTGGAGCAAGTCTCGGATATGGTCAACCTGGACATACTGAGCAGCTTCAGACAGGCATGCAGAAACTTTGGCCTATATCAGAGATCTCGAGACAACGCGGACAATGCCGACTACCATCGGAGTTTGGGAAACGGACCATCTACTCCAGTATCAAGCCGCAGGCTATGTCCCTTTGTGGCCCCTCCGTCTACCGAGCGAAATGGGCAGCTGGCAGTCTGCGACGGGAATCTGGGCTCGCTCGTTTTACGCAAACGCCAGTTTGCAGGACTCAACGATGATTTGACTGGTGATCTACAACGTGGTAAGTTACCGCATTCGTATTGCTTTAAACTTGGCTAACATTGCTATGTAGACTCGAATAAACGTCCTCGTCTGCTCGTGAGTCAACCTCTCCCACCAGCACATCACCATACATTCTAGCCTCTGACACATCATTTTAGGAGGACAGCATCAATCGTGACGCACAAATGCACGCGCAGATAGAACGCGAAGTATGGAATCTTAGAGCTCAGCTCGTAGAACAGGAGGCAAAGACTAGTGCCGCGAAAGACAGGCTTATGCGAGAAAAGACGAAGCGACGCGAAGCACAGGCGGAACGTGACGCGTGTAAAGAGGAGTACAAGACCCAGCAGGCTCTATCTGAATCTGCTACCGAACAGATCAAGCAAGAGGAAGGGAAAAAGGATTGGAAGGCTATGTTATCCGCTCAAGAAAAGAAGACTCAAGACTACAAACTCAAGTACATTGCGATGAAAGAGGAGAAGGCTGAGTGGGAAGCACAGAAACAGGAGATGAGAGGTACAATCGTCACTCTCGCTTCAAAAGTCACCAGCCAGAGAGCTCATAACAGGATCGCCAATGCTGGTCACATGAGGAAGCGGGAGGAGAAGACCATCTTGCACAAGGAAGCGATAAAGGTGTTGTCAACAGAGCTTGCCAAAGAGAAGGAAGCAAGGGTCTTCTGGCAAAGAACATGGCACAGTAGCCTACCGGGCAGTTCGCGGAACCGTCCACTACCCCCGTCGTCTCCGACAGCTCCACGAAATCAAAACTCTAGTATGGAGATCATAAGGGCGCCCCTCGATCATCGACGTACAAAGCCGCATCAGAGCACACCCGGTCTTAGGGAGACTGTACCACTCCCACAGGGTATGCGCAGATGAGCTAGAGCTAATGACCCTTGAAGCACTTTAGGTGCGTTCAATTGGCAGAGGTATGGCATTGGAGAAGCTGTTGATATGAGAAGGTGGTATTTGTCTGAGAGATTCTGGTTGTATGAGTGTTGCAGACTACAATGTATTTGTAGAACATATAATCCAAACTATTAGCACGTTTGCCAACGACGATATATCACTGGAAAGCCAGTGCCATCCTTGACAGATGATATACGCTTCCAGCTCAGCTTCGCGTTAGTGCGACCGCGTGTCATACATTCACTTTCCTGCTACATACGTCGTCCACAGATCACGCATCCCTTGCAGAGTCATTCTTCGCTACTAGGGTTGAGTATAGACGCGACCGATTCAACAGCACTAACAAACTACCGTCATCAACTCACCAACCCACTAATGTACACACCCAAAGTTCCTCACGAAAAGACTTGAGGCTCGAGCGCGAAGTCCAAAAGACGCCGTCCACAGAGTCATCCTCCTCCTCAACGACCGGCGGTTCCCCGACCCAGCCAATCACCCAACACCCCCTTAGATCCAAAGCTCGGGTACCCACCCGCTCCTCACCCTCCCTCCTTTCCTTTTGCGCGGCACCCTCTAGCGCACCTCCAAACACACACCCTCTCCGCTCTTCGGCGCCTGCAGTGTGGCCGCACCCGTCTCCGCGAACAACTTGTTGAACCACTCGCTACTGTTCGTAGCGGACTACCGACCACCGACACCGACTCAGCAACACGAGTCAGCCCTTTGCGCGATAAGGATGCGTGAGTCGAAAGAGCATTTGCTTATGGAAAGCCCCCCGACGGGATCACGATAGGTCTTGGCTTGTGCTGCGTATCTGCCGTATGGATGCCTTATGGAATCGTGTCGTGGAGTTGGTTATCTACAAACCGAGTAGTGCATCGTTGGACAAGGATCCCCACGTTACGGCGCCCAGCACAGTACCAAACACACTCAACCCGTTTTATGTACGCTCGCGCTCCCGGCCGCCGCGAACGTGGGGAGGAAGGAAGGGGGACAGCAAGGCGGCCGTTGTCTTAGTCGTGCGTGTTAGTGCGGGATGACATCTCCTGTGAGCTATTTTCCGAAAAGTGCTAATGGCGCTAGCTTCGAGGGGCTGACTGTTGCAAGTGTGTGGATAGACAATAAAAAAGCAAGTACTCGGGGCCCATCAAAACTTTACTGTTTGCGATGGCGGTTGCAGTAGTTGCGGGCCTGATGCGTCCCTAGGTCTGAGGCTGTGGAGGTTGATCGTCGTGATTCGATCTTCGGCATGTTGGTGCTGTCGTGGGGATCTGAATGGCAGGTGCTGTCCAGGTAGTTGTGAGGTCTCGGTTGATCTCCGCGAATGAGAGCGTGTGAGTGTCTTGGCATGAGGGTGCTCTTGCCGTGGGCGCCTTCGATACATACTTGCGTTTTGGAGGGACGGTATGATGCTGATACATGGATATCCACATGGAGAGATCAATAGGTGTGATTGGTATCAATGTATTACACTACTAGTTTTGGGACTATGCTACAGTCGACAAGTAAGTCGATGCTAGGATGCCATTGGAGGCAGGTATCTGAGGACAATGCGGCTATGCGACCAGTCGTAGCCATTGAAACGGCCTGTGCGTCATGCAGTGTCGTTATACATAGATGCGGAACTAATGAATAAAAGAAAGAGGAGTGGACAAAAATATGTCCAGTCGCGACTGTGATGACGAAGTGGCCGTTGTGGTCGTGCCGAAGCGAGACGAGATAGAGAAGGATGCAGATAACCGAGTGTGACAGAGGCGCGTCACGCAAAATTCCGTCTGATGAGATGGTGGCGCCTTCGATCGGCACCACCACATGCGAAACAAGCAACTGGCCCAATCCGATCACATTATGCCCTTGAGGCCGCGGAAGCCACCAGTTTTGGAAGACGAAGGCTTCTTCTGTTCCTTCTCTTTGACCTTCTTTCCGATGTTCTGAGCGCCGCCTATCTCATAGTCAGCCTCTGATGTTGCAGGACGTGATATCGATGACTTACCCCGACCGTAGATCCGGACCTCTGATTTCGGGTCTACTTTGTCTTTTCTCTCCTTGCTTGAGCTGCCATCAGTGTCGGCGGAGAAGCTGCTCTGCCCGCTAGACTGAGGCTTTGGCGCCTGAAACTGATTGTTGAGAGACGCATCATATGCTGCGGAAAAGTTTGGTCCATATCCGCCACCAAACCCAGGGTACGGCGATGGTGCTGTTTGAGATCGTTGCGGCTTTCCCTGTTGTAGTGACTCAAGCCTAGCAGGACGAGGTGGAGACGGTGCTGATCCAGGACTGTGTATTGAGTCCGGCGATCGATATTCATAGTAATCTTGCTCCTCGCTTTGAGTGGCCTCTGTTGTAGAGAGGGGTGTCAAATATCTCGAGCTGTAGTTGGTCGCCTGCCGGATGCTAGAGCTGCGACTGACCCGTGACGTGCCAAAATCGATGTGGCCAGACTTGTCGCGGGGGTAGAGCTGTCCCATCTCAGCCTCTCGCTCCCCTTCGAGCTCGTGGTACTTCATCTGCAGCTCAGTGTATTGCTCAAGGAGGCGGTAATGAGTTTTCTTGAGTTGCTGCATTTTGGCATTGCTCGCTGCAAGCGCCGAGTCGAGCATCTGCTGCACAGAAGACGGCAGTTGCCCTGGCTTGCCAGTGCTCCTGTCAGAAGACTGTAGTCGGGACTCAAGCTCCAAGATCCGGCGCTCGTAAGCCTTGATCGACCGCTCACGTTCTTGCTCACGGCTGTTCAACCGCATGTTTGCGATTTCGAGATCGTTGCGCAAGTCGTTCCGTTCCTGTATGAGGGTGTGTAGCTCCTTCCTCTGGTCTTCGAATGCTATGATCTTATCCTGCGCACCCTCAAGCTCTCGCCTAATGTCGGCGTAGTCTTCAAGCTCGTATTCCAACGCTTTGGTTCGTTGTTGGGCTTTCAGTTGTTCTGCTTCAGCTCTCTCCACAATCTTCTTGAGTTGCTCGTAGTCTGATTGGGTCCTTTGAAGCTCATATCGCAAACCGCCCTCGTCGCTGTGCCAGGTCTTTTCACTTTCTTTGTACGACCGCACCTTGTTGTTCAACTCGCTTTCCCATTTCTTGGACTGGCTGCGGCTCGTGAGCGTTTCCTTCTTGAGCTGGGCGTACAGCTCGTTTGCCTTGGCGAGTTTGGCCTTCAGTGTCTTGTTGGTGTTGATCAGATTCTGGGTCTCCGCCTCTACAGTCGCTTCTTTGATATGCTTCCGCTGTAGTTGTCCGATGTGAGCAAGATGCTGCAACTTGAGGTAACGCTCAAAGTTGAGATCATTCCGGAGTAGCATGATCTCTCTTTGCAAAGAAGCCATGGTGTGGTTTTGGAAGTCATGGTGGGAAGATTGATTGCCGGAGATGGATTGGGCGAAACTGTCCAGGCTGGTTTGATGTGCTACGAAGCGCTGTGCGGATTGAGTGGACATGTCCGGCTTCTTTGCATCTTTGGTGGCCGGCAGTGTTGGAGAATCCATCATGTCGCGACCTTTCAGCAACGGTGACGCCATGGACTTGATAGATACTGCAGACTTGATTGACTTGCTCTTTGGCGGGAGTTCAAGATCGGGAATATCTGGAGCATCGCCTGACGAAACGTTCATAGTCGATTGTGTGTTCCTCCAGCTTACATCCGATTCGTGTACTGTCGTGCCGTCTTGGTCGTCCAAAGTAAATTGCGAGGGTATCTCTGGAACAGGCGGTAGAGCTGCGTTGGGCGGTGGACCGGGATCCTCCAATGTTGATGATACGGCAACGCACAGATCCATACATTCAATGACAACATCTGCGGGGTCGCTCTTTAGCCACTTGTTCTCGCTCAATTCGTCTTCGACGGTGGTTGTGAACATGTTTGGGTGTAGTAGATGAACGCGACGGTAGGGTTCCGTCCGGCTGTGAATAAGATCCTGGTCCAGGTCGAAGTCGCGCGCGCCTGGAAAGTTGAGCGACTTGAGATACTTCCTTGGCTTACGCACGAAGCTCATGAAGTTGAGGGGAAAGAGACCGTATAAGAAGGTGAAGTAGTGCATAAGAGTCGGCGGGGGGTAATCAGGGTAGTCCATGGATGGCTGCACCTGCTCCCAGGCCTGTTCCGAGTCGGTATCGATGTCGTCACCCTCCTCTTCACTTTCATCGTCTTGTATATCCATGCCATCGCCTTTCTCGTCATTGTTACCCAACTTGTCCCAACACAGTATCCGACAGTAGACCAGGAACATTTTCTCGAGGTGGTGATCAGAAGTCAGCGCTCCACATATGTGAGGCAGGAACATGATGAGGACGACGAGGGCGAGCTCGATGACGGTGGATGAGTTGTCTATGAGCAGGCATTTCTCAAGGTTCTGGATGAGTGGGGTTTCGAGGACGAGGTGGAGGTGCGGCGGCTGGAGGCGGACGAAGGCACTGAGCAGGTTCAAGGCTTGTATGCGATGCTGCTTCTGTAGGAGGAGGTTGTCGAGTGTGAGGAGGAAGACCTGGAAGTATTAGTCAAGGTCTCATAGTCAGGAAAGGCACCCACTTTGGGCATCTTGCGTCCAAAGTCGACCAGGACAGCTTCGAGTTCATGGGCCACAAACTCATTCTCTGGCTTCACGGCATCTTCAGGCGAAGAGGGCACGTTGGTGCGCGCCAAGTAAGCGTCGAGTATCTTCTTGGTGAAGAGGGCGGACAAGCGCGCGTGCTCCCCATCTTTGTCGACTTCTGTGTCGTATACCAGTATGCTCTGGATAAAGGCCCTCGCATCTTCAATCTCGCTCTTCTTGTAACCTATGCCGTCGATGACAGGCCTCAGGGCCGAGTTCCACCAGGCGGTCAGACGCGCCTCGCCCGTTATCGCGGGCCGAAGCAGTCGCAGAGCTGATAAGAAGGCGCCGCGCTTTTCGGGATTATTCGCGACGTGGCGGAGGTATAGCGCGTGGAGATCATCGTGAAAGCGCTGGGAGTCGTGGTCGTCAATGTCGTCATAGCGTTCGAGGAAGGCTTCTATGGTCGCATAGAGCTCGTCTGGGAGAGGGCAGGGGACGGTAGTGGCCGAGAAGGTCGTGTTCAGAGCCTTCAGCGACTCGCGCATGGAACTGAGCATGTTAGCAATTCCGTCTGGAGGTATTACCAAGGCACCAGGTACCGCAGCTTACCCTGACATGGTGTCTTGTATCTCCACTTGCCGTGGTACAGATGCGCTACGGCAGGCGATGTGCACGTATGAGTGTTTACGGATATGGGAGCAACGTCTTGGATAGATGCACGAGGGTCCAGCAGGCAGTAGGCATGTCACTGGACATGCAGGTCCGGTCTGGGGAGCCAAAGCTTTTTGACGGCGCAAGTGCGTGGGGTGAAGATGAGGGACCAGCGAGCCGCAGCAGAGGGTTCAATGGCTCCGCCTGCTCGCAATTGCTCGGAGGTGCTTTTGCGGGAGCATGCCTCAGTGATGCGCGGCGCTATCGACCAACCCCAGAGATGCGCCAAAACAAATCTCACGTCTCACTGCCGGCGTCCCAAGAGCGCGCAGGGCCTGATGGGGTTGATGATGCTAGCCCGAGGTGCAGCGCCCAGTCGCGGCTAGAGAGCGTGCACGCCCGTGCGTCATGGCCCTGCAAGCCACCACAAACGGCCTCGAAGCCACCGTGCTTGCTTGTGCCCACCACCCCTGAAGCCATCCCATTTGCCTTCGGCCCACTCTCACCAATTCCGTGTGTAACTATCAATCATCAATCAACGCCCAGTCACACAATTATCAGACACGATTGCTACCCTGGCCACTCTTGGGAAGCATCGCGTGATGCATACTCAAACACGATCAAACATCGCCAACGTATTCCAACATCCTATCACGGCCGCCTGCCCATATCCGTCATTTTGGCCCTGGGCGGCCCTGTTTTCTCACGGATGACTCTACCCAATTTTAAGCAGCCCGAGTAGACTCGAGCAGCCTTGTCATCACGGCAGCCGCTCGCCGCACCTCCAATCAGGCGTGTCAGAGAGAAACCTTTCCAACTCGAGTCTGTACTCATCACATAAAATCACCCAATGGTTACATGTGTCAGTCATACCTTATCTTCCGCTCCGGTCATACCTCTATATCAGAAATATTCCGGCATGGCGCATCAGGGCTCGGATCAAGAACTATGCCACATGTGGCAGCCCTGCATGCACTCTAGTTCAATCTTTCACATGTCCAACTGCTGCACACTTTACTCTTTCCAACCCAATCGCTAACTGATTAGTTTCTTCGCTGTTTAGGAGTAGTTGAGGCCGATCTCTCTCCACTGGAAAGCACAACAGAATAGACTTTGAACGAGTCGTGCCGTGGAGCTATGCGGGATGCGCCGAAGCTTCTGACCTCTATCCAGGCTATCGCCAATTACCGATACCGACAACACGGTAGCCTCGTACCCATACCGCGATGTGCAGCCTTGCCCCGTAACTCTCTCTTATCGCAAGGATCCCGTCGTGCTTCCGCCAATGGACTCATGGCAGCTCATCCGCGCCATCCCGCCGTCTCATTATATTTTCCATTGCACCTTCTCTATCAAGATCAGCGAATCCATCGCCCTCGGCACTGCTTCCGATCGGCTTCATAGTAATACCGCGCACTCAGGGTTCGCAAACCTGATCGCCCCCGTGGCCGCAGGCCGCCAGAGTTAGAGGGGCTACGCTGACCCAACGGCTTGGCCAAACCCTTGCGCTGGTCGATCATAACAATGAGCTTGTGCACTGACAAGATGACATGCTTGCAACATAGTCAAACATCGCGTTATGCACATTAATCACTCTAGTTCTTCCGGATCTTTGACCTACACGACAAGGAATCTCGACTCGATACAACGGTACTGCGTCTCAGACAGTCTCATTCATATTGCTTCGATATAGCACTATGTACCCAGGCATGCGTCAATCACACATCTGCAACACCGTTATGTACGGCGTCGCTTAACCGGCTAAGAGCGCATCCAGGCACATGCAGCATGGAGAAACGCTAGATGAGCTCATTTGTTTCAATGTCAGGCACAGTAAGCACGCTGCAGGTACAGTTCGGAAACTTTCCATCGAACACTTATGCATTGACTATCTGAAAGTGTTCCCTACCATCTACTTGCCTGCTACGCCGGCACCCAGTCATTGGCACGGAGGCTACCCTTCTACTCAAGAAATACCTATGAAGGCACCGCAACGACCTGGAACTGGTAGTTGCAAGTCGGCTTCGAGTTTGTCACCTCAATACTTCCATATCCGCCTCCCACCATGGTACTTCCATCCCAAACCTCCAACTGCACCTTACCTGGGACCAACTTCTCCAGCCCAGTGAACTTGAACTTGTTGAACCCCGGCGCGAGTGACATCTTGTTAAGCTGCTTTCCGCCAACGTTGACAACAGCGACAAGGTTTGTCTTGCCTTGGGGGACGAGTAACACGCCAGATACGGCGTCTTCAGCTGCCTTTTGGATGTCTCCAGACTTCGGTAGCTTGTCGGCGGAGCAAGAGCCTCCAACGGTGAGAGTGTGGTGCCAGAAAGTGCCTTGGACAGCCTTGCCACCAGTAGGGTACATGTTCGCTGTTGTGCGATCGCCACGCTTCCATGCAGAGATGAATGGTTGCAGAATCTGCCAGTAGCCAGTATGGTCGTACCCTTCTACGATAGCCGGTGTGTCTCCTTGCAGCGGAGTTGGGTGAAGGCGTCCCATGTAATGACCCTCGCCTGCGTCGTTCCAGCTCTGGAGCTGCACCATGTCGGGCTGGACACTAAGGATCTGACCGAACCTGTTCTCGAGGTTGTCCTCGCCGCGGCGGTACCAGTTGTCTGAGCCCATATGCTTGAACTGTACGGGTGAGATGCCCATCATGAAAAGATTGCCCGCCTTGTCGGCAGCGGATTGGAAAACCTTGTCTGTCGCTGCGGATACGGCCACTTTGCCTTGATCCGTCGAGGGCCACGAGTTCCAGTTGAATACACCATCGAGAGATTTACGGTTGTCGAAGAAGTTCGCGGTGGGGTTGTAGATTGTGTAGAAACCAGGGACAATCAGCACGTCGCCCACCTTCGATTTGAAGTTGCTCCAATCGCTGTCGGCGACACCTTCGCCACCAAAAGTCGATAGGAGAGGCTTGTTCTTGCCATCGGAAGGGTCCTTCATCTTGAGGTAGGACGTACGGCCCTTGTGGTCGTTGAAGTAATCGACGTATTCCGATGGGTTATGGATGAAGCCAGCGGCATGGTCAAAGGAGAAAAAGAGGCTGAAACCGCCAATGTAATCGGCGTGGTCGAACATGTATTGCACAGTCCTTTGGGACCAATCCGCGAACCGGTCTGGTCATTGTTAGTACGGCCCTGGACTGGAGTTTTATTGGTAGAAGCCACTCACCGAAATTGAGCGCGAAGCCGTTCAGACCAAGGTCCCTCGCATCCTCAATGTCCTGCTTGACTTCTTCGAGCTTGAGCTCTCCAACCATGTAATGAGCCACGCTTTACAGAACTGTTAGTACATGTCGACTCTTGCAGGCGGGATAACTTACATCGGCCTATCAACAACCGCGCGCGGCGTAACGCGCCCAGCGACGGCGCTAGCCAAAAGGCCAACAGCAAAAGTTGGAACAAAGCGCATACTGAAAGAACACTCGAGTCGTTTGCGAATGTCAAGCCAGCAATGTGGATGATGGGTAACCAGACGGCCACTTCAGTTGACTTTATAGTCTTTGAATGCCGAATGATGCAAGGCCGTTCGACCGGCAACCTGCGTAAGGCGACCAACTACACAGCCCGTGGCTGCTGGCAGCCTCGCCGTTCACACTTGTAAACGGCACGAGATGAAGACTAGGCCTCCTGGCAGGGATGGTTACACTGATGGTAGTAGTTTTAGCCCCGCCGTCTTTTCCACTTTACCCGTATCCATACCCACACACAATACTTTTGGCGCAAGATGTCTTTCCTACTCTTACACCTATATCTCTTGGCTCCGTGGTTGAGCGGAGATTTTCCCTTCCGCCTTGGAGTTCAGGTGGCAATGGGCACGAGTACGTCGATGTTCCTGTGGTGATTGCAACGCGAATGCGAAACAATGACAAGGACCGTCCCGCGCATGTCCGCAACGCCACAGGACGATTAGGGCCACCAGCTGTGGACCTGCAAGGCAGTATCGGTTTTTAGGAGCTGCCATGTTTAGATCATCCAGACTGTTAGCTTCTGTTCTAGAATAACGCATCCACTGCATCTCTACTCGGTGTTTTGCGCGACGGGCCGTGATTGTGGATGGAGTGTGGATTGAGAGTTGGAACCTAACCAATCGGCTGCTAGTGCTGGGCATCATTGTCCCTCGGTCTGCCGATTTTGCTGCATTACGGTCCGCTTTCACGACGGGGGCCGGGGGTTTGATCAGGAATCAGACGATGGTGCCGTGTTTTTTGCATGCTGGTGTCTTGATGTGCAGCATGGGATGTGGGCATTACCTTAGCGATTGTCCGAGTACGGATGTATGGTGCGACTCACCTCGGCGAGTACCAGTACCTACTGTAGGTACTATCGGTTATCAGGCACCTTTTCTGGATGTTTTTATCCACCTATTGATCGTGTTGCGGTAGTCGCGACCTAGCCGCTGTGTCACTACAAACTACGTCTTAGGGCCGGACAGATCGGCGAGTATGAGCCTCGGTCACTGAGAAGTGGAACGAGGGAGCTATTGTGACGCAAGTGCTTCTGTTGACGATACTGCTCATTCGTATTGTGACGCAAAACGCCAGACAGTTGTGGAACTATGACATGAGGAGACGTCAGATCGGAGAAGTCAGATATCGCTTGGCTAAACCGGGAAAAGACGTCGATCGCGTTCTTCCACTTGATACCCTTCATTCAACATCATCTCTTCCATTCCGTCCTTCCCATAGATCCCATTCTGTCTCCTCCTCCCAGTCTACTGCTTGTCGCCCCTCTCACCCAGTCCCTCTTTCCCTCCTTGCACCTTTGTCTCGCCCCCAATACCCGTCGTCCGAGTCGGCTGTGCCTGGTGGTCTGGCTGCTTTGCCGGGTGGTCGTCGCCGGTCTTGTGCTCATCAGGCGACGCACTGGATTGCTGGTCGGTGTTTTGCGTGTCCGAACGCATCTTGGCGTTTGGTGCAGCCGATGAGTTTTCAGAAGGGTCTGGCAGGTTGGAAGCAGGGTTGGGGGTGTCCATCAGCTTTGCATGGCTGTGTGTAGTGGTGAAGGCGCGGATTTGAGATGTGACGGGGCGCTGAAGCGCGCGGAGGCGGATGGTGATAGACGACATAATGGGTAGAAGGTTGTATGTTGCGCTGCCTACTCGTTCAGGACGCTCGATTGTGTATTGTTGGATTTCTAAAGCCGAATGATCTTCAGAAAGTCGTGAAAGAATGATTATAGAGCATGACGAGTGTTGTGGGCTCAATCGTTGCACGAAGATGTGATGTCATCGTGACCGCTTCGACAGTGGCGAAGATCCATAATTTCCATCAGAAGTCGTGGGATAACAGCTTAAGTTCCCTGGTATTGCTCTGTGCATCGAACGTGTACAGAACCGTGATTGATGATCTGACGCGAACAAGACGCGTCGCAAAGCCAGCCCGGTGTGCTAGCTACTACACGTGCTTCATGCATTAGCGCGCCTGATTGTGCCGCATCGGGTTGCGCCCCAATCTTCAGGATGGCTACGGAGCCTCCCAGCATACATTGAATGTTCAAAAAAGCTTTTTGGAGAAGAAAGGAACGACCTATCACTGCATCACTTTCCCCTGTCACAATCAAAATGCCAGATTTTGTTCTTTTTGGCGATTCCCTTACACAATGGAGCTTTAGCGAGGAAACGCAAGGCTTCGGGTTGTTCCTCAGGCAACAGTACCAGCACAAGGTACAAATCGTCAACGAAGGTAATGCTGACGAGCTCGTCCCGCTATCTCCCATTCCGCATTCTGTATAGACACTTTCTATTTCATTCTTCTCAAACTGAGTGATCAGGAGCGCTGCAAACATGGCTACTTTACAATTGTTACCTAATATTGTTTTGTTTGGCGCGTCCATGACCGAATGGAGTTTTAAAGAGAACACGCAGGGCTTTGGATGGTTCTTAGAGAAGAAGTATGCTGGAAAGGCGAGGGTTGTGAATGAAGGTATTACGACACGATACTGTTAGCACGTGTAGCAGCAAGAACAACATCGAATGCCCGGATCCGATGCTGACAGGTACGATAGGCAGAGCAGGGTACAAGTACCAATTGTTGTCGATGAACAACGCGCTCACCAATTACGCAGCTACACCTCAACCCGTCTGAAAGAAGACTTTGCCCGCATAATCAGCCATGCAACAGCCCCAGAGGCGGCACCGACCCTCCTCTTCACCATCTTCCTCGGTGCAAACGACGCCTGCTTCATTGGTGATAAGGAGTATGTTCCCTGGCCCACATTTTCAGCAAATATACGGGAGTTCCTCGACACCATCCTCACGGAGCAGGCTATGGAGAACACAAAGATCGTCCTGATCACTCCTCCACCCATCAACGGGTCCGTGGTAGAAACGGGAGAAAGCAGATCCGCCAGGGAAATACAGGAGATCAATCATTCGCGAAAAGAAGGGCCGAGGTACAAGACTTATATGAGTAAGAAGAGGTATGCGGATGGTCTCATGCGGATTGCGAAAGAGTATGAAGAGACGGGCAGAGTTGTTGGGCTTAACTACTGGCAGCACATGGTGGACGCAGTTGTTGCAGAAGAAGGGTGGCATCACGATGAGGATGTGCCGCCGGGATGCGGTCTACTGGGCGCAAAGTCATTCCCAGTAGGCTGGTTTACAGACGGGCTGCACCTTAATGTTAAAGGATACGGAGTGCTGAACAAGGAATTGTACGAGTTGGTGACGGCAAAATGGCCAGAGTTAGCAGCCGAGAAGCTGTAAAGTCTTTCTAAATCATGCATTTGTTTTGCTGGGTATCTGATCTGCCGCTCAAGCCACGCTCAACCTCTGTTCAACGTGTTACCTGAGCCCTTAGGGTTCGCCTCTACATACTCATCCCATGCTCGCTGCTTCATTGTCTCTTCGTCCGCGGCAACAAGATCATCCTCATTCGGTTCGGCCTGGATCTCAGACTGTGGGCCGCCACCCTCGATCATGCCACCCCGACGCTTCTCTTCCTCTAGATATTCGTCGATGGTCATAGTCGGTAGGCTGTGATCGGGACGGAAAACGTTCTTCTTCAGGGTTTGGCGGCTGTCCAGTAGAGTGAAAGGCCGCATGGGTTTGCCATCGCCGCTCAAGATGGGGCCAGAATATCTCAGGCCGCCATACTGACCATCGAGGCGTTCAGAATAGCCGTCTTTATCTCTGCCGTCTTGTCGGCCGTCTGGCGCTTGCTGTTCCTGTCCCTGTGGGGGCGCGGGTGGGGCTAGCGAGATGATGTGCAGTTCTTGAGCCATCGACTCCAACGATGCGAAAGTCTGATGCACCATGAACGCCAAGTTGGTCAAATGCAACTCTCGTACCACTTGCTCATCCTGCTCGGCAAGTTTGGGATTCTGTCGCAGATACTGTTGTTGCAGGCCTTAGCTCGAGATTCGACCCTTAAAAGCAATGTTAGTGTGGACACGTACCTCGAGTTTCCGCTTCAGTTCCTTCTCCTCCCTGAATCGGGAAATCTTCGCATCCCGTCTCGCCGCGGCATCCCGCGTGTTGGCGGTAGAGAAGTTGTTCTTATCTTCCGCGTAGACTTCGAAGAGCTTCGCATCTGCCTTGCCAAGCACATCATAGGAATCTAAGAGCTTGAGAAATCGCTCATAGTGTCCCCGTGCCCGCAGTAAATTCTGCTTCCGTAAGGCTACGTCGGTGTTGAAGATCTTCTGTACGAGTTCTGCCAGGTGGTAGTTTATCGCCATGTATCTAGAAAGGTAAGCGAGGGCCCATGTGCAGATATCTTGCTGTTGTATCATAACACGCACTGTAGATCAGACGACGATATGTCTTCCAGGGTCTCATTCGGACTGAAAAGCGACACCTGCTCGGATATTTTCAGGCATTCTTCGTACGTGGCGATTGTCGCGCTAAGGTTTTCCTGGTAGGTCGGACTGTTTGCTTCGTACGACGAGGAGAGCTCTTCGCGCGCTCTCTCCGCCTTCGAAAATAGACCTCGTAGACTCTGCGGCTCGTTCGTCATGGTAGTGGCGTTTGAGCAGAAAATTGTCGTAATGTTGAGGAAATGGCAGTGGGAACACACGTGAGAGCGTGAGCAAATGCTGATGAGTCAGCATTGCCCCTTCCCATTTCGCGTACCCCGCTATCGCCGCCAACACACCGCGTCTGTGAAAGCGGTAACATCACGGTGACAAACGCCTGGTATGCTGCAAAATGTTTCCGGCATGTTCAAACGGCTGCGGCTGCTTGATTGGGTCAGCACGAGCGGCCTCGGCTGAGCATGCGGCGTCGGGTACCTACACTGTTTGTTTGCTTGCTCGCTCACTCGGAACAAGACGCGTGACAGCTGCAGATATTAGCAGCACCATCGCGCTTTCCATCTATTCCCAATCATACTCAAGGTGGAGTCTTCTCTAGCCTCTCCAGACCTGCGACGGGCTTCAACTGTGCCTGCGGCATTGCGCCACGACAAACATGACTTGGATAGTGTACGAGAAACACGAACACTACCGCTCCTTCGACGAGTCGTCCTCCCCTTCCGATTCTGATATTGAAGACGACGCTATCAAAGATGCGAGCCAGCAAGGCTCAGATGAAGACCCAGATGCCGATGCTGACACCGCACGTACGCATGAACCGAAGACCACATCGGAGAGACGCAGAGCGCAGAATGACGTCCTGAAGGCCTTCGCCGCTAACGTCAGTTCCCACTTGACACAGAAGGAAGTCGATGATGCTGCTGCAAAGACTGCCGACGAAGAGCAGCTTTCTATCCGAGACATACTCGCAAAACAAGAGGGCACAGTCCGCATCACGAACCCTCGCGACTATCAGACCGAACTGTTTCAGAGAGCCAAGAGCGAGAACGTGATAGCAGTATTGGACACTGGCTCTGGCAAGACTCACATCGCAACCCTTCTTCTACAGCATGTCTTAAATGACGAGCTCGAACGCCGGGCCGCAGGCTACATCCACAAGATCGCCTTCTTTCTGGTCGACTCGGTCAACCTAGTCTTTCAACAAGCAAACGTCTTGCGTTGCGGCCTTGATCAGACGGTGGAAGGAATATGCGGCGCTATGGGGGCATCACTTTGGTCCAAAGCGACTTGGCAGAGTCACTACAAGGAGAACATGGTAATCGTATGTACAGCTGAGGTCCTTGTTCAGTGTATGATGCACTCCTTCATTACCATGGCTCAGGTCAATCTCCTCATCTTCGACGAGGCTCATCATGCCAAAAATAACCATCCTTACGCTCGCTTGATGAAGGACTACTACGTACACGGAGTGGACCCCTCCCTTCGACCTCGGATCTTTGGTATGACAGCCTCTCCGATCGATACGAAGGGACTGTCGGTCGATCATATCAGAGCAGTTGCCAATGATCTCGAGAAGCTACTTCATTCCAAGATTGTCACAACTTCGGAGAGCGCTCTCGCTTCGAACAGTATCAGTAGGCCTACCGAGGAGATAGCAGTATATGCGCGGCTACAAGACCAATGTGAGACGCCTCTCCACCAAGAGATAAAAGCAAAGTTTGGAGACCTACCGACGTTCAAGAAACTGTTCTTGGCATCTAAGCGCTACGGTTCAGAGCTCGGACGTTGGGCGTCTGACATGTATTGGTATTTTGCTTTCGCTGACGAGCAGAGCCGCAAGCTCGAAGATCGCGAGCACCTGAAGCATAACAAGGCTATGCAAGATGACGCCGCGCAGGAGTGGGACGCCAAGGCCAAGCGCTTCCAGGAGGCGGCCGCATTCGTGCAACAGTTCGATTTCGGGTTGTGTACCCTGAGCGACAAAGATTTGAGTTCCAAAGTTCTGAAACTTCACCACTGGCTTAATTTATACTACGAACGTAGCGATGAAGCACGTTGTATCGTCTTTGTTGAGCAGCGACAAACCGCTCGGTTGCTCCAACTCATCTTTTCCCAGATCGGTGGACCGAACCTCCGCTGCAACGTGCTCGTCGGTGTCAACAGTCGTGCCGGAGAGCACAACATCTCGCTACGAAACCAGATCCTCACAGTCGCTAAGTTTCGTCGCGGCGAACTCAATTGTCTGTTTGCTACATCTGTGGCGGAAGAAGGCCTTGATATCCCTCAATGCAATCTTGTTGTACGGTTCGACCTCTACCGCACCATGATAGCGTACGTACAGTCTCGGGGCCGAGCACGGCATAGGAACTCAAAGTATCTTCATATGATTGAACATGGCAACAACGACCACCGCAGCCGGGTTTTCGACGTCAAATTCGAGGAAGACATCATGAGGAAGTTCTGCAAAGCTCTTCCTCAAGACCGTCAGATCGGCGGAGGCGAGATTGACATGTTAGCGTTCGAAGACAAGATGTATCCAAGTTTCATTACAAATTCTGGTGCAAAGCTCACATATCGCTCGAGCTTACCCATCCTCAATCACTTCGTAGCGACGCTACCCGGCCCTGACAGACAGACTATGCTCCAGCCAACCTATGTTATCAATCCAGAGGTCAACTATGATCCTCAGGATCCTCAGCGGCGAGGCTTCGTTTGCGAGGTAATGTTACCGGAACACGCACCGGTGGTCTCGGTAACTGGCGACGTTCAGAGCAAGAAAACAACCGCAAAATGCTCTGCCGCTTACAAGGCATGCCTTATACTTCACAACAAAGGCTATATGAATGACAACCTCCTCCCAACGACATACAAAAGCTTGCCAGCCGGGAGAAATGCACTGCTAGCGCTTAGCGAAAAGAAGAAGGGTATGTACTCTATGTTGATCAAGCCAGATTTCTGGAAGGTGGACCGTGGAGTCATTCCTACGTATCTGTATTTGACCATCATCGACCTTGACGCTGGCTTAGATCGACCTCATCAGCCTATGGGTCTCCTCACTCGCATTACATTCCCGCAGATGCCGCAGTTTCCCATCTACCTCACGGATGGAAGGCCCTCAAATGTTGTATCCAAATCCGCCTCGACTCCGCTACCTGTATCGCCCGAGATGATAGAAGCCCTCACGAGCTTCACTCTACGCATATACGAGGATATCTACAACAAAGAGTACGAGGAAGATGTCCAGAAGATATCTTATTGGGTTGTTCCAGTACTTACGAGCCAGTTATCTTCTGTTTCGTCTGTTACCTCCCTCGATCAAATCCTGGACGTGGAGCAAATCCGCAAAGTCTGCAAAGAGCCCACTTGGAAGTGGACACCCAAGACCAAATCTGAGGATTTGCTAGATCGTTACTTCATAGATCCAATGAATGGAGGTCGACGCTACTACTCCAACGGCCTCGCCACCCATCTCAAGCCACAAGATCCGCCTCCCAGAGGGCTACCTCGCAGTGGACAAAAGTTCATGGCCACTATTCTGGACTATAGCGACAGTAGGTGGGCGAAGAGTAGAAATATCTCAAAGTGGCACGCTTCGCAGCCCGTTCTTGAGGTGGAAAAGATTCCTTTCCGCCGGAACCACCTTGCATGCGTCGAGGATAAAGAGAAGGGTGATCTCGATGATCTGAAGACTTACATCTGCCCAGAGCCTCTGCACGTCTCCAATGTAAGAATACAGTCGGCTTGTGTGTATGAAGACATTGCTAACAGCACAGCTTGCGATACGGTTTGTGGTCATGTGCTACGTATTACCGGCTATCATTCATCGCTTTGAGAGTTATCTCATTGCTCTGGACGCCTGCAAAGTCCTTGGTCTCAATGTTAGCCCTGCGCTTGCTTTGGAAGCTCTTACTAAAGACTCCGACAACTCCGAGGAGCACGGCGAAGAGAAGATCAACTTCAAGAGCGGAATGGGTCCGAACTATGAACGGTAGGTATTGGAATTATTCACGATTTCACCTGCTGATACGGTATAGTCTTGAATTCCTAGGGGATTGCTTCCTGAAGATGGCTACCTCACTCTCGGTCTATGTCCAGCAGCCAGACGAGAGCGAGTTCGAGTTCCACGTCCGCCGCATGGAAATGCTCTGCAACAAGAACCTGATGGAGACTGCAGTGGGAAAGAAGCCGGTGGTCTCCGCAGATGGAACTGAACGCGATATTCAGCTGTACAGTTACATTCGTACGGAAACCTTCTCAAGGTATGTACAGTGTATTCACTCATTAGTGTAAACTACACGATCTAATCTGCGTAGGCGCACATGGTACCCTGAAGGGCTGAAGCTCATTAGGGGTAAGGGTTTGAAGAAGACTGATGACGATTGGCTGAAGCTCACGCATAATCTTGGCGACAAAAGCATCGCGGACGTCTGTGAAGCCTTCATCGGTGCTGCTTTCCAGCAACACTACCAAGGCGGGCGATGGAACCCCGAAGACTGGGACGAAACTGTCAAAGCTGTCAAGCTTTTCGCCAACAGTCAAGATCATATGATGTCGAGGTGGTCGGACTACTACGACGCCTATCAAAAGCCCAAGTACCAAGTTGCCGATGCCACCGTAGCGATGGTCAATACCGCTTGCAAGATTGAGTTGGTGCACCCATATCACTTCAAGTACCCACGTCTCCTTCGATCGGCCTTCGCCCACCCCTCGTACCCGTACATGTATGAGAATATACCCAACTATCAGCGACTCGAGTTCCTGGGTAAGTATCCATGAACGCAACCTTCATCTTAGCACATGCTGACCTGATGTCCTCATTCCTACAGGCGATTCCCTTCTCGACATGGCGTTCATCATGCACCTCTACTACAAGTACCCAGATAAGGACCCTCAGTGGCTCACGGAACACAAGACACCCATGGTGTCCAACAAATTTCTAGGTGCTGTATGCGTAAAGCTCGGCTGGCATGTCCACATCAAGCAGAACACCGCTATTCTGAGCTCCCAAATCCGCGACTACGTCTTAGAAGCCGAAGAAGCGGAGAGGGAGGCGGATGGCGCCGTCGATTATTGGGTCACCATCAGCGAACCACCAAAGTGCTTGGCCGACGTGATCGAAGCATATACAGCCGCCATTTTTGTCGACGCAGAGTTTGACTTCAGCGTCGTCCAGGATTTCTTCGACAGGCATCTCAAGCCCTTCTTTGAGAATATGACTCTCGACTCGTACGAGAACTTTGCCTCCAACCATCCTACCACACGTCTCAGTCGTCTCCTCGGAATCACTTTCGGCTGCAGCGAATGGCGCATGGGTGCCATGGAGACGGAAACGCTCATCCCCGGCAAAGGCAAGGCTGTGGTCGCTATGGTCATGATTCATGGAAAGGTGTGGTTTCATTCCCTGGGCCAGAGCGGCAGGTATGCACGTGTGAGGGCCAGTCATGGAGCGTTGGAGAAACTAGATGGTCTTCCGCCTTACGAGTTCAGGAAGAATTATAAGTGTGATTGCGTGCACGAGGAAGAGGGCGAGGGCGAACAGGATGAGGTGGTGCTCAAGGCAAAGGAAGAGCTGATGAAGGAGGCTATGGGCTTGAGTATCTAGGCCTGACTGGGGGGGTGTTTCCTTTTGACATGAGGCGAGAAGGCATGCGCAGCATACCAGGTCAGCATCATGATGCGATGCAGGCTATGCAGTATAATGTATGGCCACGGCACTCAGACTACAAAAAAGTACCAATGACGAATGAAAACATGAAACCAACAGTCCTGACAATCAGCGTTGCCGCCACGAGGGCTAATCGAGCGACCCAGGTCAGGTCTATGCAACTCGGTTTACCAGGCATCGAAGTGACCCATACATAATGTGGACTTTTCTAGCTGCGAATTGTGCAGCAAGACGAAGTGAACTCACACAATCGAACAGATCATGTCAAGGCGAAGGTGTGAATGACTACTCTCGTGTGCGAGGAAGTAATATTGCGTGTAGACGCCGGAAGCCGTTGCGTGCCAAAACGGAAAGGGTATACACATCCCAACTATGTACAAAAATAACAACGCCATTAGTCCCTCTTCTGATTTGACTTCATTAGATCATGTTCATGCCCAGTTCGTCCCTCCTCGTCCTGCAGAATGTCGCAATGAATATGCATAGTAGGCTGAACCAAAAGCTGGGCTGCTCTGTAAAATCCGGACAAAAATTACTACAAGGTGAGCGCATATACGAACACGCCCATCATGGCTAACCCGAAGTTGAATGAGATGTGCGAAGCTGCCCCTTCGGTCTCCGAAGGCTGAGCCGCATCGCCAGTCTGACTGGGGTTGTCGCCATTGCTCGAGCCAGTGCCACTAGGGCTCGTGTTTTCGCCGCCGGGAGTGTTAGACCCATCGTTGGACACAACATTGAGCGACAAGTCGTTGATTTGCTGGCCGTTGCTACCAGTGACCTTCTGTTTGACGTTGGTGTCACCAATATCCACCAGCTTGCCGTTTGTTGGGTTCTCGATACCGTTGTCGATGAGATCCTGGCATCCAGGGCAGACAGCCGGAATCGTGAAGTTTTTACTAAACTGTTCCGCGGTTATGAGGCTGCCGTCGCATTCGGGGGCTTTGAGCTCGGTAGACTGAGGGTTGGTCGCCTCAAGAGCGCTAAGGTCGAGCTTGTTGAATTGGCTCTGGAGGTTGTCGTAGTCCTTCATGAGTGTAACGGAGCCGTCTTGGTCAATTTCTACTAGACCGTAGTCTGCTTCCTCATGGGAGTACTCGTAGACAAGACCACCAGAAAGTGCCCTCATCTGGTCGCCGTAAAGGGCCTGAACTTCGTCGAAGTCACGAGGCATGACACGGTTGCAGCCATACTCGCTGAAAAAGACAGGGACAGCAGAGTCGGCGAACATAGTGGCCAGGCCATCGTATGTGGAAGTCTGATAGTTGTCGCCATTACACCAGCTGTAGGAGTTGAGTCCGAAGAAGTCGGATGATGATTCATCTTGGTCGTGGACACACTGCATGTAGGCCCAGGTGTCTTGCAGGATCTCACGGACATCTGCGGCAGAATAGCCGACCGGGATGGTGCGGTCGGCATGGTTCTTAATGTAGTTCTTCATGTCCCGCTGAACAGCCTGCGAATTTGTTAGCTTATATCATCGTGAGAAACTGCCCAGGATAATTGAACATACCCGGATGTACTGGGGGTTGAACTCAGCAGTGCTCAGATCATTCATGACCTCGTTCGCAGAGAAGAAAGCCATGGTGTTGGGGAAACCTTTGAAGTTCTCAATGATACCGAACGCGCGAGTAAGGTAGTCGCTGTTGTAAGATGTCCATGGTTCCGCTCGGTTGATGCTCTCTCCGGGCAAGGGCGAGTTGACATCAAGGATCATGTAGATGCCGGCCGCGTTGAAGATGGAGGCACACTTGGAATGGTCGAGCGTAGGATCGAGATTGTAGACACGAATCGTATTCACACCCAGCTTCTGCATGAGGGTTGCATCTCGCAGACATTTGTCGCCATCTGTGAGAGGATCTTCGCTGTTTGTGGGATTGTACGCTCCCTGACCTCCGGGTTGGTAGTCGACACCAATAATCATCACCCGCTTGTTCGTGGCGGTGTTGATGAAGTCCTGGCCACGGATTTCAACTGGCTGGACGGCATAGGCGATGGATGAGAAGAGCGCGGGGAGCAGCGCGACTGCGCGAGTGAACTAAGAGAAACGTTAGCGTGGCTCAGAATGCAGGGAACATGGATTGCATGCTGTAGACATGGAACGTACAGAAGGCATGGCAGCGAAGGACTATTTCACAACAACGACGGTAGAGCGAAAGACGTAGAAATCCTTGGGCGATTGCAGCGACTACTGTCTCGCCTTATAATCCTTCAGATTGCCGCTTGGGTTGGTATCGCAATGTTATGCACCAAGACTAGTTGCAGTGGATCTTGGCCGCGGAGGAGCAGCTAAGACGGAATCGCTTGCCGGCTACTGTGCTGTGATTCGAGCGAGAAAAACGAACGGCGTGCATATGTAGCCCGCTGGGAATGATAAAAACCAAAAGTGACCAAGGTCGCTGGGGAAAGAGGATGAGAGGGACAATGAGACAGCGAACACAAGACATGTGTCTGTTTCCTCGCCAGCCGCAAGCAGGCAGTGGCTCCCCAAGCCAGCGCTTTGGGAAGGCGTGCTTACAGCTTCATCCCATCTCGGCAAGGATGACTTCCACGATAGCAGGAGCGGGATGACCTCTGGACCCACGCCGCTGCCATTGCCAATGCGACCCGCCCGGAAAGCTCTGAAAGTGTCAACTCTAGCGTACTCCGGGTGGGCCGTGAACTCGTCCTGGCTTTACCGATACACTTGTTCTTTGCCGTTCCAAGCTTGTTCCCAAAGTAACAGGAATGTGTCCAATTTGTGAGCCGTGTTGGACGCTGGAGGTGTAGGATCGTGACGCCATTGTCGAAACAAGTGGCAGGGATTTGCTGCACTCCAGCCACTTCGTGCGTTTGCGCGCCAATCATCGCGATCGAAGCTCCGACATGCACCTTGGCAATGTTTACTGCACATGCGGGAGACATGGCGCGCCTGACACTTGAGGACATGTCTATCCTGTCAGATCATCGCTAAGCTAGATTATCTGTGGTTGAGGTCAATGTATCATCGCGTCCGTCTTCACTGATAGCGTCAAGTCGATTATGGAAACAGACGGACAAAATCGTATTCTATACATGTCGGCTAAGGTAGTTTCTGCACTTGGGCTCAACGTCTACTCCAGGTGGATACAAGTGGGTCCCCTTAGCCGCGAAGTTTAGGCTTCGAGGTCCACACGCATGAGCTTGTCCTGCTCGGGCGGTTTTGAACGCCGAAGCTATGCATTTTGAGAACGCCATACCAACGAGGCCACAATCTGTAGATCGTTCCGAAGCTTACCCACCAGGTGAGGGTCGACGTTATCGGCAACGACCTTGCGTCGGCGGTTGAGGCGCCAGTCGCCTGGCGTTTGGCTATCTTGCGTGTTCAAAGCTGCGAACTGGAGACAGTGTAACAAGCTTTCTGGTGCTCCGCCTCATCCTGTCATGTCCACATCTTGTGCCTTCCTTTTCATACCGCTTTCGCTCGCCTCGATCTGACCCCGGAACTTGGCTTGCAGCGCTTCGAGCAGAACTTCTTTGACCACTGCGAGACTGCCAACGGCGGCATGCGTGGCTCCCTCGATCAAAGCATCTGGATCTGAGCCGACGTCCCCCTTCATCCATATCTCTGTGATCTCGTCTCTTGAAGCCAGGTATCCGACTACACAGGCAGCAACAACCTCCTTGTGTTCCGCTGGACAGGGATCGAGTATTCTAGCCGGCTCTTGCTCTCGTTTTGACTCGGGGTTTCGCGTGATCGCGGCGACACCTCCACACACCACATCGACGCAGTCTATCCCGGCGTCCGTTATGGCAGCGCTGGCGACCGTGATGCATCCTGCTAGCACGTTCAATAGACCCCATCCACTCCCAGCAGCGCTGCCCCCGCTAGCAGAATCTCCCCACCAGCCATCTTCATCTCCTTCCAGTATGGTGACTACAACTTCAACCCCGCTCTTGGGCCATCTCTCTCCGATGATGACACCTCGTAGCGCAGTCTCTAGATGAACTCCCAGGTCGCGCTCTGCCGAATCACGTATGTAGCCTCGCCGTTGTCGTGTTGCGAACGGCGCAAACTTAACCGTGGTTGTAAGGAGGAGCGAAGGACTGAAGGGCGCGCTACGGGGAAGAGGCTTGGGGCCCTGTATAGAAGCCGTGATCTTGAGAGATGAAGTCGGCGGGATGAGGGTCGACTTGGTCGCGGGGGAGGAGGAGGGTATTTCGAGGTACGCAGAACCCGACGCTGAGGGTATGATGGATGTTTGGAGGACTGCTGATGTATTAGAAGCAGAACATGTATGGATACGCATTGCAGACGACATGCAGCTCGCTGACAGCTGTTGAAACCGACATCGCTCCAATCGAGCTCTAAATCCATGCGTAGGGAGACAAACGGGGTCTTTCGGGCACTTACAGATCCTGCGAAGCTCATTCGCGCCTCTTGACCTTGTCGGCCTCAGCTTTTCCAGGTACTGCGGCTCTCTTATAGTGCGCGCGAATACTGGCGCACTCGTACCACCACTGGGCGCATTGTTTCTTCTCCTGTCTGTGTTCATCTTGTCTGTGATTGTGTTGTGCTGGTGCGTTGCGTACATACGGATGATTTCATGGTGTTCAGAAAAGTGGATGACTAAGCGCAGATCTGCCAAGATTTCGGGACCCTCAAGTTCAATTTTCTTGCGCGTCCGGTTCAACTTTCTTTCCTTACCTCACATCCGCGCTCAAGGTACGTTCACCTCCTTTCCCTTCATTCTCCTCCCTTTTATGATTGATACCTTGAAATAGTTCTTGCGATCTTAGATGAGCTTTGAACATGCACCACCCTCTGATTTCAACTTTCGAGCTTCCGCTTTCGCATCAGACTTTGTGACTCTAGCTAACTCAGCTCAGATGCAGTCCAGTATTAAGCCAGACCGCGCGATGATGCGACTCGCAGGCATCTAGCTATGATCTCATGGCTGCGACACAAGTCTGTCTTCTTGGGCATCCAACTCATGCGCCACCATATATCCTGCTAACCTACAGCACTCCTCAGCATATACTGATTAGTGGTAAGTCTTCACTCTTTCTTCTCTCTTCGCTTTATATGATGATCGTATTATTTCAGTTCTGCTACTGAATCTCTTTGAAGAAAATTTATACCGCTTACCTTTGTCTGATATCACTTTACACTTCCAGCTCATCACTTCGCAATTTGAAGGATCTCGCTGACATTGTAACCAGACACACATTCTAGATCTTACCACAACAAGCCTACTGTCCATGGTAAGCACCCCGTCCCTCTCCCGTTCCGTTCAAGGAGGAAAACTAGTCTATCCATTCAACGACATCTGTCGCCGGGTCACCCTCCCGCACCCTACCAGTCTCGGCTGGGATGACGGGTTGTGGAGTTGCACTGTTGGTTCGTCCAACGCCGCGTTATTGTGGTCTTTGAGCCAAAAGTCGCGGCAATCCGTCTTGGGCTGCCGCGACCCGAGGCCAGGCGATGGGGGATGATTTAAAACGGCTTTCTGAGTACACAACACACGTCGATACTATTACGAGATCGCTGTTCGAGCATCGCTAACGACGCTCAGATTGTTGAGAGGAAGCATAGAATGATATACTGGGAGTCATGGTATTGGCTATAGTAGATACTCGTACATCGAATGCATTCATTTAACGCATAACTGTTTTGCATTGCTGTATCCCGTGATATTCACTCTCGATTCCTTGCAATGGGACAATTCGCGGTTGCAGCAACGCAACGTGCTGTTTCCCCCTCATTCCTGCGTGACCCCTGTGCAATATACGACGCAATGTCAAGAATACGAAAGTCTAGCTCATCCTCGTTCGTGTACCGTTACCATTCGCTGCTTGGACGGGGATAGCCACTCCTGCACATCATTGCTCTACAAGTCTGAAACGGCCATGCTAGGTGGCTTGGCTTAGCCTCCCACCTCGGGGATCTGGCAAAGTGGCAGCACTCGAACGACCACCACCGTGCATCTCGTCAGCGCTGCGCGTCGAGTCGATTGATTCGGCAACATCCGCTGCGACGCGACCGAGCTATCAGCAACCTGTCCGGACGTCACCGTGGCCTTAGCGAACAAATCCTTGGCCCTACGACGGAGGTTATCAAAGACGCGCAACACCCCAAACGCACGCGGACACCAATCTGAAGACGGACATCGAAGCGTCCAACCTCGCGACTACACTGAGGAGCGGCAATTCCCCTGGTGGAGATCAACAAGGAGTGCAAAGTGGTGCTCCGATCAGCAACTTGGTGATCTGGCGGGTCTTCGGTGACCGGGGTTCTCCAAGGGAGCATTCGACATTTGGCGCCCATCTCTCTGGATGTTGCCATTACATTCCTCGTCAAAAGGGAAGATGCACCGCCATGCCTTTTCCAACGGGGCATATCCCTCACAAGGAGGGGGCACCTTTTCAATCCAACCTCACAAGTACGTCGAGCCCGCGCAGCCAGCATCCTGCGCCTCCTTTACCCTCACAACCTAAATGAACATGGTTCTAACACTCGGTGCACCTTCAGATTCCAGCCACGGTCACAGCCCGCGCTCCGGCGGCGGAGAACACTGATCCAGCGCTTGCTGATCGTAGGCTCGCTGTTCTTTACCGCCCTATTCTTCTTCTTCCCCGACTTGCGACCGAACCTGGGCTCCGGGCCTCTCAGCTTACTCACTACGAGCGATGACGCGCAACTCGAAACGGTACGATACTACGACCTAAACAATGTCCAAGGCACGGCAAGGGGATGGGAGCGGGAAGAACGCATCCTGCTATGCGCTCCGTTGCGAGACGCGGCTCCGCATTTGCCCATGTTCTTTGGCCATCTAAAGAACCTCACCTACCCGCACAACCTTATTGACTTGGCGTTCCTCGTTGGAGATTCCAAGGACAACACCATTTCTCTCTTGACAGAGAAGTTGGAGGAGCTACAGGCCAATCCCGATCCCAAGCAGCAATTTGGCGAGATCTCCATCATGGAGAAGGATTTCGGACAAAAGGTCAACCAAGATGTTGAGAGTCGTCACGGTTTTGCGGCACAGGCTGGCCGCCGAAAGTCAATGGCGCAGGCGCGAAACTGGCTGCTGAGCGCTGCTTTGCGACCAACGCACAGCTGGGTCTATTGGAGAGACGTCGATGTGGAGACTGCTCCCTTTACAATCTTGGAAGATCTGATGCGACACAACAAGGATGTCATTGTACCGAGTATGTACGGCCACACATGGTACAAGTTTGCACTGCTAACATCTTACTTAGACGTCTGGCGACCGCTTCCGGACTGGCTCGGCGGAGAGCAGCCATACGATCTGAACTCCTGGCAAGAATCCGAGACGGCTCTTGCTCTTGCCGACACTCTCGACGAGGATGCAGTCATTGTTGAGGGATACGCAGAGTACGCTACCTGGCGCCCGCATTTGGCCTACCTTCGCGATCCCTACGGCGACCCAGACATGGAAATGGAAATTGACGGTGTTGGTGGTGTCAGTATTCTTGCGAAAGCCAAGGTCTTCCGTTCCGGTGTCCACTTCCCTGCGTTCAGTTTCGAGAAGCACGCTGAGACGGAGGGATTCGGCAAGGTGAGCTATGTCATTACACCTCGCACAACAGAGCTAACACATGGCAGATGGCAAAGCGCATGAAATTCTCCGTCGTCGGCCTTCCCCACTACACTATTTGGCATCTTTACGAACCCAGTGTCGACGACATTCGTCACATGGAAGAGATGGAGAAGGAACGCAAGGCAAAGGAGGCCGAGGAAGAGGCCAAGAAGGCAAAGGAGAACAAGATTAAGGAGAACTTTGACGAGAAGAAGAGCGACTGGGAGAAAGAGAAGGCGGCGGTTCAAGACATGGTTCAGCAAGCAAAGAACGAGGAGAAGGCCGCAGCCGAAAAGGCCAGGCAACAAGAAGCAGCAGCGAAACAGGAGTCGAATCAGGCAGACACCAGAGAGGAGAAGCCAGTCGAAAAGAAGGAGGGCGATCAATCGTAGTCGTTACAGCACCCACATAATCCCAAGGGTACGGGACCTCGGTCTGCATCCATGTTCGCAATATTGGACCACGGTGGGTCGAACCACCACAGCAACGACACAACGATTGAGGCAGATTGGGCACAGATCTGACCTTTGTTTCTTTCGATCTACTGCATGCTTTCATTATAGCCTACAGATTCCCAAGGCAGCAATACTTGGCGGACTCGGCTTCGGATGGTGGCATTTCTGCTTGGAGGGTGTTTGAAGACGATGCGGAGGAATGTACACATTAGACAGCAGCTCTTGCATCATAGGCGTTGTAGGTTCAGCAGTAGATGAGCACTACGTTTGTTTGTAACAATATCAAAGAACGTTATGAAATCCAAGCGGGAAAGATTAGCACAACTTTGCATGCTTCTGTGTTTCGTCATGGCCGGCGTCTGACGCTGGCCGGACCCCTGGCCTCAGCACCTCCGAAACTCCGCTAGAGCTAAGCCGCCAAATGTTCGGACGGTGCAACTCGACGCCTGGAATCGATTGCGTGCGACTTGAGGACAGATTGTCGAGGGTAAAGATCATTCCACACCCCAAACACCTCAATATTCGGTTTATTACCAGGCAGCAGCAATCGGGAGGATGCGTGTCATCTTTCAAGTCGACTGAAGTAGACCTATAGCTGTCCATGTGCCCTCCACCATAAAGACACGACGCCGCGCACCACACTCCTGTCGCATACACACGTATACCGCACACCTTTCAGCGCCATGTCGAGCACCGACGGCGACGATCATGTCGCGTCGACACTCCAAGAAACAATCGTCGACCTGGATCCCCGACCTATTACTGTCGCAGTCAACCCAGTAGCTCTGGTGGTGACAGAATGCATTACCGTCACGTCGGCGATGCGAAAGCATGCCCGCTGGGCACACTCGTCAGTCGCGGCTATCCTAGGGAGCTCTTCCAACAAGACACCAGCTGTGCAACGACGCGACCGCACGGGACAGGGCATCATAAGCGCGGGCGAGCAAGAGGAGGCCGTACCGAGCAGATGGGGCCTGCGGGGGAAGAAGGGCAAGAGCATGCAGGACAACCCCCTCATGTCTGCCTTTGCGCGCCTGAGGAACGACCTGAAGGGTTGCAAAGGTGAATGCTACAGTCGGGACGATACATGGGCAATGCTAATGCTACACCAGACATCCGGACCTTCGATACCCCCTCCATGCTCCACCCCTTCCTACAAGTCATCCGCTCCTCCTCCACCTCCGCGCCCATAACCTCGCTCGCCCTCATCGCTATAACCAAATTCCTGTCGTATGGCATCATTGGCCATGACTCTCCACGTCTACCAGAAGCTATGCAGCAGCTCTCCTCCGCCATCACACACTGCCGATTCGAAGCCAGCGACTCGGCTGCTGACGAGATCGTTCTCCTTCGTATCCTCAGGCTTATGGAAGTCATGATCTCAGGCCGGGGAGGAGAGGTACTGGGCGACGAGAGCGTATGCGAGATGATGGAGACAGGCTTGAGCATGTGCTGCCAGGCGAGACTGTCAGAATTGCTTCGACGCTCGGCAGAGATTGCCATGGTGTCCATGTGTCAGGTCATATTCCGCAGACTGAAGACGCTCGAGATTGAATCGCCGGATGAGCTGGACGCCATGGACGAAGAGCTGGAAGGAAAAGACGAGCAAGATGGTTTGAGAATGGACCCAACTGCAAATGGCGAGGGAGACTCTGCACAGCACAAGGTCGAAGCGCTTCAGCAACCAGTCGATCCTGAGAAGGGACAGGAAGACAACGACAGCACCGCGAACCCTGCGAGCAGTACCCTCGATCTACCGGCGACCGCCGCGGATGGACAGCCACAAACCCCTCTCGAGATCAAGCCTTACTCCTTGCCGTCCATAAGAGAGCTGTTCAGAGTATTGGTTGATCTGCTGGACCCCCACGACCGCCAACACACCGACACCATGCGCGTCATGGCCTTGCGCATCGTCGACGTTGCGCTCGAAGTTGCTGGGCCATCGATAGCAAGCCATCCCAGTCTGGCGAATCTGGCCAAGGACACTTTGTGCAGGCACATCTTCCAGCTCGTCAGATCAGACAATATGGCCATATTGAACGAGTCATTGCGTGTTGCTGGTACGTTGCTGGCGACATGCCGAAATGTGCTCAAGCTGCAACAAGAGCTTTACCTCTCATACTTGGTCGCATGCCTCTTTCCACGAGTTGAAATACCCATTGAGCCGGGCATCGAACCTTCATTATACGAAGGAGTTCCAAGTGCGCCTAGTCTGATCAAGCAGCCGCCGCAACAAAAGAGCAACTCAAGCGGTCGTTCAACTCCAGTGCCTGTCAAGGATCGGCAAAAGCTGGGCCTGGAGGGAGGTGCCCGAAAGCCGGATGCTCGAGAAGCCATGGTGGAGAACTTGGGTGGCTTGGTCCGGATACCTTCCTACATGGCAGAGCTTTTCGTCAACTACGACTGTGAGATTGATCGTGGAGATGTCTGCATGGATATTGTAGGACTTCTCTCCAGAAACGCTTTCCCAGACTCTGCGACATGGAGTACTGTCAATGTACCTCCACTGTGTTTGGACGCACTGCTTGGCTTTGTGCAATCCATGGCAGATCGCCTCGACGATGAGCCTGTAACAGAAGGCTATCCAAGTGTTGAGTCACTCCGTGAGCAGCGAGCGCGCAAGGCGATCATCATCCGCGGTGCAACTAAATTCAACGAGAAACCCAAGGCTGGTATCGCCTACCTTGCACAACAGGGAATCATCCGAGACCCAGACGATCCTAAATGCATCGCTGAGTTTGTCAAAGGTACTACAAGAGTCGATAAGAAAGTATTGGGCGAATTCATCTCCAAGAGAGGAAATGAGGCGATCTTGAGCGAGTTCATCAACTTGTTCGACTTCAAAGGACAGCGGATAGATGAAGCGCTTCGACAGCTCCTGCACGCCTTCCGTCTACCTGGTGAATCGGCCCTGATCGAGCGAATTCTGACAGAATTCTCTGAGACGTACTTCAACATGGTCAAGCCTGAGGGGATTGCCAACGGCGATGCCATCTATATCCTCACATACGCTGTCATTATGCTGAACACCGATCAACACAACCCCAACTTGAAGACGAAGCGAATGCAGCTGGAAGATTTCACCAAGAACGTTCGAGGTGTTAACAATGGCAAGGACTTTGAACCTGAGTTCTTGCAAGGAATCTACGAGTCCATCAAGAATCGCGAGATCATATTACCCGAGGAGCACAGCGATCGAAACGCATACGACCACGCTTGGAAAGAGCTCCTGGTCAAGTGTCAGTCGACGTCCGATATTGTCATCTGCGACACCAACATCTTCGATGCGGATATGTTCGCTGCGACGTGGAAGCCAATCATAGCGACCCTATCCTACGTGTTCATGTCTGCTACTGACGATGCAGTCTTCTCACGCGTTGTGCAGGGCTTTGACCAATGCGCCCAAATTGCTGCTAAGTACGGCCTGACTGATGCTCTTGACCGTATCATCTCTTGTTTGTCGTACATCAGCACATTAGCGCCTGATGTGCCACCAAGCACTTCGCTCAACACGGAGGTTCAAGCCGACAAGAAGAGCGTCATGGTCAGCGAGACTGCTGTGCGCTTCGGTCGTGACGGCAGGGCGCAGCTAGCGACCGTAGTCTTGTTCCAGGTCATCAAGGGTAACGAAGCATCGATAAGGGATGGCTGGCAACATGTAAGATTGTCGATTTTGTTGTTCTTCTGCACGTTGCTAACAACACTAGCTCATTCGCATCATGGTGAATTTGTTCGTCAACTCGCTGATACCACCCTACTTTCTTTCTTTCCAGAAGACGCTCGCTCTAGCACCCATACCACTCCAGAATCCAGCACAAATCATCGACCGTGCAGAGCGTCCAGCAGATACTGGCATCTTCTCAGCCCTGACATCATATGTGTCGAGCTTTGCCAATGACGAGCCTCCGGAGCCATCCGACCAAGAGATTGAGTACACACTTTGTACTGTGGATACTGTCAAGGAATGTCACTTCGAAGATATCCTTGCGAACATTAGCCAGCTACCAGTGGAGTCTCTGCGATCGCTTCTATCATCTTTGCTTGAGCATCTACCTGAAGATGGTTCACCTAGAGTCATCGTTGTGAAGCCTGAGATACCTGGCGCAAGTCCGCGAACGACCGGCCCTAGACAGAAGGGCAAAGGTCCGCTGTACGACCCAAGTCTTGTTTTCGTCCTTGAGCTGGCGACTGTCCTAGCACTGAGGGATGAAGAGACGGTCAAGGAGCTTGCAAAGGATGTAACGGATGCTTTGGCGTCTGTCATCCGAGACGCTCCTAAGCATCACTATGTGGTCATTGCACGATCGGTATACTATCTTCTGAGCCTACTCAAAGCCAGCAACGTAAGTTTTAATGCACTTCCGGGATAATCCAACACTAATTGACATAGGACTACGACTTTATCCGTGCGCCAGTCCTTATGCACACGTTCTCCAGCTTCAGTGATGCTCTGCTGCACGAGTGCGCACAACCGATCCTCAAGGGACTGACAGACTGCTGTAAGGGTTCAAACGCTCTTCGCAGCGAACTTGCAGGATCACCAGATTTCTGGACCATTCTCAGCAGGCTTTCAGGAGTGCCAGATGCTGCGGGGGATGTGTTCCAACTCGTCGAAGACCTTACTACTTCGCCTCAACCCGGCATCACTGCTGATAACTACGAAGCTGCGATTGCGCTTCTCAATGAGTTCGCAACTGCAGCTCAAGTGGGAGCTCGGGAAGAGCAATTGCATGACCAGGCTGCACGACGTAACAAGGGCCAGAAGCCTAAGAAGCTTGAGAGCAACGAAGTTGTCGTACGCGGTAGCACTGCTATGAGCATTGTCTTCCAACTTTCCAGCAGGGTACCAAACTTCATCGAGCAGTCTCACCTCGAGACTACTGAAGGTAGGACGATTTACCACCTCACTAAGCATCCAGGTGCTAACACAATCTCAGCATGGACTGCGTACTGGTCTCCTATCCTCAAGACCCTCGCACATCAATGTCTCAACCCCTGCCGCTCCCTGCGCCAGCAAGCTTTTTCCTCACTCCAACGAACTCTTCTTTCCAACGACCTCGCCTCCCCCGAGCATCGAGAATGGACCGCAATCTTCAGCGAAGTCCTCATACCCCTCATCACCCAGCTTCTCAAACCAGAGGTCTATCAATCTGATCCTCTGGGCATGAGCGAAACCCGAGTCAGGGCCGCCACATTGCTGAGTAAGGTCTTCCTCCACTATCTAGTGCTGCTTGACGGCTTGTCAGGCGAAGAGAACGAGGACGGAGAAAAGAGTCTATCTTTTGAAGACTTGTGGATCACAATAGTCGGCCTCATGGATCGCTTGGGCAACAGTGGGCAAGGCGATATGGAAGAAGCCGTTGCCGAGAACCTCAAAAACATGCTTTTGGTACTCAGCAATGGCGGATATCTTGCACCGCCTGATGAAAACCCCAAACGAGAGGAACTCTGGCACGAAACCTGGAAGCGCATCAATCGCTTCCAACCCAACCTCTTTGCGGAGCTGTTCCCGGAAGAAGCTGGAAAGCCTGCGAGACCGCGACCGAGTAAGGACGAGCGAGCGGCGAAGAGTGAGCCGGTGATTGATGGCAGGGAGATGGATGTCGCCGAGAGGAAGAAGGGAGGTAGTAGTAGTGGAGAGACTGCGGACGGTAGTGAGGAGGGTGAAGAGGAGAGGGAGAAGGTCGCTGAGAAGGAAGGCTAGGATCTTCTTTATCATGATGGCATCAGATAGGAGGGGATTATGATACGCAAGGTCAGCATTGTTATCGCATTGCAGGATAGATGGAGTGAGAGAGGTAATGAAGAGAATTACATGACATGACACAGCATGATGTCCAATGTGCTGCTTCATGATCTCTTTCGTACTAACAAACTGTCATGTCCTCCTCGTTGAGACAATGCAAATGACTGATCGTCAGTAGAACATGGCACAAGACTTCATACACATTTGCTCACTGCACTAAGAGTCAAATAAACCGCATCATGAGCAAAAGGCCCATTACCTGGCTTGGATGTACACATTCGAATACTTCATCTATCTCTCGAAAAATCTACATTGAAAACTCCCTCCTCCCGTGGCCCCTTGTTCACTTCAAGCATGAGCCATGGCAGCAGCAGCAGCAGCAGCAGCAGCGGAAGTCTCGGCGGGAGCTGCTTCTGCGGTAGTCATAGGCATCTCAGCAGGGGGTGCCTCGGCGGGTGCTTCGGCAGCGGCTGTCGTCTCTGCTGGGGCTTCTGCGGCAGATGTCGTTGCAGGGGCTTCTTCAGCGGGAGGTGCCTCAGCTGGCGCCTCGGCGGGAGGGGCGGGAGGGGCAGCAGCGGGATCCTCGGGGGGTGCAGGTACAAAGCTGTAAGAGAGTTAGTATTTGTATGATCGGAAGCACGACCAAAATGTTGGGAGGGATCAAGACTTACGCAGCAGCATCTAGAGCAAGTTTGCCGGCCGTTCCACCCACAACATCAGTGCCATCCGTGCTCGATTCGCTCTGCTGGCTCAACTTGACATAGTCGGCCAGCTGTTGCGTACTGGCAGGGTTGATCATCATGACCTGACCCTCCTGGCAATGCGGTCCAGTAGCACAGTACAGGAACATGGGGTCAGCACTAGTGACGGGCATGTTGAAGGTTCCGACATCTGTCTGGCCGTCTTCGAAGGGGATGTGACCGCTGTGGACACCCCCATCCATGGGAGTGCATGCTGTATCGGCAGTCGACTGCGTGACGGTGTGGTTGCCGTTGGAGAACTGGAATTGGACAATGTCGCCGACTGCTGCGGTGATGGTGTTGGGGATGAAAGTATCCTGGGGACCGCCGACAATTACGGGGATGATCTGGCTGGCGCGGCGAAGTGGGTTGGCTTACGTTTGGTTAGCTGAGAAAAGATGAGAAGATCTATGTGTGACCTACACTTGATACTAGGCAGTCTGTTGACAGTCCTAAAGGCCGGGCCTGGAAGCGCACTCGCGGTAGCGATCAGCGCGATGGAGAAGATGGATGACTTCATTGTGGGATAGCAAATAGCTTGAGTTACAAAAAGGTATCGAGAATATAGAAATAGGAACTAGACTACCGTTCAACGGTGGACTGAAGAATCGAAAGTAGAGATTATGTAAAGACCGTTCTACGGTTTGCGTAGTCAAAAGAGTGATGCGAAGAGAACAAAGGATAGACAGACTTCAATAGAGCAAGAATGCACCTACAAGTACTTTAGCTCATATACGCTTGCATCCTCCGCTATCACATCCTCCACACGCCCGAATCAATCTTTTGCCTCCTCTATCCACACCATGAATCTTGCCTACGTAGCTTACCTCCTGCCCATAACACCTCAAACATTGAAAATGGCCTGAGGAATCTTAGGGCAGCCACAGGCCAACCTATGGCGCACAGCCATGTGGATACCCGAGCTGTAAGACCAGGGCGGCCAAGCTGTCGCATTGTTGCACGTAGCCTAAACGATGTTTGACAGCCTTGTTTGCCAAGAGAAGGCATGGGAAAAGCGCATGGGTGAGGCGGTAGTATGCCGTTTGAAGATAAGTGGGGAGAGGAGTGCCGAGTTGCATCATGGTCGTTTGGAAACCTCAAGTGCCTTACCAGGCGTGGCGCTTAGGCTTGGGGAGGCAGAGGCGGGTAAACGGCAGGGTATGTTTGGGCGATGGGTGAACACATATCCAGAAGTGGTGATGCGCGCGCTGATGGTTTTGATGGAGTCGATGGTCGAGCTCTGGGAAGGAGTGTCAACGACCCATCTCGTTGAAGAAAGGGCTTGCAAAGATTTGCGACATCAACACTTCTCCTAACGCATCAATCGATCATGTAAAAACAAAAGCGCATTCACGATGCGATCGAAGCTGTGGGTACCCAAGGGTCTGGCAAGCATGTCGCAGAGGTCGGTGCTTGGTTCCTGCCTCGGTAGACGGCCTGGAAGCTGGAAGCGAACGTTTGGGTCCACCGCGACCCGCGGTCTCCTGTAAGTCCGCGGTCCTCAGTACGCCAAACACTTCATGTCCGGCTTGGCTCAGCGCATGACTACTGCTTTTTTGTGAGCAATGCGATGGTGAGTCAAATAAGTGTCTATACCATGAGATGGATATAGCCTCCACTTGCCGACAACCGGGGATCCTCCCCATAAGGCACGATTAGTATTGTCTCCATGACGACAGGGGCTATGCACAGATTGGGAAGGAACTTCTTGTCTGCTACTTTCTGGACGTCGCATCTCGCTGGCCATGTCTCTACTAGTATCTAGTAGCTACGAGCTCATCCACTACGCTCACCCAGAGGCTTTGTCTCTTCTATGTTCCTCGATACGAATATTAAGCCGAAGTGTCTGACCCCAATGACTGTTACTAGATGTTCTCTGCCCTCGAGGGCATAGGCAGGCGCGACAGAGATCCTTAATCTCATTCACTCTTCCTTTTCCTAGCGAAGACCTGTCAGTTCTTGTTCATCTACGGTGAGAACCGGCACCAGGGATGGCTACAATTCGTGTCGCATTCTATGGAGACCATCTTAAGGTAGTGGTATACTTTACCTCCGGAACTGTCTATTCGTTAAGATTTAGTACTATGTAAATTTTAGCCACCTTAATGCCGGTATCGTTCTGACTGGAGACTTGATGGGAGTCTGCAGGCGCTCTTTGGGACATAATGCGCGAACGGGATAGTAAAGATTGGAAGCCGTCGTCGCTCGAAGACGATGAGGAGAAACAAATGAGATCCACGGCTGCCAACAGCCAGAGCTGACATGTGTCTGCACGTGACGTTGGTGTCCAGCTTCGCCGCAATACTGCAGGTTTCAGAAGGTTGAAGCTTACGCCGCACCCCGCATTCTATGCTTCCTCAGAGCGTCTGCCGCTCACTCAACTACTGGCTACTCTGCAGTTTGAACGAAAGGATAGCATTCTCATGGCGAATCTTGCGGAGTTGCCAGCTGAGCTCCTCATAGACATCGTGCACTCGTGTTCCCACACAGACATCAAGCATCTTAGCGAGACATGTCGCCTTCTCCATAACAAATTGGTACAGCTTGCTTCTGCTCTCATCTTGCTGCTCTCATCTGCTAGCTTTTCTGACCAGTTGCCAGCTACCGGAGCTTTTCCGAAACCTCGATCTAAGCACCCACAGTGCCACTGTCGAATGTCCCTACGAAGTTTACAGCGAGGGTTCGATCGGGCGACGCACCACAAGCCGAAATGTCATGGTACATCCCAGATCCCTCGCTAGGGAGTGGATCATTATCGACAAAATCACTGCGAGGAAGCAAGAGCTGTTGGTGAGGACCGTTGCCGAGAAACCTACCTACGCAAAGTACGTACGTGAGCTACACTGGACAGTTCTTGACAATTATCAAAACATCACCTATTCTCGAGAGCTTCTCGACGCGCAAACTCATTACTGGCGTAACCGTTGCTCTGAGAAGGGTTGGGCTTTATGTACGTGCGGCATGCGCATGGTACATGCACCTGGATCGGGAGTTCGACTCAGTGCAAGCGACAAGCGACACCTGCTGTGGAAAAAGTCTTACGACAACGGCAACAGAAGGAGCCAGGATGAAATATACGAGAGCACTCTCCCAAAAGAACGGGAGAAATTCCCACCAGAAGATGGTAGGCTATAGCTTTGATAACTGAGGATGGATCTTGACGCTGCCAGAATCTCTTTGGCGAACATTTCATAGTTTCGCGCATGTGATGAACGTCGACCTTTGTTGGCTTAGGTAAGACTTACGGATACATATACATTACTGGGCTGATCATAAGAACCAAAGACCCTGGCGGGAGGCCACTGTGCCAACACAACTCTTCCATGGTGCTCAATCCATCCGAATAAGCGGACGCATGACGCGCGAACTTGTTACGAGTATTCTCGGGGGTCCACGGCTCGAGAGCCTAGATCTGAATGACCTCAAGCTATGGGCGGAGCTTGAGCCAGCTTCGAATTTCAACCAAAAGTCATCCGCATCGGGACTCGCAAGCTTTGTCTCAGATACAGTAGAGCCTGAACTAGTACCGCCTGCTTCGAATCACCTCCAAGAGCTACGGAAATATCTCAATGTGAATCGTGCAAGACTACGGATGCGACCAAATGAGCAAGTACTGGCCGGCACTCTTGACACGCTCGCAGCCCGCCAAATCGCCCTTAGTTCTCTCCGTATCACTTTGGCAGGACCTGCTTCGGGTTGCCACCCAACGACTCAAGATGATTCACTGTATCGCTCATGGGCACGTTTCCTAGCATCGACACGCAATACTCTTTGCAATCTCTTCTTCGAACAATGTGAAGGTAGCAAGACGTCGTCCGGACCTCATAGGGGCCGTGAGAGAAGGCAAACAGATGAACCCCGTCCGATGGACTGGCTTTTTGTGCAACAGGTGCTACCTGTTTTGCTAGGCGCTCCATGGCCGCATATCAAGCGCATGGAGATCATAGGCGTGGGACGAATCGACCGCGCGTACCAAGACCATCTTGGGCGGCACGAGGAGGTGGTACGTGTCGCGTTCCCTCAAAAGGCTAGAGAGCAGCTTCGTGAACTCCTGGACTACGAAGCAGAGTTGGTAATCGAAGAGCGGTCGTCTGCAGAGGGTGAGCATGTCGATCCCGCTGATCCGGGTATTCCGCCCATATATAGTCAATGGGAAGATTGGAAGGCAATCATAGATAGGCGCAAGCAACGGGACCACAGCGACAGTGGAAGAAACGAGACTGGCGGACTCGCGACTTGTCGAATCAGCCCTCAAGAGCAAATGATATTTCGATGGCCGTATAGGAGCTCGAAAGATCTGGAAAGCGCTCTTCGTATTGTAGACACGAGATACTTGCTGTACGAGGAGTATTTGGGAGGAGGGCCCAACCCCGAAATCGAAAGGGCATGAACGAAAACTCAACGGTCTTCTACAGGTCTTAGCGCGAAGACGGTCTGATCTTCATATGTACGCTTTGGCATCACTAGACGTGATAGTCATATGGCAGAACAACGAAAAATCCGAGTCCTCAAACACATGTAAAGTTTGTTGTCGTGTTGTTAAGGAGCACTGACAGAACACGCTCGGCCCTCATGACGAATGGGACATAGCGCGCTTCGGCCGGAATTACTTTTCCGCCAGCCTGTAATTTTCTCTGAGCTCCCACCCGCCCATTCATCTTTAGTCTCAAGCTTCACGGGAATCTCACGGAAGACCAGCTCCAGCAGCCTGGGGTGAGCGTCGCACTATTCACGATGCATACACATATGCTGTTAGCCCCACGTACGGGTGCTGCTGCATTGGACCGCGACCTCGGCTGAACGCGATCCATGAGTGCGGAGACCGCTTCCAACCGCTCTCCGCAACACATTGCGAAACTCAACTATCCAGATACCCTCCCTCACACCATACCACAAGATGCGGACAGTCTCGGCGCTAGCCTCGCCTCTGCGGAGATCAACACCTACAATAGCCCGCCAGGGTACGCGGAGATGCTTCTCGAGCTCCCACAACCTGCAGGCTACATGGGGTTTCATAGGATTGGGGCGCATGGGTTAGTATTATCGCAGCTCACATGACTATCATTCACTAACATCGATACAGGGTATCCCATGGCGAAGAACCTCAGAGCGAAGATACCGGCTGAAGACACGCTTTTCGTGCACGATGTCAATACCGCAGCTACAAAGCAATTCCTCGAGGAGCACCCACAAGGCGTACGAGTTGCTGAGAACGTTCGAGAAGTCGCTGAAAAAGCCGTACGTATACCTCTTCCTCTACTTCCAGCACTCTTATGATGAATTAATTGTTCTATCAATGATCTAAGTTGGGGGCCATTCGTGGCCCTTCTCCTGATTACACAAATATTATAGCCAATCCTCTGATGCTTTATACACAACACATCTTCTCGTCAAGTACTTCAAGTGCAGTCCACTGACAGTGTTGCAGGAAACTATCGTCACATCCTTGCCAGAACCTAAGCATGTCAAGGCAGTTTTCAAGGAGATGCTGGAGCCAGCTACTCTGCTTTCAGACAGCTCCATCAACAAAGAACGCTTCTTCATCGATTGCTCAACCATCGACCCTATGACCTCTGGTGAAGTCGCGGAAGCTGCTCACTCCACTGGTCAAGGAAAGTTCATTGATGCGCCGATGTCTGGTGGTGTTGTTGGTGCGCAGGCTGGTACGCTCACCTTCATGATTGGTGCGCCGCCTGAGGCAGTTGAGGGCGCCACCAAAGTTCTGTCATTGATGGGTCGGAGAGTGGTCCACCTTGGCGGGCCAGGTGCTGGTCTCAAGGGCAAGCTTGCAAACAACTACCTGCTTGCATTGAACAACATTGCGACTGCAGAAGCGATGAGTATGGGCGTGAAGTGGGGCCTTGATCCCAAGGCGCTAGCCGGTATGATCAACACGGCGACTGGCAAGTGCTGGCCCAGTGAAGTCAACAACCCTGTTCCCGGCGTCATTGAGGGCTCTCCTGCTAGCAGAGGCTACGAGGGAGGCTTTGGTATAGGCTTGGCGAGTAAGGATCTAAAGCTTGCGCTGAAGGCTGCTGATGAGGCTGGTGTCAAGCTTGCGCTGGGAGAACCAGCAAGAGCGCTCTACGATGCTTGCGAGAAAGCCGAAAACTGCAAGGGCAAAGACTTCTCAGTAGTCTACAGGTATCTTGGAGGCAAGGAGTAAACAATATAACCTCAATCAACATCAAATTACTGCTTCACACGTGTTTCCCTTTCCTTCTGATGTGCATCTGATGAATTCCATAGTCATGCCTATCGCGAAGGGCTTTGTAGAGCGAACAAGAGCTCCGTCTTGATGTGCGTGCCACGTGTGCGACCCAGTAAAGGGGGGAGGGGAGAAGCTATGATCACGGTGGGAGAAAGATGGGAACAGCATCACAATATATCTGAAGATGCGTAGAGAAAGAAGAGACCTTGTTGTTACGACTAAAAGTATGTATGCCGTAAAGTATCTTGAGACCCAGTACTCCATGACCCGTCCGAACGTCAGCCCACAAATCGACAATCGATGCAGCAGCGCTAAGTGCGCTGCAGTGGATCGAGACAGTAATACATGGATGGAGAAAGTCAGTGATGAAAGATGCCCATAGCCCTTTGATCCCTAACCCATTGACATCCAGACCGTAGACCCAGAATGACAGACATTCAGTACAGTCAAATCCTGCGACCACGGTTTCGCGAAAATAGACCAGACAACGCGAAACCAGGCTCAGATCTGTAGTGCAAAACAGTAGGGTCGCAGGACGCAATCAACGCAAGTAGAAGGAAAGAACATGACAGAGCAAGACAAAGGGATTGCAAACGCCCATATATCGCACACAAGGGATGACGGGTCATCCTGAACAGAATAGGCAGCTCAAAGGTGAGAGGGCCTGTAATCGTACATGTACGAGTCGTATCGTATCGTCGTGAGTCATATCGAAAAGGAAGGTCGGAGAGTTCGTAGAAGTCGTTATCTGGAGTAGGGCTTGTTCATCAGCGCGATTTCGCGCGCAACTGTTGCCCACTCCAGGTCGCGGCGAAGAGGCTCATTGTGTCGTTGACGCTGGTACTCTTCCCACTTGAGAAGTTCGTAAGTGAATCGAAGGTGTGGTTGAATTATAACATTAAGTCGTCGGGCCCGAACAAAGCAGCTGGAACGAAGTTAGTCGAAGTTAGATGGAAGGCCACTCGTTACTTACTAGGCACGAGGGAAGGATAGACCCATCTCGTTCATAACTTCAGCAATACAAATCGTTGCAGAACGCGACACGCCGACACGGCAATGCACCAAAGTAGCGCCTCCTTCTTTCTTTCCTGCTTCTACAGAACGTTAGTAATTCGAATCTCATCGTGGAGTTATGTTCACTCACCAATGAATTTTAGGCAACGCTCAAATTCGCCCCAGAGAGGGTCTACGCCATTGTCCTGAACTCGGTCGACCATCAGGAAGTTCTCGGCAGGCCAGTCGAGCTTCTTCTTGACGTCTTCCGGCCAAGACAGCGGTTCTCCAACACTCAGGATGCGGGTAATACCCATAGCACGGAGGAGCTCCGGATTGTTAGCGTGTCCAAGGTTGCCGAGGTACATGTAAGGCAAGATCCGACTGGGCAGACTGCCGTCAAGCTTCGAAAGCCACCGTGGTTCCGAAAGGTTCAGAACGCTCTGATTGAAGCGAGGAGAGTCTTGAAGAATTCGAGGTTGGATCGCTGTCAGAAGGGCGACATCTGAAGGGTATGCGAAGAAATTGCGGCCTTTGTCGCGATGCATCTGAATCCAAGCATCGTGAACAGGCAGGCCTTCAGCATACATGAAGTAAGCCAAAGCAAGAAGAGTCGTCTCGGTGTAGCCATCTGTGCAGTGTATCAAAAACTTGCGTGGCGCCGCAATGTCGTCCATCTCTATAGCTTCGTCTTCTTCTTCCCGTCTTCGCTTCGACCGCCGGACCTCATGTGGGTTCGCTAATTCGTACATCCACTTGCACATTTCCATTAGGCCGTCAACTTCGCCATGCGCCCATGTAGGAGGCATGATGCTTCCGGATGAGGGAAATTCCATGTGCAGGGTGGATTTGCGGTGGACTCGTTCCAGACCCATGCGGAGAGCTCGCAACGAGCGCGATTCGGGTACATGCGCAAGATCGGTCGCTTCGATAAGCATATCGTAGCCTTCTTCGCCCACACAGTCCGGATGTAGTGCCTGATCAGGCGTTGGTCCCAGGAAGACATTGTTGCTGATCTCAGTTGCTTTCGACATTGCACTCATCTCGTATCGTTCCCAATAGACTGAATGTTCATGTTAGCAGCGGATGACTTCCTTTTACATCATAACTTACAGAAATCGGCAATTTCCCCTGTCATGTCGCCTGTGGAGTTGATAGCGACCAACTTTGGGTACTTCTCCTGCATGGACGCAAAGGGATCTAAGCTCATTAGTTTTGTACACTTGAGAGCAGCCACTGGTCGTACCTGAGAGCATGAACGTGTTGAACAAGCAATGCGGGAACCCGTTCCTTGCTTCATACTGCCTCTGCGCTCTGGAGATCTTCTGAGCGAGCGCTATCGTGTCTTGCGGTTTGGTTTTGTGGTCGCCATACACTATGATGTCTGACACCATAGCCAGTTTGCAGGCCTGGATCTGGAAGTTGCGCACAGAAAAGCCATCCTTGGGGTCACATTCAATAAACCTGGGCGTATCAGAAGACATCGATTCCAGTAGCTCATCCGGTGCGATTGCGCCCTTGAGCTTGGAGGCTGACAGGTTCCCGCCAGTCTTGACAACAGTAATACTGCGAATGCACCTGGGAACTTTCCGACCGCTCCGGCGTCGGGAAGAGAAGAAAGCAAGCTGTATCTGATTCTCGGAGTGGAGACCGTGCATCCACGGGAAGACTTGGTCAGGGTTCGGAAGCGGCTGCGTTGCAATGTGCTCTAGGGCTTCCGCCATGCGATCCGCGGTGATAGTGTACACGGGTGGGTCATCGGAGTACAGTGAACAGTATGCATCTGGCGGGTATGTGATTGACGAGGTTTCGATAAGACTGTCCTGTCGCGGGGGCGATGCTGGGGGGGTTGCAGGGAGTCCACCAGGAGAGCACTCCGGGATGTGCTTGTTCGGGATAGCAGTAGGCGTACCACGAGAAGAGGTGTTGAGCGACAGGTGCGGTGGAGGCGTCGAAGAGCGACCGGGCATAGAAGGATACCTGGCGACAGCAGCAGCCATGTTTGACCAGTCTGAGGCTTGGGATTAGAATGTGATCGAAGGCGCGCAACGTGTGAAGAGCCTGTGGTGGGCGGAGAATCAATTGGGCAGGCTCCTTGCAATAGCAATAGGCTGGCTAATAGTGATGGTCCCTTCCCAATCAAAGAGATGCAGCGGAGGGGTCAGAGGACCACCAATGTACAGCAGGAGCGTGCGTATCACGACAGGGTGAAGTGACAGAAGTGATCTATCGCGCAATGAATCAGTACGCGGGACCGAAGGGCATCTTATGCCTTGAGCTGTGGAACCTACCGTGATGAAAATTTGGGGGAGAAGGCGCACGTTAGTTGTTGAGTTGATCAACAGCCGGGGTCAAAGAGGTAAGCACGAGGGCCGTCGAGAAGTTGCGACCCTTTGCAGGAAGGTACGACCTACAGCGCGACGGTGGACATGATGTGAGGATAGGTAAGTGAAGAATTGGTGGGGAATGGATTGAGCTGGATTAAGTCGAGAAGAAAGAAGAAAACATGGAGGGGCGAGGGGCGTCGATGGAGGTTGTAGCCACGACGAGGGATATGGGCGTCTCTAGTGGTTCCCCGCTATCTGACTTTCCCAGCATTCGACAAGGCGCCGTTTTAATTCACCCAACCCAGCTTCGTGGTGCGCGCCACCATACAATGCCTGCTCCGACAGCTAGCTCTGCAATCGTTGGCCCGTGTAGACGACACAGCACACGGGGCATGCACAGAGGCTGTTCCTGCTCCATGACAGCCGCTGGGATTCGGCAGCATCACGGCGCAGTCGTCCAAGGGCGATAAGGATGCCAGTGGGTGGGTCTGGCAGACTGGGCAAGGATGCGTGCGGAGATATGAGGGCACGCAGTGTGCATGCTAAACTAGCCAGTATAGAGCACAAGTCCCGCTAACAAGGACGTCGCCGGCAGCGTGGAATCGGGCTGACAGTTAGTGTGCCATTCGCATGCGGATCCAGCATCATGCCCCACTAGCGTGCAGCTCAGCAATTGCCACCCAACACGCGAGCTTAAAGTCTGGAGCTTCATCGAGCGATTGCCGATCAACCCCGCGTCTTTTGGCACTCTGGAGCCGCCGACGAGACTAGAGTCTGGAGCCTCCTCATGGCTGTCAAACGACCAGCTGCAGACTGCATACGCTTTAAACGTACTAATTAAACACGATTCACGAGGCCACACCGTTTCGTCCACCTCATAACCCCGCATTTCGTTGTCGCTTCTTATCGCTTTGCATGGACGTAGGCCAGGACCAGGTGTCTTTGTTCGTTTACTAAATCCGAGCCTACTGTGTATGCCCAAGTTTTTGAGTCGTAAGCCCCGATGCATGCTGACGCACGATGTGACAAACATTCTGGAGCACACCTTGTCACGAAGCCCTAGACGCCGGACATCATAATATGTGAAGTGGATTCGTGTAAGATTTTTCGGGTTTGGGTTGCTAACCTGCAGCTGGTCTACATGGTGATGACTGCTCGCGTGCCTTCCATACACGCACAGCCGTTCGTATCCCGTTCAATCATGACGCCCAACTCCTCGCATAAACTCAGTATCCAAATCCTCGTACGTTACAGATATGATGGAAAGGTATCACTCCGACAGGGTCCATCCCGCAATCCGCGCTCCGCAAGCCAACACCCATCCTCATACATCAAGCTCGGCTTTTGAGTTCAGTATATCATCGACGATAGAGCGCTGAACAGCTATCCTGTCCTTATCGCCCACGTCCTGCTCTCTCAACAGGACCGCGAGTACTTCGATCGGCGGGTCGAGATCGAGCCGTTGCGCTCGCTTCCAGCGCTTCAACCGAGCGATTCCGGTGCATGGCTACATAGCGCAAATCATGTTAGCGGTGCACCAAGACGTGGGGGAGCATCGAATGGCAGGGTGCTGGGTAGTAAACTTACGCCATAGTGCGCGCTCATGTCGAACTCCCTGAGGATCTTCTCGTGCAAGCTTAGAGCTCCCTGATGTGCCCTTGATGCACGTCTCTGCTTCTCCTTTGCAGTCCAGTACTTCTTGATCGCAGCATCTGATATGCGCCGTGCCTGGTCCTCCTCTGGTGTGCTCTCAACCTCCTGCGCCTTGACCTCCTGTTCTGTTTGCTCGATGATCGCAGCATCCGTCGTTGTCGGCTCAGTTTCCGAGATATCAACTATCTCCGGCTTGATATCTTTCAGTTTCGCCTCGAGGAGGTTCTTCTTTGCGCCTTGTGCTTTGACGCCGGACTTTGTGACCTTATTCGTCGTTCCGTGGAATGCGAGAGTCGACTGTTGCGATTTGGCCGCCGGGCCCGAGGCTTTGCGTTTGGGTGCCATTTTGATGTATTTGCGATCGATGTCGTATGGTTCTTAGGTATTTGACGTTGTGATAGCTGCGTGCGATGATGGGGTGGTTGGGTTCAGTGACCTCATTCGATTTGCTTGGCGTCGATCGGGGTGCCTTCCCTGGTTGCTGCAGTGATACGCGAGATCGCGCAAACATGTGACCGCGCATAAATCTCCACCCCCACATCGTGCCGAAACCGCGGGATACTTTGCATGTGCTTTTAGAGCCACTCTGCCTTTTTCTGGTAAGTTCAGCCTTGCTAGACATGTCAAGATCGTCAATCTTCTTAAAAGGATCGCGTATGCCTGACTAGACATGGAAGTCCGCGATGAGGAGTATTGACTCATCCATGGATACATAGAATGTGCTATGTTTCCTAAGCCTTCTCTCTTACTGACTATGAACTAAGCGCTCGAATAAGACCTCAAGAACCATAGTCGACCATGACTTCCACGACACCCCCAGACGTCGCCGCTCACGCAGAATCTTTGATCCCCAGATTCCATCTAACCCGCCTCCTAAACTCCGACCAAGCCGGTCGTCGCATCTCCCTCTTGGGCACTATAGACTCTAAACCCGCTCTCCTCCTCGCCGAACGCGCCGCATTCGACACCAATCCCACCATCCTATCCAACTTCTCCACCTCGCTTCGCAATATCAAAAACCTCGGTGCAAACGACATCTACGCCTGGTTCCTCGCAAACTCCAACCCCAGCGATGAGAATCCGCCTCCAGACTTCAAGTTGAACCTAATCTATCCTTGCACGGAGAAACACATCAAGAAGTACGAGCAACAGCGCTTAAGAGTTGTCACCGAGACTCCAGAGATTTACGGAAAGTATGTTAGGCCATATATGCAGGCTCAGCGCGAAAAGGGCGCGTTGAACTGGGTGTTCAACATCATTGAAGGGCGTACTGAGCAGGAGGATGTCATCTATCGTGAGGCGGGCGAGGAGGGCTTCTTGCTATTGCCTGATTTGAACTGGGACCGTAAGACGATGGGTAGTCTACACTTGCTCGGTATCGTGGAGCGAAGAGATATCTGGAGTGTAAGGGATTTGAAGAGGAACATGGCAGAGTGGGTGAAGCATATGCGGGAGAAGATGCTTGAAGCGACTGTTAAGTTGTATCCTGAGCTTGAGAGGGATGAGTTGAAGCTTTACGTGCACTGTGAGTTGATGCTAAGAAGAGGGCTGGAAAGATTTGCTAACGGATGTATAGATCAACCCACGTACTACCACTTTCACATTCATATTGTCCATGTTTCGCTGGAAGCGGGCAGTACGCAAGCTACCGGAAAGGCTTTGGGTCTAGAGAACATCATCTCGCAACTCGAGACCATGGCTTCGACTTCGTCCTCATCACCTCCCGGTATGCAGGATGTTAGCTTGACGTATCATCTTGGTGAGAGGAGTGATCTGTGGGAGAAGGTTTATCTGCCGCTCAAGGAGGGGCGAGAAGTCAAGGTGGATGACTTTTGAGCAAAGCAATACACTTTGAGGAGTATGGACGACAGACTTTATAGATCACAATGAACTGAACAGCTTTTGCGCTCCTCTTGGTCTCGTTGAAATCCTAGTGCCTCTTGCATTTTTCACATACCTTGCTGAGATACAGAGGCAATCCAGGCTGTGTTTTCATACTGATTCAGGGTTATGCTATCTTCCACATCCCTGGGTGAACTTCACTATGAGGCTAGTGTAATCCATGTAGCGTTGTACTTTAGAAATCATCCCAGGACATTTCCGCAAATTGCCGAGACTCTCTTCTTTCGTTGTCCTCCTAGAACGACTCTGCAAGCGTAATCAAACTGAAACGCAGCTCGCCTCCGCCGGCCTCTGCCTCGCGCTTGAGGAAGCTACGTACGCCCAGGTCAAGAGCCTTTTCGCTGAGAACGTCCTCATCCGGACCCAGCGCACCGCGGTCAAGGGGACCTTTTCGCCGACCATCAAGCTCCCACAGATGATTCTTGTCCGACTTGATAAAGCAAACGTAGTGTAGGTCGACGTCGGAATCGGCCTCAGGCGCAGCAGTGTCACCACCGGATGCAGCGCTTTGATGTGCGCTCTCGAGAGCTTTAGATTCGTAGAGGAGATCGGCTCGCTCGACAGGCTTCAGGGGTATCGCGTCGTTGACTAGCTTGGCCAGATTGGAGTCGGGTTCTAAGGCTTTTGTCAGCATGTCTGATCGCAGTCTTGGAACACGGCTGCTACTAACTGATGTGTGCACGGGCGGAACCGTTGGAGACACCGTGGAGTAATCCGATTAGACCACAAGCATTTCCAATAGTCTGCTTATACCAGATGACCTCTTCATCTGGGCCATGTCCATGGTATTCCGGCTTGTCCTTGTCTTCCTGCACGCGAAACTTCTCGTATGTCTGACTGACGGGGAAGACAAGGAGTAGAGCATGGGCAGGCCGGGGTACGAAAGCAAGTAGTTCGGGCTCGTCTATGCTAAAGACATCGTGGAATGCAAGCTTCTCCGACAGACCGAGCTTGTGGACGAGGGCGGACATGACATCGGGATTGTTTTCTGTCGCGCATTAGCTGGTATGTTTGCAGTGTATGTGGTAATATCTTACCCAGAGGAATGAACCTCTTCCTGCCCTTAGGCACATCTGGTGACGATTCGGACGCCATGGTGATGCTGTGTAGAAATGGTGTTGCGGGGAAGGCGTTCTGAGCTCGACATGTTATACCTAGGTAGACGTGGGGCGCAGGCAGCAAACGACTCGTCATCCAAACTCTCTTTGCCTTCCACAGGCACACCATAGGCTACATCATCATCTGCTTCCAACACTGAGGGGTTTGGCTCTGCCTTTTGCATGCTGAGGCCTCGACGGGCTGCGGAGCTCATGGAGGGGAAATGATCAAGTACCATCTACACGTGGAGAGTAACTCATGATACAAGGCGGCTCCATCTTCAACCTGAAAAGATCATTTTGGCGTGCAATCGACGCGATGCATGCCATGGACGCGCGACTTGGAAAACGCGATGGCCTGTGCGGCCACATGGAAGCTTCTGAGCCCCGCGCGGTGACGAAGGACCTGAAATTGACTCACGTGAATCATGCATCTTCGCCGTTGTCCCTCCGCTACGCCCTTTCCTCGCATATTATACATCGGACGGCCTCAATTACCACGGACCAGATATTGCCAGCCCGGAGCATCTCTGATACCGCCTACATATCCCCGCAGGTCCATAGCCACCGCGGCCAGTAGCTTTACAGCGGATTTCTTTACCCCACTACAGCCACTTGCGCTCAACTTTTTCCAGCGAACCTTCGCACCGCTGCCCACCATGACCACAATCGACGAAACCCTAGTCACGTTCCTCAAGACACACGCGCCCAACAACGCCGCCGACGAGACGGACGCTGTCAAGGCCTCGCAGGCCCTCTACCCCGAAGTCACCTACACCGACGCCGAGAAGACCGAACTCAGTCAATGGCTGATCACTGCCTCCCACATTGCCTCCTCCTCTGAGGATGCCGCCAAAGCCTCCGAGCGCCTTTCATCACTGAACACGCACCTCTCGAGCCGAACCACCGTCCTCGGCGCAAAGCCCTCCATCGCAGACATCGCCCTTTACCAGAAGCTCGCACCGGTAGTCTCAAAATGGAGTGTTGAGGAGAGGACCGGAGAACAGGGATACCACCACATCGTCCGCCATGTCGACTTTGTTCAGAACTCGCCTGTCTTCGGTCTGAAGCTGGATGACAAGGTCAACATTGACCAGGACAATGTCGTCTTCAAGATCAAGCCAGTGGACGCAAAGGCCGAGAAGGAGCGTAAGAAGAAGGAGAAGGAGGCTGCTGCTGCCAGTGCCGCCGCGTCTGGTGCTACTGCTACCACTCTGACCGGCGACCAAGGACAAGCTGGACAAGGGGGCCAGGGAGGCAAGACCAAGGCGGAGAAGGCAAAGGGCAAGGTCGAGGCTGCTGGCTCTGCTGTAGCATCTGCAGTCGTCGGCAACGCAGCAGGCGGCTCAACTGGCGGTGCTCCAGAGGGCGCGCCGACCGAGAAGAAGAAGAAGGAAAAGAAGGAGAAGCAGCCCAAGCCCCAGAAAGCGTGAGTCACGCTTCTATCCCGTGTCTACACGCCATCTAACAATACGCAGTGCGCCAGTCGAGAAGCCCCTCTCCCCCGCCCTTATCGACCTTCGCGTAGGCCACATCCTCAAGGCCGAGACCCACCCCAACGCCGACTCACTTTACGTATCCACAATCGCATGCGGCGATGCTCCCGGCACAGACAATACCTCAGAATACGAAGGTCAGGTCGTGCGCACCGTATGCTCGGGTCTCAACGGCCTGATTCCCCTCTCCGAGATGCAGAACCGCAAGATTGTCGCGGTGTGCAACCTGAAGCCCGTCACGATGCGCGGTGTCAAGAGCTGTGCGATGGTACTCGCTGCATCGCCGCGCGTTGCTGAGGGTGAGGACAGCCACAAGGGACCAGTCGAGTTGGTAGATCCCCCCAAGGAGAGCAAGGCCGGCGACCGCGTCTACTTCGAGGGCTGGGAAGGCGAGCCTGAGCCGGTGCTCAACCCCAAGAAGAAGGTCTGGGAGATGATCCAGCCAGGCTTCACTACAACAGATGGTCTAGAGGTTGGCTTCGATGTTGGTGTCATACCACAATTGAGCGGCGAGGGCGCGGATAAGAAGACGGGTGTAGCTAAGCTGAGGACCAAGGACGGCCTGTGTAGCATTCCTACTCTTAAGGGAGGTGTTGTGCGATAGATGGGCCTGAGAGTATACGACGGTCTAAAAAGAATTGTTGGTGCTACATATACTAAGGCCTGGCGGACACATTGAGTGTTTCGAAGTAGATAGCATGCCACAAAAGTAAGTCAGTCGCACTGCAATACATGAGCAACGTGTTCCCAAAGTCTGTTGAGTCCACTCAGTCTATTCTCAACATATTAACACATTCGAGAACGTCACTCGAAAAGTCACTGTAGTCACGAAACTTCATAATCGTCAAGCCAAATTTCAATTACTAGTGCTCTGTAACTATCCTGGGTATACAAAAACAATCGTAGAAACCCGAAGGTATCCTGCACAAAACAATATAAACGCCGTCATGCTACATTACGACATCATCCCAGCCATTACGAGCCTAATCCATTAGACTCACAGGGTACTCGTAGTCCTTCTCTGCATCCGTCCCGTGTAGCCTGACCTGGTACAGGCACGTGTGACTGGCACCCCAATTGCTAGTCACGCGTACCATTGCCTTCCAGACAGGTTGGGATGGCTCGCCAGCGAGGTCGAACGTCTGGAGGTGGTTGGACGCGTGGATGTTGTATTTGAATGATCCGAGGCACTTCCAGGCGGGACCGTCGAAACTGGCTGGTGGCGGGTCGCGACAGGTCACCTGGCGGTGGGAGTAGTAGGGGTTGATGGGCGCGTCTGTCTGGACCCAGAGCTCGATGTCGCGGGGCGCGTTGGAGATGTTGCGCGCTGGCATCATGCTCATAGGGACGTGCTCGATAGTAACCTGCTTCGGAATGACGGGACGTGCGAGTCGCACAGTGAGTTGGGCCTGGCCGCTTGAAACAGGCGCTTGGCCAGCAGAGCACCAGCAGTCGCCTGGCTCTTCCCACTTTGTCAGCGCAGCCATGGGTGGGTTGCGCCCGGGGACGAAAGCCCAGCGGCGCATGAGCCCGTGAAGTCGACCAGCTCGGTTGTTGTATGTGACGGAAGACATGTCAGGATCCACAACTGCGCCTAGACCAGGAGAGAAGTAGTTGGGCTTGGTGAGGTGGAGTTCGTAGTTTGCGACGAGGTTGGCCTGCGCTAGCGAGTTGAGTCGGATTTGGTCCATCATGGTCTTTCGGGCCTCTGCTTGTACCATCGTCTTGAATTGAGCGCTCTGGGCTCGGATAGCTTCGTCGATCTTCTTGTCGACTTGAGCGGTCAGGTTCTCGTAACGGCGCTCCATGAAGGTAACGAACTCATCACGAGAGACGGCCTGTGGCCAGCTCTCAGTGTAGCTGCGTTCTTGCTGGGCCGCGGTGTCAAAGAGTTCGCCTAGCTTGGTCTTGGTCTGTTCAATGTACCGCGCCCACTCCTTGTCGCCCATGCTTGAACGTGTTTTGCCAGTCAGTGCCATCCAGAAGTCATCCGTGATCTCAGAAGAGCCATCCTCATTACGGCGAACAATCATGATTTCAGGAAGCTCCTGCTTGAGCTCCTCGATTGCCGTACGCATGTCTGTACGAACATCCTCCAAGCGCTGCGTGTTTCGCTTGTCGATGTTGGACATGCGGCCCCATAAGAGGTTGTCGTCGCCGTTGTTCTTATACGCTTGGGCCAGCTCAGCTTCGGTGGGTATATGCTGGGTCGGAGGGAGGATGAACTCGGTAATCTTGTCATATGTGTGGCTGACTCGAGCGCCCACAGCCTTCACCAATCCAGGCGTCCGCACTGCTGATTCGGGGAACGGGGTGGCCACCATAGCAGAAGAGATGAGGTAGCTCAACAGCAGTAGCCCGGCCAATCCCCCAAAGGCCCAAATCATAAGCTTTTTCCATGCCCATACCGGCTCGTCAACGTCATCGGGTTCTACATCGCCAAGCCATGCATTGAGCTCGACCCTGTCCTTTTGGTGCGGCCGGCGTCGCTCTGACTGCCGCTGTGACTGCGATGGTGGGCCTTGTTGTTGGAGCCTAGTCTGTTCTTCGACGATCAGATCTCTGACAGATCCTTCGTTATCAGCCGACGGAGCGCGAACAGTAGGCCTCTGCACGTTTGCCCTGATGTGGGACTGTCCTTGGCTGGGTGCTTTGATAGCGTTTTCGGCAGGAGTAGGAATCTGAGCCTGGACTGAGGCCCTGTTACGAACAGAACTTTGAGATAAAACGGGGGTTGGTCCCTGGGTCCTTGCTCCATTCACAGTGCGACTGGCGGGCCTGCGACTCGGTATTGCTGGCCTGACGAACGGATCTTGTGCGCCCGAAGTACCAGTCTCCTGAGTGATGCCGCTCGACTTTGTGTTGATGGTAGGTGTTGCAAGGTTAGGCTTAAGGTTCGATGCTGCAGGCTTGGCGAAAGGCGAACCCATGAATGGATCCTGGGACACTAGCATACCAGCCTCGTGAGCAAGACCGAACGACTTGGTGGTATTGCCGACAGATGCCGCAAGATCATCATCGCTGTGGTCGAAGTCATCACTGTCGATGAAGGAGTAGCCAGGAGTGACCTTTGACTTCGATGCGGGGTTGCGCACATCGTCAGGTGAGAACTTGCCACTGTTGCGGTTTTGCCTGATGAAGCGCGACTGGCGCTCACTTCCAAGTCCGTCGACGCCTTCTTCCTCGTAGTTTTGTTGTTCGCTTTGACGGTCCTCCTCTTCCTCATCGTCGGCGTACTTCTCCATTTGGTTCTCCATAGCCTGGGCAAATCCTGTGGCAGGAGCGGCCGGAAGCTTGTCTGGGGCACCAGTACGACCGCTCGCGCCGTAGGCATTTGATCTGCGACTGGCGACCTTGGTCAAAGTTGTTGTGGTACGTTTTGCTGCGGCAGAAGCTGTGGCACTGGTGACGACCGAATCTGCTACAACAGAGTTTGCCTTCTGACTGAGGCGATCTGAGCGACGATTACGTCCTCCAGGCGTGCGCGCCTCCCCATTAGCACGTTGAGACATGGCGGCGATGAGCCCGTCAAGATCGCGGTTGAAATCTGGAAGTGACGTGTCGCCAGAAAATGCGAAACCAAGTACAGGCGAAGGAGGCTGTATTGCTTGCTGAGGTTGTGTAAGTAGTTGGTCGTTGGGAAATTGAGTTGTTGGGGCGGTCATGTAGAAGAAAGAAAAGACGCCAGACGACTTGAGTCGTCCAACAATAGCTGTGAACAAAGAGAAAAGACAGAATCGCGACAATGACGGACACAATAGAAAACAGAGAGGGCTACCCCAAATGCTGCCAAGCTGCAGCCAGCTGACGAAAATTTGCGCGGTGAAGACAAAAGGTGAAGGTGAATCAGGACGACACGTGCATACAGCCTCGCAATGCATGAGAGAGACATGGGCACATCGCAAAGACATGGGTAGGAAAATCGCGCCAACTTACACCTCAGCCTGAGACCCAACTTCTTCGCGTCCTATTTGCGCGGTTTCGGGCGCGTTATGTTCCAACTCTTGCTCTTTAACACTTTCGGTGACGGTATTGTTGATGGCGGGTTCCTGCAGTGGGTCCGTAAACACGTGGACAAGCCTTCACGCGTCGAAGCCGGCAGATGCGCTGTGGGCCTAAACTCGATGGAGGAACTTTTGGCGCTCGTTCATGTGTAGATTGCGACTCGCGATCATGTTCCCAGGATCCGGCGCGATGTTGTTCAGTGTGTATTGATGGGTGACAATGAGGTTGATGAAAGTTCGAGGTCGCGCTTTGAGGTGCAAGGGTTCAGCCTGTCCGCAAGCCGCCGCAACCGGTAGGTTAAGCGAGGCTGCACTCCATCCGGCGGTGTGTGACATGGCATTCTTTGACGCGAAAAACTAACTCTTACGAGACACAAGCAGACAGGAGCAAGAATAACAAGCTGGGAGAGATGGAGCACCCCTCAGAGACGACTGGGAGCTAGTGTCTCCGCTACCACAAGACATGGATGATGCATGAAATTTCCGGGCCCAGCTGGAAGCGGAGCACAAGACCCTGAGAGCCACAACGCTTATTCCGCCTGCTCGCATGTACCTGCGTCACCCAAGTTTAGTCTAAAGGATACGTCGTGCGGCCATTTTGTGACTGGCGCATGTAGCCAAAAGACGGGGAGTGGCTTGTCAAGTCCACGCAGCAATTCATGGACTGTGGGCGGGTTGCTATCATGATCTACAGGGCTGACAGGCAATCCCACCCGCAATCGGCCCACAACGTCACAGCCCTGGCTCCTACAACTCTAACAATCTCGATATGATTATATCCCACACGATAGACACTGTGTCTACTGTCCTCGCAACACATGTTCCCAGCATTTTGGCAGAGCAGAACACGAGAAGATGAAGCTGTAGCTGTGTGCAACCTGTGGACGTCTCCAATCCGTACAGATCATCTGCTGCGCATACATGTGTCTAACAAAGAAAACCGACATGCTAAACATTGGAAGATCGTAAAAGTCTATGGGAAACACATGCCTGGCGATGGCTATGACCCAGCGAGACCGTCCTTGCCGAATGAGGAAATCTATCCGCAGGCGGCTCTTCTCTCTTGACTAGTCGCACAGCCCATGAACCCAGCATCTCGTGCTGCCGCATTTTTATATATCTGCAACCTCGCAATCAAACACAGTCACCGAATCGCATAAGAGCGACAGACCCCCAAGACACATTCTCTACTTCCCATAACTCAAGTTCTCACAATGGTTGTAGGATCCGTTCTCGTCACCGGGTAAGCTACCCCTCCACCCCTCCACGCGCAGCTTCAAGACAGCATCATGGGCAATTGATATTGACAACGGCTTAGTGGTACCGGCTATATTGGCTCTTTCACAGCCCTGGCCCTCCTCGAAGCCGACTACAAAGTTGTCATTGTCGACAACCTCTACAACTCCTCCCCAGAAGTCGTCAACCGTATCGAGCTCATTTGCGGCAAGCGACCTGCCTTCTACCAATGCGATGTCACAGATGAGGCTGCGCTTGACAAGGTGTTTGAGGAGAACCCAGACATCGACAATGTTATCCACTTTGCGGCTTTGAAGGTGCGTCCACTTACCAACTACTGTCTCACAACCCCAAGCTAACACTCCCCAGGCCGTTGGAGAGTCTGGCGAGATTCCTCTGACATACTACCGCGTCAACGTCGGCGGCTCCATTGCGCTCCTCACCTCCATGGTGAAGCACAATGTCACAAACATCGTCTTCTCTTCTTCCGCGACCGTGTATGGCGACGCGACGCGCGTCCCCAACATGATCCCAATCCCCGAACACTGCCCCATCGGCCCGACCAACGTATACGGCCGTACAAAGTCCACCATCGAGGGTGCCATCACAGATACCATCGAGGCCGAGCGCAACAATGCGAAGAAGGCTGGCAAGGACGAGAAGGAAATCAAGAAGTGGAACGCTGCGCTACTGAGGTACTTCAACCCCGCCGGCGCGCATCCCAGCGGCATCATGGGCGAGAACCCTCTGGGCGTACCATACAACCTACTTCCCTTGTTGGCGCAAGTTGCGATCGGCAAGCGCGACAAGCTCCTCGTCTTCGGTGACGACTACAAGAGCAAGGATGGCACAGCGATCCGCGACTACATCCACGTCCTCGACCTAGCGCGAGGCCATCTCCAGGCGCTCAACTACCTGCGCGAACAACAACCCGGTGTCAAGGCATGGAACCTGGGTACTGGCAAAGGCTCAACCGTCTTCGAGATGATCAAGGCCTTCAGCACCGTTGTCGGACGCGACCTGCCATACGAAGTTGCCCCACGGAGACAGGGTGACGTGCTAGACCTGACCGCGAACCCAACACTTGCGAACAAGGAGCTAGACTGGAAGACGGAGTTCACACTGGAGGACGCTTGCGCCGACCTGTGGAAGTGGACAGAGAACAACCCAGAAGGTTACGAGCAGCAACCACCAAAGGAGTTCGTGGACGCGCTGAAGAACAAGAAGGCTTGAAGAACGTCGGTGACGGTAGAACGATATGGGTTTCCCATCAAGTAACCCGAGTGTCCGCATCTTAGAGAGATTGCTGAAGCGTCGTATTTTACATAGATATTCTGGACATAATAGTTGAACAGATGGGGTATAAACGCAAAATTTGATCACTTGAACTTCGCATTACGAGATCCGAAGTCCCACGAAGACAGCCCATGTTTTTGCAAGTCTTCCCGAACATATATCGTCTGACCAACATCTCAGACCATGCCAAGTTCCTCATCGTTGTTAAAATTTTAAACAGAAAGCTTCAAAACATACTAACACCAATAACATGATGAAAGGAAAGCAGTTGAGCCTTACCTCATACCCGTCAGTATCTTCAAACACGAATGCAGTATAAGAGCTTGTGCTCGCCGCATCATTTCTCTCTCATCTTACGTCTTCAATTCTTCAATTCTGCAGAAAAGATCTAGGGAAAAAGCTATGTGAGAGGATAGCTCTTCTCCAAAAATGACATCATCAAGACGCCTATGCCGAGATGCTGTTTTGCAAGAAACAACTCTATAAAAAAAATTCAAAACAGAAGCGTATGTGTGAGGTGTTCAAAAGCTACTGCCTCACCTATGATGACAATTCCTGCCCCTGTCAGGCTAGCCCTAGTATGTTGGGGAGAACATATAGACCGTCCTTCTGGTCATGCTCTATCTTGCTTCTCCACCACCGCTTGCAATACTAGAACGTTCAAAACACCAAAAGTGAGAAGCAAAGAATACATGGAGCGAAAGAGAAGAGCCTGCTTTCAAAAACAGCTTGTTTTGCTTTCATGCATTTGACCCTCATCAACTTCAGAGACGGTGCCAAAAGCCAGTCTGTTCTCGCCCATGTCCACCTTCTTTGTGTTTCAAATAACCAAACGGGAGCTATCGTGTGCTTGAAGTGTCAGATTTGGGTATAACATTATCAAACATGTCAGACTGCGGTATCCAAAATCCAACTATCATGACAACTACACGACAGCCGCACGAACGCTCAAAACAAGGCCGAAGCTCAATCGATGCACTTGCATGGTCATCTGCATCAACCTCATCAAATACCCAACAACGCCTAAGCAATGTCCTCGATCGGACAATTTGGATGCAACACGTACACCACCTTGTCGTTACCCTCAGCCTGACCCTGTTCATCAGCAAGTCCTTCACCCCGAATCAACATGAGGTATTGTTCCTGTGATTTTTGTTAGCCCCCAGATCATCAAAAGTTTCATGTGGTTTCGACATACCTTGACGACCTTCTTGAGCACCTTCTTGGCGAGTGCCCTCTCCCTCTCCAAGTCCTCTTGCGTCTCCATTTCGTTCTCCTTCTGCTCAAGGTACCAGATTAGCAGCTCTTCTTCCTCAACACCGTCTTGCGTCTCTTCTTGGTCCTCGTTGACACGCTTGATAAACATGTTCCGCATAGCGACATACTTGTCGTGCGTGATCTTGGTCTTCTCCCGCGGCGCAACGGCTGGTGTCGCTGTTCGGTCCCTAGAGGCATCTTCCTGGTCGTCCATTGGCGCGTCAGCCTCCTGCTCTGCTGCGGCCGCCGCGGCGAGCAACGCTTCATCATCATCGTCCTCAACTTCGACGTCATCCTTCTCGACTGAGATAATGGACTGACGGAGAAGATTGTAGGCTTCTTTGACGAACTCGGGGGTAATGTCGCTGACGCAGTTGGCCTTGGCGATGGCCTCTGAAAGACGGATCATACTTTCGAGTTGACGAACAGTGATACGGTAGCTGTTGCGACCGATACCACCTTGCGCATCATCTGCTCGTAGCTCCTTGTATTTCTCGACGAGCGTCTCTCTTGCCTCGTCAGTAAATTCAGGCCTGAATGTCCTTGCGAACCGAATGTAGCGCTGCAGTTGCTCAGTGTTAAACTCTGGGTCTACAGCCTCGTCTCTGTGCTGGTGAATACCAACAATATGCTCAGCAAGATGGCGATCGACAGCCTCGTCACACTCGTCCAATACGACGAAGAACAGATCGAAACGTGACATGATAGGGGCAGACATGTTGACGTTGGCGCGTAGCGTCGTCTTGCGATTATAGCGTCCACCGACAGGGTTGGCCGCCGCAAGGATAGAGGTTCTGGCGTTGAGCGTGGCCTGGATACCGGCCTTTGCAATGGAAATGGTCTGCTGTTCCATAGCTTCGTGAATAGCGACTTGATCGGCGATGTCCATCTTGTCGAACTCATCGATAGCGCAGATACCGTTGTCAGCAAGCATGAGCGCACCAGCTTCGATTGTGAACTCTCCAGTCTCCTCATCCTTGACCACAGCAGCTGTAAGACCAGCTGCCGAAGATGCCTTACCAGAGGTGTAAACGGCGCGAGGAAGGAAGCTGCAGATATACTTCAAGAATTGTGACTTCGACGTCGAAGGATCACCGACAATACAGATGTTGATGTCTCCACGCAGCGCCATGCCCTCGGGTGTCTCCTTCGACACACCGCCCATCAATTGAAGGAGGAGTCCCTTTTTGATGACTTGGTGGCCGTAGACCATGGGCGCTATTGAGTCGACCAATCGCATGAAGATGTTGGGCTTGTGCACCATATCCTTGAGATCCTGGATCTCCGCAGCAGTCAGAGTACCAAGATACTCCTCTTGTGCCTCTTCGCCGCTTGTCGCATTCGACTCGATTTGACCCTGGCCAAGAGAAGCGAGAATGTTGCTTGCCTGACCTGTCAAGTGATGGTTGGAGGTCTGTCCTGGAGTAGAGTGATCTGGTGAGACCATGCACGCCAAGAATGACATGCGGTATGTCAGGTCGCGCACACCGAGGGCTTTGAGACCGCTGACACCTGATCCACCGACATCGTTGCCTCGCGTCGTGTTTGCTGTATCTCTCTGCGCTTGTGGGCGAACACCTGGTACGCGGAA